TTTATTCTTTCGTCAGGAATCATTCCTTACCGAAAAAATCCTTAAATTTCAACTTTCCGTAATTACCGTCAGCCATTTTGTCCATCCCTACTCTCCTGAAGCTGAGACAGCATCGAAATCAACCCGAAACGCTGCTGACCAAATCTCCCCAGCAGGATTCGACTCCGTTCCTACCAAGCTTTCCTCAAATGTCGAACGTGGATCCGTGCACCAAGCTCTATCCTCGCTTCCGCATGTTCAGGAAAGGGAATCGGTTCAGGATGAGGTGAATTTTAGGCTTGTTGGACAGCGGATTCCGCGCTTCGGCATCAGACGCTGTGCCACTGTTCTCGCCTGCTTACGGATATGTACAACGCTGCTGGATCCGTTGGACACGAACACATGGATCGCATGATTAGCTATGTTCCATCTTCGCCTTGTCAGCGCAGGCGTCAGACATCTCCCGAATGTCGCCTCCGCGGCCCCCGGTAGTGGATGGTGATCAGCACGGTTCAGCTGTAGACGCGCAAGACACTCGACACCGGCGCTCCAATCATGACCACCAGAGCCACATACTTCACTTCGTATCTAAATTCCTCGCTTGTGTGTCGCTGAGTCCTTCTGACGTAAAGTCATTAAAGAGAAACATGAGGCTTCGCTCGCGGTCCAGAGCAGGCTGGAACGTGGGAAGGCTCGAATATATATACTTTACGCATTCCGGACATTATACTCGGGACAGCGTATCGAGGGAATTCAAAGCGAGATCAGACTTCAGGAGATAATCAATCTATGACCTCACCAAATGAATGCCTCAGTGTCAGCCCTTCGAAGTTCGGCCTACGGTTATCTGCCAGTGCCACCCTAATTTGACTGACAGGAAAAGGGTCCATAACCGATGCCGAGGCTTGAGAGCGGGTCCTATCTCTCGACCCATCGCTCTCAGGGCCACAGGAAAAGCGGTTGATACCGCCCGTCTTTCGCAATCGCAGCAAGACCAGTCCGATTGTAAGGACGTCGTCATGATCCATGATCATGTCAATATCCAACTCATTTATTTCCTAGGACCCTGGTTCTCCGATGAGCATAGCGTGTCATCTTAATGAGCCAAGCCCGCTATACAATTAGGTCCGAGCCTATCAACTTCCCTAGATTGGCGCCTCCAAATCTCATCACAGTTATGCACAATCTTGGGGTCACCATGCCCTCAGCTAAGTATTAGCAAGACCTAGATACCACGGGGTACTCCAATTTCCAGACGTTTAGTTGCGTCGCAAGACACGTACCCGGTTCTCCAGTTTCGCTAAGTGGGATGAGACCCTGACCCGCGGGCTCCATGCCGAACCATGGACTGAACTCGAAGTCGATTTCCCAGAGCCAGGGCTTCTGAGCTCAAGCTTGAATATTCGACATGGAACACGTGTACTCGGATCCGAGTCATTGACGATGCTTTGGTAATCGCGCGTTGACGAAGATAGGAAAGGTACTCCGCACGATCACCGGTGGTTGGTCTATGGCGCGATATGTCGCCATCTCAGACGGAGCTTAATAAAAACAGATTCTTGATCGACGCTGACTAGGGTTCAGACAGGGGATGATTTGATTCAGCAATTCATACAATCTACGGAGTAAATATAGTCTTTATGTTATCTAACAGCAGACCCCTTGGCCTCAAACTCTTGAAGTCAGATGGATGAACTATACCGTATAGCGCACAGCGGGAAGACTCCATGCATTGCGCCGTGGTGAATTCAGAGTAGAAAAATAGGCTGCATGTAGTATCCCTCTGTTCTTTTATACTTGATGGCACATGCGTCTTGAATCAGTACATATATGCCGAAGAAACAAGTCTGCCATCTGCAACGCAGATTCACAGTACCCTGGCGGGAATATATATCAAGATCCTGATAGTCCTGCCCATGCATCCGTAGCTATATTGTAGTACAGGTCCATTTAAAGAGAAAGAGCGGACGCTGAATGTCTGACCGGACCTAGTATATTGATAAAATTCAATGAAGCATGCCGTACTCGCGCTGAAGTGTGGAGGATGCAGGGCTATGCCTGCCATGGACCCTTCGGCATCTGGACCCTTGCGTCGAAATGCCATTATTGGAAACAGGACCGTAGAGGAGCCGTGAGCCTGTGAGTCGGGACGACAAGGGTATGTCATGTGTAACAAGAGAGCTGGATTCCGATCGTTTCATCTTCTCGTGGGCTGGAAACCCTGCAGTGTACAAGCACGGTACGGAGAAGTGAGAATTACGGGGTATGGGTGGCTTTAGTGGCACAGAGTTTGAAAATATACCGCAGTAACAAGATAGCTGGGCTACATTGACTGCTCGCAATGCAATGAGCACGAGCATGACTATTGATAATTAAAAGACCTGGGTATCTAGATTTACGTAGATCATTCGTCGTCGTCATAGTTCTCACGGTCCTCGAACTTCATAAAGTCGTCCGGAGAAGCTTCATCTCCCATTACGACGGTCCAAGCATCCTTCACCAAGTCAATGGTGGTATCATCGAAAGCCAGGTCTAGGCTGGGCGCAGGGAACCGAATGACATTGCCCGAGACCACATTGGCGGGGCGTGTTTCATCTCCAACGAGACGTCCAAGCTGTGTGTAACGGAGAGACCATAAAACTCTGGCATCTGACCCCGCGCTGGACTGGAGTAGCTTATCTACAGCACGCTCAATCAAGGTTTGCCCTTGTTGGCCAGAAATGCTGACACTACCGTATATGACACCTGTAAGACAGACATTAGCATGCAATGAAGCAAAAAGTGAGGCGAGTAATGGGTAATGTCAGGTGCCATGATCAGTTCGTAGAATTCTCAACAGTGCATTTCAGGCAATGTAGATAAGTTTTGAAAGAAAATCATCATAGTAAGGCGTGGTGCAGAGACGGGAAGGAAAGTGGGAACCTACTTTGACCTGTCGGACACTCGGCAGTCTCGCTAGAGTGCACGGAAATATAAACCGGCGGCGATTCGTCAGTCAGGCCGAGTGAAGCTGCTGGGAATACTACAACGGCACCAGCAGGGACCGGGCCGCCCTCTGCCGTGACGGGAAATAAGCCGTCCAAGGCCGATGACACAATGGTGATCGACCGTGAGACTTTAGCATAGTCACACGAGGTTTTAGTATGTGAAGGAAGATCCCAGTCGGAACCGACCACATATTGAGTGCTAATGGTTTCACCGCTGAGTAGGCGCAACTGTATGCGTGAACCACCAGCAGCGCCTTGACTCATAGTCTCAATGCCAGAATTCAGGACGTATACGCCACCACCAACGGCAAGGGCACGACATCCGACCTGTGCGATTTCGGAGCCGCCGCCCCATTTCACTAGGACACTTCCGAAGCCTGGACCAAAGATCCCAATAGAGGCTAGATGTCTCTGGATGCGAGGAACAGCATATCGGGCGATGGTGCTCTGGGCTGGAGCTTGAGATAAAGAAAGCGACAGCAAAGGATCAAAGAGTTCAGCGGGAACTTGAAACTTGGATGTGAGGTACTCTGGAAGTGGCTTGGCCAAGACTTCCTCCTCGAGGGCTGAGCCCGTGTCGTCGGGAGATTCTTGGTTCAGTGAGCGCAGGAATCTCATGAGGGTCCTCTTCGACTTCATGCTGATGAAGTCATCAGCGAATACATCCTCGCGACTGCTAGGAACTCTGTAAAGATCCTTGTTCTGGCCAGACGCTGGTTTGTAGATCCACCAGCTTCCGACGGCTTGAAATTCAAGTTGTCGATAGACTTTGGAAGACACCAACGTCGGCAGAAGCTGAGACCTAGAGTAGATAAGTTGTGGTGACAGGGATAGTGTATAAGCCCTTGAAGATGACAGTCCGGTGCTAGACTCTGAAGGGTCCGCGGTAAACACTGTAGCGTCCTCAAATGGAAGTTGAACGGACTCTAACTTATTCACATCGAAGTCAGCGGGTGATGTTTTGGAGATCGCCGGCAACCGAGACCCCACCTTTGTTTACCTCGGAAGCCCACTCTTCAGCTTCCTGCAGACTCAGAGCGGCTTCCGGGCCGCCATAATAAGGGTTCTTATCAACATGGATGACCTTTTTACCTGACCGAGAAAGAGCTCTTGTAAAATATTAGCAGAGAATACTTTGTGAGCAGGGAATGAACATACAAAGCCAGAAGCGACTGGGCAATCCCAGTGCCAGAAATCGTCACGTCCCACTGTGTCTCCTCCAGCGACTCCATTATGCCGTTGGTAGGGATCTTGAGATCAAAGCTGTGTTTAGTGTAATGTGTTGAGTAGAGTATATGGCCCTAATGTCATCACGTCGGCAGGCTCAAATATAAACGCCTTTGAATAGTCCTACAACCCATTTGTGGTGGCTGCTGTCCAAGGACAAAACGCTGGTAGGAGAAGCGAAGAAAATCTGAAGCGCACGGAACTTGGAAGAAATACAGATGGGCCCCCGATGTCACGTGCTACCGCTAAGACTGTGGGGAGCGAGCATCGGATACAGAAGCCGGAGAGTGAGAAGTGGTAGGAGATAGAGATACAATGAAATTGTTGAGCAAGAGCGAGATAGCGTATCGCAGATTGACCTTCAGTCTCTCCTAGAAAATATACGACTCCTCGAGCTCTGTGTAGAATGTAGGACCTGTAGGTAGAGCTCTAGACGCGCTATTCCGTAATCGGCTAGACTGACAAGAGCTTCGCACTTAAGGACATTTTCTTCCGCTGTGCAAGTTCTTTCCTTTTGCATGCCACTCCTGGTGCTCTGCACAGCCAGACTGCTTTCCCGTAGCAGTTTGTCTACTTCGCAACGGCCTTCACTGGCTATGCGTCTCAGGGGTGGTAGACAGAATCTGTCACTCTGTATCTGCTGCTCTGGATGGAAACAGCTGATGGAAGCGGTTCGTTTTGCAGTGACACATCTCTATTTAGGCTTCTCTACTCAGTAGTTGCTAGATTCACTCCTGTCATGCGACAGCGTTCTAGCTTAGTAGCTCGGTTGCCCATATCACCTTCGGGGTGGGTTTCTAACCGGACATCGTATTCCCGAAGCCTACTCGACGCGGGTGTTGACGCCAGAGCCGCCAACATGCTCGCCTCCGATAGCCTAGTCATGATTCACCTCGACGACAGGTGTTGTGTTGTGGCGGTCGTAATTCGTCCTCAAGATTCATCTTCGAGACGTCGGCACCTAGTGATCTTTGGGCCTTCACTCTTCATTCCCTGCCTCCACGATCCTTGCGCGCAGGATCTTGACCTCGTCCAAAGGTCGGTCCTCATTGTTTGTCTTCACAAGCCCCATGCGCTGTATGATCCTCATCCCGCTCTTTACGCGACCGAAGATTGTGTGCTTTCCATCGAGCCAAGGTGTAGGAGCCAGAGTCACGAAGAATTGACTCCCGTTGGTATTAGGTCCGCTATTGGCCATGCTCAGAATCCCGGCTCCAGTATGCTTCAGATCCGAGCGGATCTCGTCCTCAAATTTCTCGCCGTAGATTGAGCTGCCTCCTCGCCCGGTGCCAGTAGGATCACCAGTCTGGACCATAAAGTTCGGTATGATGCGGTGGAAGATGACATTGTTGTAGTAGCCGCGCTCCGCAAGTGTCGCGAAGTTCTTGCAAGTCTATAGCCATCACCAGTGTCAGTAGATTGCGTGTCGTGCGCAAGGCGCCCTGGCGGGGAATGCGACTGACCTTGGGCGCATGTGAGTTGTAGAGCTCTACAGTGAACGAGCCCTGGAATACGTCAGTAATCAGACTAAGCATTGGACTCACAGCGCTTACCATGCTCGTGTCAAATGTGACATCAGTTGCCATGATTGACAAATAGAATAAATTCTGGAGTGAATGCCTCGAGTGACTGTCTCAGTGAAGGCGGTTGAGTTTGAGCTCCGAGGCGGAGGTTCTGGTCTTGGCATATAAATTACTGGTAGGACTGGCCTCTGCGATCTGTCAACAAACATCCATCGACTCTCATCAACAAGCTCAGTACGCTCAAATTACTCGGGACCAAAGAGATTTTGCGATAACATTTCTGCCTCTCAACGCGCTCTGTCCTACAGCCAGGTTGTCAACCTAAAATGGCTGAGGTCAGTCCACTTGCAGAGCTCTTGGGGCAAGCGCTGTACCAATACACACTCATCAAGCCGCTTTTGCCTACTTACGGACATGTGGTCCTAGCAGCTCTCTTTCCGCTGTTTATTGGAGCTCATGCATCACTCTCAAGGCCAAATTCCGCCGCCAAACCGCCCAAACAGTCTGACAAAGATGCCAAGGACTCAGAGGATGATGAAGAAGAGGAAGAACCCCAGAATGATCAACAGAAAATGGAAGGACTCGCACCAAGCGATGCTCTGATGTTTCCTTTGACTGCTGGTGCTACCCTTGGTGGCCTTTACTTGGTGATTAAGTATGCGGGAGCCGACCTTCTGAATAAAGTACTTGGTTTCTACTTCTCGCAAATGGGCATCCTCTTCGCCATGGCATTTGTGAAAGACACGCTCTCAGTCTTCAGATCTTTCATATTTCCGCGCAAGTACACACGCCATGGGCGAACCTGGAAACCAAAGCAGTCTGAACGCGTCTTCGAAGTTGTGACTACCTCGGAGCCAGCTGATACACGCCAATCGCCTCTACCTGGGATCTTCGGCTCCATCCCATTGCCTAACTTGATTCTGAAGACACTCTGGCTCTTCCGTGGGATGCTGTACTGGCGAGCAAAGCTTCGTGTTCATGTACACCGTGTTGTCCATTTGGAGTGCTCATTCGGCGCGCTGGAAATCCTGAGTGGCGTCCTGTCAATACCAACAGTGGCCTACTTCACATTCGTCTCGAACCCATGGTGGCTAACCAACTTCCTCGGATTCTCGTTCTCCTATGGTACTCTTCAGTTGATGTCGCCATCCACTTTCGTCACCGGCTCTCTTATTCTTGGTTCGCTGTTCTTCTACGACATCTACTTTGTTTACTTCACCCCCTTGATGGTGACCGTTGCGAAGAAGCTCGACGTCCCAATTAAGCTCTTATTCCCCCGCCCGCCTGCTCCAGGTGAGGCTCCTGATACGGTCTCTCTGGCTATGCTAGGACTAGGCGACATTATCATACCCGGCATGATGGTGGGTCTGGCCCTTCGATTTGACCTTTATTTGTACTACAAGGCAAAGGGCATGATTAAGGCACGATCAGAAGGTGAAGGCTCAGAATTCGTCAAGCCAGTCTACCAGTCAGCAACGGGAGGATGGGGTGAACGGTTCTGGGCACCATCGGCTCGGCCAAACGAACCCGAGCTGGAGCCCCCTTATCGCGACGCCCGCTCATTTCCTAAGACATACTTCAAAGCCAGCCTTGTTGGATACACGATTGGAATGATCACTACGCTTGCTGTCATGCAAATCTTCGACCACCCACAACCAGCCCTCTTATATCTCGTTCCTGGCGTGTTGATCTCGCTATGGGGTACTGCCTTGGTCAAGGGTCAGATCAGCGAAATGTGGGAATTCACCGATGTAGAAGAAGAAGATGACAGTCAAGACGAGAAGGATGGCAAAGATCAGGAAGATCGCGACGCTTCCCCAGGAAAGAGCCACGGCTTCTTTGCTCCCATTTACTCCCTCTTCAACCAAAGCGCTGGAACCAAAAAAACCGAAAAGAATCCCAATGAGGAACAGAACACCTCCCAGGGGGAGTCCGATGGTGAGACTGAGGAGAAGAAACCTAAGAACAAGACGAAGGCACAATCTGGTGGCAGCGACGCGGACTCGAAGAACCTGGATCTATTCTCGATCTCGATTTACATGCCTCGAAAGGCTGGACCGAAGGAGTCTCAAACAACAGATGAGAAGGAAATTCCAGGTCCGGCTCAAGATGAAGAAGATTGGTCTTACGTTCCGGTATCTGAACCGGACAACGAGCCCCCTACAAAGAGACGACGACGGAGTCCACGACATGCTGCTGCAACTTCTGATTAGGGTCTCTGGTATTCGGGTGCTGGTGCAGTTTGGATATGAAGGCGCAACGGTGGCGTCGATGGTGTTTAATGAAATATTTGAACGAATAATGCCGGACTGACTAAATGAGCAATTGAGGTTGGGAAGTTTATGAGGATAATTTAGGTATGAACTATCGTACGAATCAATTGCGAATTTGCTCGCCATAAACATCGTATTGTTTAGACATCTTCAACATCGCTGAAGAATCTGGTTGATATCGTCCCACCTTCGAGCCGATATGTCCACTAGATCTTTCAACTCTTTCCTATCCACTGCAAACCCGCCGTTCTTCTCCATCTTTAGTAGTTTGACCTTGCCATTTGAGGTCTTATCCACGACCAGAGACACCCTCTCTTGAGTCAACCCTTCTTCATATCCATCAGGGTCTGCCAAAATCCATCTCCGTTGAATCCCCTTCCTCTCACTCTCCGCCAACTTCCTCTCCTCCTCAGCATCAGGAATAACAACCGCTCTCCAACCCGCCGCCGCATCTGCTTCAAAAACACCAAACGAGCTAGCAACAGGCAATCCTCGCAGCGACAGCTTGCGAGCTTCCGAAACAAGGTCCGAGCATACCACGGTCTCATTATCAACATCCCACCAGGCGCGCGGCAATTTCGTATCCCGGAGCGCAGCCAAAACAGCCGTCCACGCCGCATCGAACGGATTCCCTGCGAGCGAAATAATCATGATATCGATGTAGAGAACCCAGAAGGCCTTGATCTCGCGCGCCTCAAGGTTAGCCTCCTCAGCCTCCGGCCCAGCATCCACATCCATCTGTTCACCCTCATTATGGCGCTCCAGCTCTTCCGCTCCGAAGTTCGGCCGCTGGTACCAAATCTCCAAGTCCTCCGCACGGACTAGCCGCGAGCTATGCAGTAACGAGAGGATCTGATGTGATAGTGATTGTGCGAGTGCAGAAGGCGGGGCGCCGGGGATGAATCCTGGTGCGCACCCGGTGCTCAGGGAAAGGTTGGGCACGAGTAAGCTGAAGTCTTCGATGTAGGAGTTATCGTCATCTTCGTCGTCTTTTGATCCGTCTTCGCGGTCCTCGCCAGGCTTCTCGGTTGGGTTCGTCAGTTTCCGACGCTTATTGGATGGAGAGGAGGAGGAGTGCGAGACGCTCCATGAGGCGATGTCTTCGGTGTGTAGGATCTCCGCTTTGACGCCGCAGACGGCCGTGGTGTCGCCGACTCGCACAACGGCGCTGCCATTTGTGTGTGTTAGGGAGCCGGTGTTTGCGGAGGTGACGCGGAACTGAGAGGGTGCGCGGCCATTGGCTCGAATGGATGGCTGTTGGCTCGATGCGGGGGGTGAGAGATGAGCGAGCAGGTAGGCGTGAGGTTGGAGGCGGGCGAATTGGGATGGCGGAAGCGCGAGAGATGGTGCAGCGGGCTGCGAAGCTGCAGCTGCTGTAGTAGATGCCATTTTTCAGGGATCAAAGGTTAAACTTTTGCGGTGTTTGGGTTCAGGCGGTTTGAATAGCAGCGAAGAAAATCGGGTTTTCTGCGGCAGTATAATGTCATGCATAAAGGCGGTGAACACGATGTAGATACAGGCGAGCCTGCAAACAATTCTTACTGAATCTACACTTACGAATGATACGCCTCTTAAGCGCCAAGACTGCATATTTATGCTTGATCGATGCAGCATTGGCTGCTAGTAGCCTGTTTTTGAAAAAAGGCGCGAATTCGAGAGTGTTCTGGCTCTGGCTTGTGGTTAAACAGATTGATTGACTTTGCAACCTCAGCAATCATTATTGCCTGCTAAAGAGCTAAAGATCTCGCGATCTGAAGTCAGAAATGGATAAGCCCAGCGCACTAGGAGGCAAGGGGCTATATCAACTGCCGGGCGTCCAACTCGCTGTAAAAGCGAAGAATCACGAACGACCTCACCGAGGCAGCTCCCGATGTGGTGGGAGTGGCTTGAGTTTAAATGCTCTTCAGAATCAGCCATATTGAATCTATTCTTGACGAAAAAAAATGAGGTCTTATCGTTTCAGCATATCTATATTCGATTACGAGGAGGCGCCGTCCCAATGAACCTCAAAGAGGGTCCTCTTCCGGCAAGTGAGGACCATCTTGAAGAGAACCTCCATATGGGGCAGACATTTCTTGCCTACGCCAGGACACGAACCTGACGATTTTTGGATGATGATGTGGATTTACTCAGGTTTAACGAAGCTGACCGTGGCTATGGGCAGCCCCCCGCCGATGCGCGAACATGGGCCAACCACCGGGACACTCCCTGGCACGAATGGTTGACATGCGCAGAGTACGAAGTGGTGATATATCCAAACACTTCAAAGGAGCGGAGATTGGGACTTCCATAGTGCTCGACGTCAACATAAACCGCGGTTGTCCCAAAGGATAAAGTGCCTATAAGCCAAGAGGCTATTAGTAGACTGCCCGAGCTTGTCCTGGATGTCACGTCGCCATGTAAAATCAGGAGGCTTCAACACCGTGCGGTCTCAGACATCGTCAGGAGCACCATGTGCGCCTTTTGAAGTATGAGCGCTAATAGGCGCAGCTTGATGGCGGAAATCGTGCTGGGACCGAGGTATCTTTTTAGGGCATGACGGCGCTGAAAGCTCTTAGGTTGAAACAACAACGGTGACTCGATTCGCGCGTCTTGGAAATAAGTGAAGCGAAAGAACTTCTTTGATGAGGCTTGATTTCCATCAAAAGCACCGGTTCTTGATCGTCGGTCTGGTATACGGTACGTGATTAGGGCTTTGAACAACAGCGCTCGAGGGGACGCGAAAACCTCAATGTAGGCGACTTACATATTCGACACCTGGCCCATCTGACCTTCAGAACTTCATTGATACGGAGAGCTCTGTATCGTTGTTTGAGCGCCAAATGTTTCCTAGTCGCACGAAGTCCGGTGATGCGCCACGCCATGCCATGTCGAGTCTCGATCTCCGGGTTTCTGACCAGCCTCTAGGTAAAAGCTCCCACGTGCACCATACATAAAACTTCTCCCGGAAACCGGCAACAAATTCGCAGTGAAAGAGATCGGTAAATCGACTCGCAGTTTCTGCTCAGAGCTCACAAATCCTTAATCAGCAGGGAAACGCTTATCGCAGACACCGAGCGAGTAGGAGAGCCCAGCTTACCGCCGAAGCCATGCAACCCCGCCCAATCACGCCGCCACAAGGCCAGCCCAAGGTGACGAGAGCCCAGGCCGTCGCATTAGCGGGGATCGGACTGGCCGTGAGCTGCAGAAATGGCACAGTTTGGCACACCCACAGCGATCGATGGTTGGCCACGGCCCGAGCAAGGAACCCTCTCAGCCAATCCACTATTCGTCTCCCTGGAGATCTTCCTTCGAGGTTCTGCCAGATGCGTCATGCAAGCGACGAAGTGACGCCCCTGTGTTCTCCCCGCATGAGAAGTGTGATAGCCAATTGCCATGTATCGATTCCATGTTGTCAGGGTGTTCAAGGCGGATGGCCAGGATGCTGAGGGTAAGCTCAGGTCCGGCGGTTCTTCCCCTCCTTCGCCATGCACTTTTTCCATCTCTCAGCCACCCACAGGTGTTATGACTGTTTGAATCATTCGTTCTGGGGCGATCATATTCCTTTTCCTGCATGCCTACGGGTCCTGAGCGCGACTGGGACAAAGAAGTCTTGAACGTTGTCAAGATCAGGAAGACCAGTCGAAGTAATTCGACCCCCAATGAATGCTCCGCTCAATGATTCCAGTAACCGTCGGAGGATAAACAGTTGACAGCCCTCGCTCTTGCATCCTTCATTTGGTTTGCGGTTTCGAAGCTGGTCTTCTGGAACGTAGACCTCGCCGAGCTCGTGAAACACAACTATTTACTGTGGGATTCGAAACCGACGCATCATGTCGTCTTGGGATCACGTTACTAGATTTGTGAAGCGCATCAACTTCCCCAGTGATACTCCTTGGGGTGATGCAGTGCTCGAAGAACGCCAGCACGATCCATGGTCCAAAGCCGGCAAGTATGGAAGAGGCTGGGTGTATTTCTCGTTGGTGCTGCTGGCAATAACGACTGCAATTCGCTTTTACCATACCTGGGGGGATCGGGTCAGAATTGCTTTGCACAGAGAGAAACCACGGGCAGGAATTCAATCTCCTCAAGACGAATATGAGCTTCCGAGCGCCGCCACCGACAGTTCGACTACGCTGTTCTTCCCGGCACAAGGGCCCCTCCATGCCAAACAGCAGCAGTCTTCCGTTTCAACTGTTGCGCCATTGAACAATGCCATTGCACTCGCGCGCTGGATCTTCTATCGTTCGCTCCCGGAGATCCGATTAGGGAAATACCGAATCGTTTTTCCTTCGCTAGGAGCGTCGGCAATCATCCTCGCGGCCCTGATATTCGTTACGCTCTATTGCTTCGTTCCACAGCCGCTCTACTACTCGTCTAACAGGATCGGATCGCCCCCTTTGGCTATCCGCGCAGGAATGTTGGCAGTCGCAATGATTCCGTGGATTGTGGCGATGAGCACCAGGGCAAATTTTATCAGTATGTTGACTGGCATCGGCCATGAGAGGTTGAATGTGCTTCATCGGTGGGCTGGCTACATCTGCCTGTTTCTGAGTCTCGTCCACACGATCCCGTTCTACATAACACCAATCTGGGAACATGACATGCTGGAGATATACCAACTTTACCTCACCCCGCACATTTACGTTTATGGAACAGGGTTGGCGGCACTTGTTCCCCTGTGCTTTCTATGCATTCACTCATTACCGATTTTGCGCGACTGGATGTATGAATTGTTTCTGAAGGTCCATCTTCCCGTGTCTATCATATTTGTTGCCATGCTCTTCTGGCACACGAAAAACTACCTATCGTCATGGGCCTACCTGTGGTCTACAATTGCCATACTGGTCCTTTCCTACGTTGTGAGGTTGGGCTACCTCAACTGGACCAACCCTTTGCGACTGTCGTTTATGATTGGAGAGGATTCCGCGGTCACTGTTCTGCCACAAAATGCGATCAAGATCACAATTCCGACTCAGATGAGGTGGAAGCCTGGGCAATATGTATACCTACGCATGCCTGGTGTCGCTTTCTTTCAGAACCATCCTTTCACTATCGCCTCGTTATGCAGCAATGATTTACCCTCCAACTACGGCGATGAATACCGCGACTTGGCCCTTGTCTTTCGCCCATTTCGTGGATTTACGCGCAATGTGCTTCGAAAATCCGTCGAATACGGACCGTTCAAAACATGGACGGCTTTCCTTGAGGGGCCATATGGAGGTATGCGGCGGCAGATGGCAGCTTTCGATGATGTGATCTTCTTCGCAGGCGGTAGTGGCATTACTGCTATCGCTAGTCATTTGTTGGACTTGATCAAGAAAATGCGCGAGGGCAAAGCTGTCACGAAATCAGTCCGAGTCATTTGGGCCCTAAGAGACCCGGAATCCATTGACTGGTTCAAGGAGGAATTGCGCATCTGCAGAGACCATGCGCCTCTTAACTCTGTGCACTGCTACTTCTACCTCACAGGTGCCAAGGACGACAGCGGCCACCCATTCCCCGTCCAAGACCAGCAGCTGTACCGCGATATCGTACAGGAGAAGATCTACGATACGCTCCAGGAAATCGAAAAGCGCAGCTCAGCATACATCCGCGAGGAAGCCGCCGGGGACGAGGAGCGAGAGAAGGAACTGCGTCGCGAAAACGAAGACACCCTCACGGCCCTACCTCCTCGCGTCTACACCTCAAATTTACCGCGGTCATCAAACTACCAGTCGCCCCAACAAAGCACCAGCCTCTCACCATATCAACAATCTCCCTACCAGTCGCCTTACCAATCTCCCTACCAATCCCCACAATCCCAATTCCCACAATACCAATGTCCATCCACGTACCTCCAACAATCACCCTATATCTCGCCTCAAAGCCCACCAAACGCCCCCTTCGACTTCGGCTTCAGCCAGTCCCAGCAGCAATCCCAGTCCTACTTCCCACCACAACCGCAACCCCCAACGACAGCCCCTCCCCAACTCACAATCCAAACCGTCCCCGTCGCAACGCCGCGTCCAAACCCGCGCTTCGCATCGCTACCTTTGCAGAAACGCAACGGGTGGAAAGTCGAATACACCCGCCCCAACGTCCCTAATATGCTCAAGGAGTTTTCCAAGACGTTCGGCCGCCGGACATGCGTTTATGTCTGTGGGCCTCCGAGTCTGCGCATGGATGTCTCCGATGCTGTTGCGGGGCTGCAATCGCTTGTGTTGACGGATTCGTCCAAGGATGAGATTTTCCTGCATGCGGAGAACTATAATATTTAAACTAAAGCTTGTGCTTGCTTGTTTAGATTTGATGTCATGCTTTAATGCCTTGTTATGCCCATGATTGGTTTTACGATTTGCCAGTGTTCTGCGCTTCATTTGAGCTTGATACCATGGTCTTTCTGGAGTTTGATTAAACTTATTGGATTAGTCCCGAAGATAACACTTAATCAGAATATAATATTCTATTGGATATTGTTTCCCTAAGTTTATCTTAAAAAAAAGTCGATAGATTTCTAGTCAACAGCAAGGGTATCCTCGACGCCAAAATATGCACAGCAACAAAGTGTGGAGAAGGGTATAAACCAATATACATCAAACAAAATATCAGACCCCGATTCAAAAAGCAGACAAATGTGCCTAGGACTCCTCACTAGTCTTTCGCTTCTTTCTCGCGGACCCATTGACATCGAGTAGCGAAGACCCTGTAAACGATTGCACGCCGAGTTCCTCCGGCTCGAGCTCGTCCTCCGCTTCAACCTTTTCCCAGTCGTCATCAGCATCATCATCAGCATCAGCACCCGTGTCCGGTGTGCCATGTCCTTCATGGTTCTCTTTGGCCATCGGTAGTTGTGTAACGGGTTCGGCGGTTGTATTATCCTCAATGTTGTCGCGTTGAAGATGGAGCTTGACGATGCGCGCGCCAGAAGGCTTCAGTCGGCGATAATAGTTCTCAATAATGTCCTCCTGCACCTTAAACCCACGTGAAATGTACCACTTCAGTCCGTCTTCATTTGCCTCGTGCACGTGCGCGGTAACCGATCGAATGTTGTAATGTTTCACGAGATCTGAAACCTCGCAGCTTTGTGCCGATCCGGCGTTAGGCGTAGACGTAGAGGAGAAGAGTAACGAGTTGAGTAGCGAAGCCGCGACACCGCAGCCACGGTACGGTGAAAGCAGATGCAGCGTCTGAATGTAGAGATTCGTCGGTTCCTTCTCGTGATTCCCATCGACGGCTGGAGTAAGCCGCTCCAGTCGGCACCGAATCGCGCCAATGACTTTATCTGTCCCCGCTGTGGGCGACTGCGAAATAGCTGACGTTGGCGCAAAGGCTACCGGGTGATCATGGTAGATGGCCACGCGTGACACGGAAGCAATCACGGGATCCGTGACTGTAGCGGTGTAGAAGGAGTTCGGGTAGCGGATTGGCAAGAGCAGGCCAGTGATTCGGGACAGGGACGGAATGTGAGCTGTGCTCACTGGTTCTATCGTGACGTGCTCGTGCGGAGAAGGATAACCGGGCTGGATAGCGTGAGGGTACGCGGGGGGCTCGAATGAACGGTCTTTGGAGGTTGGAGGCTTCAGCTTCGCAGCGATATTGACGGCTGATGGTGCTGAGGGCGCTGAGGCGACCATGGCCGGGGGATATTTTGGAGGGCCATGGCCACTACCACGCGATGGTGGGGACGAGTGTTGGGGAAGTGGGGGAGACGCGGAGGAGGACCGCTTCGCCTGGTGGGCTTTGGCAAAGAACTGATACGCCATGTACAGTGTGGTATTAAACACGGCCTGGAAAGAAACAATCTGAGCAGTTGTAAAGGAAAAGGGCAGCTAAAGCGAGGGACTGGGACTGTTGAGAGAGAGAGTAAGACAGACACACGCCGACCATGTGGTCAGGCACCGCGCGGAGGACGCGACAAGGCGGAGATGGCGATAAGATAAGATCGACGGCAGAATTAATAAGAGGGAAGAACCTGAGGCCACCAATTGCGGCCATCGCCAGCGGCTCTTCACCATCTACTTCTTTTCGGCCGTGGTCAAGAGAGGTCCCAACGCCGTCTACTTCGTTAATTTGGAGCTTTGCCTCTCCGCGGAGCTGTTCTTTTTGAGTTTCTGAGCTATATATATTCTACACCTTTGTGGTTGGCGAATGTGGATAGGTAAGCCTAATCCGGGGTGCCGTTGCCCTTTCGAATAACGGCTGGTCTTATTCCACCGACGTTCCCCACCGCTCCCGAGGGCCGCCATTCCCAGTAGGGAGTCTGTTTAAATTTGTATGGTAATGTACATACAATTCGTAACAACGCTCCTACTGGGGCTGGTCTTCGTTGGGACTTGGGAGATCTCAAATTTCACCAAGTTAGCCGCGCGAAGAAAAACAGTGGCTGTCGAGGTACTGGTACTTAGTTTTCTATAAAGATTTATATATAAATCAAAGTACCTGCACTTGTAAAGCTATAAGGTCTATTTGCGCGAAGGAAAATATACCATCAACGCGCTGGTACTTTGTTTTCTATAGAGAATTGCATACAAATCAAAGTACCTGTATTTGCGAAGCTATTCAGAGGTCTATCTGCGTGGTGTTTGGCTAGGAATGAGGCCATCAACGCGTTGACAAGGCCGTCGACGCGCTGGCAAGGTTATGAAAGTGCAGGTACTTGGTTTTCTATAGAGAATCGCATATAAATCAATGTACCTGTATTTGCGAAGCTATTCAGAGGTCTATCTGCGTGGTGTTNTGAAAGTGCAGGTACTTGGTTTTCTATAGAGAATCGCATATAAATCAATGTACCTGTATTTGCGAAGCTATTCAGAGGTCTATCTGCGTGGTGTTCGGCTAGGAATGAGGCCATCAACGCGTTGGCAAGGCCGTCGACGCGCTGGCAAGGTTGTGGAAGTGCAAGTACTCGGTTTTCTATAGGGAATCGCATATAAATCGATGTACCTGTATTTGCGAAGCTATTTAGAGGTCTATCTGCGTGGTGTTTGGCTAGGAATGAGGCCATCGACACGTTGGCAAGGCCGTCAACGCGCTAGCAAGGCCGTTAACGCGCTGGTACTTGAATTTTATAGGGATTCGCATACAAATCAAAGTACATGTATTTGTGAAGCTATTCGGAGGTGTATCCGCGCGGTGTTTGGCTAGGAATAAGGCCGTCGACGCGTTGGTGAGGCCGTCGGCGCGTTGGTAAGGCCGTCAACGCGCTGGCAAGGCCGTTGACGCGCTGGTACTTGAATTTTATAGGGATTCGCATACAAATCAAAGTACCTGTATTTATGAAGCTATTCGGAGGTGTATCCGCGCGGTGTTTGGCTAGGAATAAGGCCGTCGACGCGTTGGTGAGGCTGTCGGCGCGTTGGTGAGGCCGTTGACGTGCTGGTACTTGGGTTTCTATAGAGAATCGCATACAATTTGAAGTACCTGTATTTGTGAAGCTATTCGGAGGTCTATTAGCATAGAATTTGGCTTGGTGACGGCGGAGGGCTTACCTGGTAGGGATGTGTAGAGGAATACGTGCCTGGTTTTGTTGTGGCTTTTGTTTATATAGGGGTTTCCATATAAAGTATAGCTTAATTTAAACGAAGCACGCGAACCTCACGTGCCGCTTTCATGATTGTACTTTCTAACTTTGCAAGCTTGTAGCGCAACGAAATCGCGATAAAAATTAAAAATAAGCGAAAATACTGAAGGAGAGCGCTTGAAATACTTTATATAAGTTTTTTTAGTGTTTTATTATAAGAAGTTCTGGAGTTATTTACTATTTTAGTGAATACTTGATATCCGACAACAAGATATATATTTGAATTATATGGTGTTTGGTGGCAGTTTTCTCCTAAGTTTAAATTCTGCCAAATCGGCGCGAATACTGCTTTTTAATTGGCCGAGGCCAGTCTGACCGCCCCCTGTAATTATTTGTTTCTGACTCTTTTTTCTTGAGAACCTTATAAGTTCTACAGGTACATTGATTTCTATGTGATCTCTTATACAGTATAATGTACCAGCGTAACTTAGCGAGTTTACTATAAGTTTTGACACCAGGTCGGGCGTGGGGGAGGCTAACATAGCAAGGCCAGCGTACTGTTCTGAATTGTATGAGAACTACCATACAAACTGGAACGTATTAAATACTGACCGATGGGTGGGGCCCCCCTTGGTGGACCGTCGGTAGAACAAGGACTTCCCGAATAACACTCCTTAGCTGGCTCCAGTGTTGCTGGACTCGACCTCCACCTATTCATGGTACTACGACAAATGGGCCATACATAACCTCCGTATTTGTGTTATCTGCAAGCTCGGCGCCTCTCCATTGAAAACGACACTCCTTTGTCCTTTTGTCCTTTTCGACTTGCGCCTTGAAATTACAACTGGCCACGTCCTTCTCCATATCGCAACCATCCCCGCCGGAGGTACCGCCCGACGCTTCCTTCCTTTCGCTTCAATTTATCTGCGGAATTGCGAGTCGTACATGGAGGCTCGATACTGGGTTTGAGAATTTTCTTGTCGCAGCTGCGCTTTCGCTTCGTACTCGGTTCTTCGGCCCGAGGGCGTTAAAAATATCTTGGATTCTGAAGACAGGGGTTAGCCTGACTTTACACTAGTCATGGATGCATCGAATGGGACAGACGGGCAAAGTGCCTATCCACCGGGGACAGTCGCGAAATTGGTACGCTTCTCGCACTTGTTCGTTGGCTCCAGCGCTAATTGATCAGACTTGCGACATTCTGAACGATACATTCTATAACATCATTCATGATATTGTTGCCAAAGTCCATCGGGATGAGAAGGTGGCCCGGATGCGCTCAGCAGTGGTCGTTGCAAGACAGAAGGCGGAAGAGGAAGCCACCAGGCGCCGCGAAGAGGCTGGGACTAAGCCCGCGGGCCCCGTCAAAACTGGTGAACAGGAGTCTGAAGAGTTCAAAGATATCCGTGTTGAAACCGACGGAGCTATATTTGAAGACGGCAAGGTTTATCTCAAGGGAAACCCGCTTCAAACAACAAAGGAGATAATATGTCCCGACTGTCGCCTACCTCGTCTGTTATACCCTGTGACTGGACTTGGGGCTCGTCCTCCTCCAGATCCTTACAGGGAATACTGTCAGAGGCAGCCCATGATCAGCAAACCCGGACACGATGTGCACGGGAACCCGTTTGCAACCGACAAGTTGAATCCGAAGAAGAAAAAGCAAACAAACACTTCGAATACGCCAGCGTCAAGTCCCCCAACAACGCCTGACAGTTCTTTCAAACAAGCGGCCCCAGAAAAAATATCATTCCCGACTGTGAAGTGCCCAAATTGCCCTCGTTACTTTGTTGTCACCCGGGTAGCACAGCATCTAGATCGATGCCTCGGCCTTTCTGGCAGGCAAGTCAACAGGAACAAAACACCACAGAACGACGGGAGTGGCACGCCGGCTTCTGCTCCCCCAAAGCGGCCTTTGGACGACGATACTCCGTCAGTGCTGCCGAAGAAAAAGAAACTAAGTGCTCCGAAGAAGCTGTCTGGGAAGAAACCGCCTCCTCCCAGCAAGTTGAAGAATGGCATTACCCCAGACATGGCTGAAATCAAGACCGAAGCAAACGGCGACGCATAGCCACTTTTCCCAGCCGTTCTCTTTCCATCACAGTGCCTTCGTTATCGGGCTGAACATATTCTTTTCTATTTTAATGACCTCGACACGTACATATTGGGCATATCTGGCGCAACGGGACTTAGTCTACTATCTTGACAAAAGTCTGGGAGATCATGACTTTACATTTTCTTTCTTCTTTGTTTTTCCATTCAGGTTTATGGGTCTGGGTTATCTTTGGGAATAGATGATTATGTGGTTGAATGAATGTACAATAGCCTGAGATGATTAGTTCAGGTTCTGGTCTGAATTGGCCGTACACAACATAAGATCAACGCTCGAATGTACTTGGAACTTCAATTTAATCAACTCCTTAGAGCTCCTGGAGCGGACTCGAAGCCTTCGGATGGTAGCAGATATTTATGCCTTGGGATTAAGGCATCTAATCCCGGTCTGCCCGCATAATGATCATCATGATTCATTGGCCTCATTCACCTGCAGATACTAATCCAACTTTAAAAATACCTTTCTTCCCTTCATGATTTGATCAACAGACTTCATACTCCCTCACCACCACTGTCCTCAAAATGAGTCTAAAGCAGCTCTCCTCAATCCTCCCCCTCGACGACGAATCCCTAACCGAAATCCTCGCATATACCGCCACCCTCTCGAAGGAAGAAGGCGCCGAGCACCTAAAGAACCTCCTGGGCGACTCACCCGCCGCTTTTGAATTTATATCTGCGTTTAACTCGCGCCGCGACGATCCTACACGCGCTTCTACCTCCGCTTCTGTCTCACAATCGCCCCGGCCGTCGCCGTCGCACACCCCGAGTCCGGGCCCAGGAAGGAAGAATAAGAAGACAAAAGCGCCGCTTCATAGCGCTGGCCCGCCGCGGCAACCGGCAGATTTCGGGAATGTTGCGGGCGGTTATAGGAAGGGGGATATGGATGATGATTATATGAGCGAATGGAGCGGGAGCGGGAGCGGGAGCAGGACGCTGGATGTTGGACTTGGGTCGAGCTCGTTGAGGGTCCCGTCGCACCAGGGCTCTGCGGCATCGTCGCGAACTCAGTCGCCTACGCCTACGACTACGGCCCCGCCAGGAAGAGCAGGGAAAGCTCCACCCTCCGCAGCTGGGCCGGTGATATCAGATCTCCTGCCGAACGTGAAGTCCAAGGCGGCGAAGCCTTCTCGGACTGGAGGCGGCGGGGGCTCCAGCTCCGGCACATCAACTCCCAAGGGCTCCTCCTTAACTACGAGTAACATATCCGATTTAACGGCCGCGATTGCGGCGCTGGAGGTCTCTACGAACCCGACGCTCGGCGGCGAGAGACGGAAATGCACATGCTACGGGACGCTCCATCCGGTCTTTAACGCTGCGCCGAACTGCTTGAATTGCGGGAAGATTATCTGCTCGCTGGAGGGCCTGCAGCCTTGTTCATTCTGCGGGAGGGCATTGCTCTCGAACGATGAGATTCAGAGTATGATTCGCGAACTGCGCGCTGAGCGCGGACAGGAGAAGATGCGCGCGCATAATGAGAGCCAACACCGTGATGGCGGGCCTGGGATGGGACCGGGGTCGTCGTCTTCACAATCGCCAAGCAAGCTAGACGCGGCGCGAGCGCACAGGGACAAGCTCTTGCAGTTCCAGGCGCAGAACGCAAAACGCACGCGGGTGGTCGATGAGGCTGCGGATTTCGAAACACCCTCCGTTGCATCTACATTGTGGATGACGCCGTCGCAGCGAGCGCTGGCGCTCAAGAAGCAGCAACGGATCATGCGCGAGATGGAGGAGAAGGCCAAGCCCGAGTGGGAGAAGAAGAAGACGATTATGAGTTTGGATATCAAGGGCGGTCGCGTCAGGAAGGTTTACCAGGCTGCACCGGCTGAAACTCCAGCGCCCGTGGAAGATGAGGAAACGGAGGACCTAACTTATGATGTCGGTCGCCAGAGGAGCGGTGGTGAAGCGCTCAGTCGCAACCCTTTGCTTGCGGCGGGTGGACTCATGAGACCTGTTTGGAAGGCGCCTGAGGATAAAGGGAAGTCGGCAGAGCCTAGGGAGCGGAAGCAGACCTGGCGGAGAGTGCAAGATGATAGGGATGACAACGAGCAGTGGATTCTGGATGGGGGGTTGCATGGGTACAGTGAGTCCACAATGGACGTAGAGCAAGATTCATGATAAGTAGAATGAGGCGAGACCGGCGAGACCTAAAACGCCAGGGGCTCCTCAACATCCTCGAGATGACAAGGCTTCTAGTCTGTGGCTGCGGCTCAACTCAAGTTTTGGAACCTCACCCAGCCATCCACTGGTCCACACTGAGCTTCAGGGTTGCCTGACATATATTCACATGAGAAAAATGGGCCTGCCCATCGACTTGAATATAAGTCTTAAGAATGCAAAGCAAGGCCCTCGCAAGTGTCAATGTCAATGTCTCACCTTGCATACAGCGGAGGGAACTGTTCCTGAGGACACGTGAACACAATCAACGCGGAATCCCTCAGGTACTCGGTACCCCAAGCCTCCAACATCTACAGATGTGATTCAATACTCAGATAAATCCATTCCTTAATCTCGTCCTATGTTTCTTCAAGTCGCTCTTTAATAACATTCCGCTCAGATGAGCCCCCCTCCAACACCATAACACTGGACCCCTAGCCGCCGCTATCACTCACTATCAACATGCCGCCCTACCACACTCTTCTGACCATCACAGTACAAAGTACAATCTTGAATGCAATCTCCAATGTCCTGGCTCAGATAATCGACCAGTACAGAAAAGATGTATGTTCCTGCCCACCTCCCCATAGATCCCCCCAGACCCCTCCACAAACAATATCAGAGCCAATATTGACAATCTATAGAAACCCTTCACCCTAAACACCCTAGCCCTCCTGCAATTCATCACATACGGCATCCTAATCGTGCCAATAAACCACTACTGGCAGCGATGGCTTGAGGTAATGTATCCCCCTTCCACTCCCCCTCCACTACCCTCAAACCACCCACTAACCAACCACCCAGACAACATTCCCCGGTTTCCTCTTCGAAGCCACCCCAGCCCGACAATCCCCATCTCACTCCCCCTCCCTAAGCGCCGGGACAAGCGAAGTAATCGAAGTAAAAGAGAAGCTCGTGCCCAGCGCCCCGAAATGGAAGCCCGCAGCCTCGCTCCACGGCCGACGCCGGCGCATCTTCAACTTCGGCATGAAGTTCCTCCTGGATGGGACTGTTGGCGGGATCTTCAACATTGTCCTCTTTATCGCCCTGATTAACCTGCTTAAGGGGGAGGATCTGGAGAGGGTGAGGGAGCTTGTTTTGCAGGTAATATTTTCTTTGTCTTTCCTTTCATGCTTGTTTTGTTGATGCCTGGGTGAGGATGAGGCTTTGCTAACCCGCGCAGGACTTTACACCGATCATGATTGCCCGGCTGAAGTATAGGCCGGTTGTGTCGACGCTGATGTACACGGTTGTGCCGCTGGACAAGAGAGTGGTGTTTGGGAGTGCGGCTGGCGTAATTTGGGGCGTTTATTTGAGTTTATTTGCAGTTGTTTAATCTTGTATTATCTAATTCATTTCTTTTGTTTAGACTCGTTTAGGGCTTAGAAGTTCGTATCCGGGTGGACCTCGCAAACAATGGTGTTTGGATGATTTTAGGCCTAGAGCTGCCGTTGTGACTGATATAATAGGGGGCGATCGAAGTAGAAGCGTGATTTGTCCTAGCTCCGAATTTACAAATGACATTAAGTCATAATGATACACTTCCATTTTTCATGACTGCTTCTTTGCCAGCGCCGGGGATACGTAAGGAGCCCAGCTACTGCAGACCATATACAGGAAGATTCGACAGCCTCAACGGAGGCAGAAAGGTTTGAAGGCCAAACAACAGGGAAAAGTATGAACAAGAAAAGGAGAAGTCGTCACAAATGTCATAATCACAGAGGGGGTTTTGTGCCCTCTTTGCTCGCAACAAGGGCTATCAGAGCCGCACCAACTCCACTACCGTCCTTTGAGATACCAATGCGGATCTTCTTGTCGCCGGCTGCGCCGACTTCAGGGACCTCACGCAGAGCTTCACGCAGGTATCCCTCAAAGTTGGGGTAGAACTCGACCAGACTGCCGTCAACACCAACGTCTACCAGGTCTTCCTTCAGCTTGCCGGTGGAAAGGAGGGTGGCGGCAATAGGGACCGCAGCAAGGCGAGCCGCACGCTTGCCGATGGCGTGGACAACGGTCTGGACTGCCTTGCAGTCGTTGTCGCTCGCCCGCTCAATCTTCAAGTGGTCCTTCAGCGCGGACTTGATCTGCTCGTGGTTCTTGCTCTTGTCGGCTTCGACAATGCTCAGAAGACTAGTGTCGATACCCCATTGTCTGTAGAAAGAGGAGGACTCGGGAATAAAGACATCCGACCCTGAAGTGGGCTTGAAAAGACCCTGAGACTTGTGCAGGTCAAGCAACGCTAGGCGCAAAATTTCGCCCAAGAACATACCCGAGACACGCTTCTCGAACATCTGGATACCAGGGTTGTTGCTGTCGGCATCCAGCTGCTGGTCGTATTTCGTGGTGGGTAGAACGCTGAGGTGGTTGTCGAAGCTACCCCACTCAGCGTTGATGATCATCTCACCGGTTGACTTGTCGTAGTTAGAGTGCTCAATCTTAGCCATCTTGGTAATCCTATCAAGCTTCTCGACGTAGGCACCGTTCGTGCCTGTTCCGAAGATCGCACCGAGGAAAGTTCCGGTGGTGCCGGGCGACGTGTACGAACGAGCCATAAGCGTACCAACGGTATCGTTCACAAGTGCAGCCACGCGCACAGGAAGATGCAGCTCGTCGATGGCATCTTGCAAAAGCGCGCAAACATCCTGGCCTACAGCGTCGGGAATGTCAAAGCCCTTCGTCCAGCGAATGAGCGTACCCTTGTTGATTCCCAGCTGGCGCACAGGGAAACTGAATGTGAATCCAAGATCAAACAAATCCTCCTCCCTGGCTGTACCCGCGATCTTCCGCTTGAGGTGGGCCTCGAAGTGCTCGTTGTGGTGGATGCGCAGGAAAGACTCGATCTGGCGCGCGAGGAACAGGAACAGCTCCTTTGCTGATCCTGACGTCATCATCTCACGGGGAATCATTATCTTGGACTGTGTGAGGGAGAAGGTGTGGTTGCCGTGCAAATCGATCGAGCAGACTCGGAAGTTTGTGCCGCCGAGGTCAACAGCCAGATACAAGCCCTATGCAAGAATGTCAGAGCCAGTTCTACCCTGCTTCGTGAAGCAAAGTCCATACCTTTTCTGTGCCATTGGGAACGGACGTCACGAAGGTCGGGATCTGGCTCAAAGTTGTGCCCTCCTCGGACAATCCCTCTTCGACCTCCCTGATGTACTCCTTCACTCCACGCTGCACTTCTTGCGGCGAATACTCGAACTGGCGAGCAATGCGCGCGGCCTCATCTACCAGAGCGGACATGATTGCGGACGATGACTGGACGAATAACAGTCAGTAAGGATAGGCCAAAGCAAACAGCCTTCCCAGGCTCTTGTAAAGACTAACCTGAGATGTAAAAATCAAAAGCAAGCTGGAGATCTGTAGAGAGAAATATGGATGGAGCAAGGAGGGGAAATGCGGGAGGTCGTTCTGGGGAATGGGAGGAAAACAGCGGAGATGAGACGATAATAATAGAAGTAGGACAGAGCGAGGCGAAGCGAGGAATATATTAATTCATGGGGAGGTAAAAGTGAAGCAAGGCCGAGATAATTTCATGGACACGGAGGGGTCGATGAGGTCAGTCGAGGTGGGTAACAGACTGCGGGCGACTCGGGTTGGCGGGGCTCCATTCATCTCGCTGCTCAGGCAGACTCTTCCGGACGCGGCCTATCATCGGGATCAAGCCAGCTTGAGGCATATTTTGCTCGGGTTCTTTCGTAGCTCCCTGCCAGTGCGCCGTGTCCCGAACTGCCTACAGTTGGCTGTAAAAACGGCGAGATTGGAGGCCATAGCGACTCCATCGGATTCCAGCTATGACGCTACGAGACACAGTGGAGATGGCGCGGGCTTTTGCTTCACCGGTGAGAAACAATGGTTAGGATTGGGGCAGGGAACGGAGATGCAGACGAAAAGAAGACATGGATGCTTCTAGCGGAATTTATCTAGATTGCTATACAAACTTACAGAAGCGATGGCAGTGCAGCCGGTGTCACGCAGCGTACCTTGCCTTAGGATGCCATCGGCATCTGCAACCTTCTTCGAGAGATTCGAGTCACGCAGCCTCGCTCTTTGAGGCTATATCATCTCACCATCCTGGCCATCGTGACCACCCGGAGGCTTCTCCGTGATACCTTTAACAGGCTAGCTGCTCTTGGGTTCTTGGAACGCCGGTGCGTGTAGCAGTTCGTCTCTGCCACTTCCGTCATAATTATAAGATGAGATTGGGTTCCGGTAACCCATATTCGAACTCTGGACCATGGATAGCTGCAGAGATCCATATAAAGATAAACAATGACATACTTGACGCCAACAAGCAGTTGAGACAAGCAGCGCGCCGATGCGACAGACAATAGCCCGTCTCATATGACTGAAACAACTAGCATATCCAGAAGAGGAGGTTTATTCTGATATATGACATCCGTAGTGGTATGTACTTTAACAAGCATAATGGGCTACAAGGAGCATGAATTCCAATGTTTCCTGTATAGATGAAAGTTGGAGCACAAGTTGGAGCTCGGGGGATCTTATGTAGACCTTATATAATCCAGATGTGAATTTACATGCACGTGACTTTTCTGCCGGCGGAAGTCGGCTGCAGTATCAACCTCTAGATTCCGGTGACGACCTTGGATAGCTCATCAATCCGCTCATTGCAATCAATTGCGGCGCATCATCAGCCAGCCGGAGGAGCTATACTTGTTCCACGTCAACGAGCTCGAATTTTCTAATTAAACAGCACATCATGGGCGCCGGCAGCTCAAAGCTCGAGGCCTCGGCCGGGTCAAAACACCTTTTCGATAGGTACGAACCGCTACCCCAAGGTCTCTACCGGGGCAATTGGCTTGATATAGATGCTTTCAGGGGCTGCTCTTCCGAATGACGCGTCTCGCGAAGACAGTCATGACCAGCCTCGTTCTGTTCAAACACATAGCTAATGAGATCATCCAGCTCCTCCCCCCTCCAATTCTCCTCCAACCTCTTTGACGGCCTCCAATCCAACACCGAAGTACGTCACCTTCTTACCTCGTCAACCTCCGTATCTACACATAGTGCAATATTCAAGGCTTTAATCTAACAACTCATCAGACCGACTCCGCCCGCGCCAAATCCATCGAACTCGAAATCCAACAGCGTGTCGCAAAAGAGCTCGAGCGCATCCGTGCGCGCGAACAACAGACTCTCGCCGAGATTGAGAAGCGCCTGTCCGAAACCAAGGACACGGGTAGCTCCGCCGCCGCCCCCAGCACACCCGCCGTCACCCACTACCCAGCCGGCTCACTAGACCTGGACGCACCCCGGATCCCCTTCGCCGGCCGCGAGTACACGCCCGCGCCCCCTGCCGCTGTTGAGGTCGCCGCTGTGAACAAGGAGGTGAGCCGGGAGTCCGTGAACTCTGACATTGAGGAGCTGCGGGTGAAGCTTGAGGGGCGGAAGAAGTTGGGCGAGTTGGATGAGGGTGTTGCGAAGGCGCAGAAGGATGTTGTTAGCTGTCTGCGACTGAACGACCGACGGCCGCTGGATTGCTGGAAGGAGGTTGCTGCGTTTAAAAAGGAGGTTGCGAGGCTGGAAGAGGGATTTGTGGATCGGATTGTGGGCTGAGCTACGACACCATTTGATATGAATGGATTTGAGTGACAGCGCTGTGGGGTGAGATTGGGAACAGAGGGTCCTTTCGAAAATAGATGCGCTATTTATTTATACTTGTATACCTACTGTTTATTGAGGTTATATTGGCTTGCTTTACGTCTAATGTGTACGGACTGTTACCCAGCGCTGACAACCGTCGCTACCTGCGGGCATCTATTTCGGTAGTATAAGAAGGGTCGGTTTCTTAAGGTTGTAGGGTTTCGAGATAGTATAACGAGTAACGGGTCAACTCGTGAAGCTAGCTGAATAAGTCTATGGGTATCGTACCATTATTACATACATTCGCCCGTCTTCAATCTTAACCTGACCGGTAGACTCAAACAAGGTCCCAGAACGCTAACCGACCGACAGTCTCGCCCGCATTCCTCACAATACACATATTCTTCTCGCGGCTCTTCCGATTAGGGCCCTTCCCTGTGTCCCGTACTTTCGAGACCAAGATGGAGCCTATTCCCGTACCCTTACCCTCAGAGAGATTGAAGTTCCCTGACGTTATGAAGCCGATGAGGTCCTCTTCAGTCGGGACGCACAAGTGTTCGTTATGAACAGAGGAATCAGCGGAAGATAAGAGCGATGCAGCAAGGTGTTGCCTGATGGACTCAGCCTCTTCTTGGTTCTTCGGCTGGGTCTTCGGAACTCCAGATGAGGGTTTCTTCGATGCCAATGAGACCCACTTCTGGCGGAGCTCTGGGTTGTTCGTGGGTAGACGGTAGATGCGTGCTCGTTGAGCAGGATGTCCACGGGAATGTAGTGTGAGTTTAACCGTTGCGAGAGCAGATTCTCCGACGCTAAGTGAAGGATTGTTGATGACAAGAATCGCTTGGGGGTATGGCAGTTGGTGGATGTTAAACGGCGGTTCAATGGCCGTCTTTTGTGCATCGGTTGCAACCTTGTCCGTCTTCGAGTTCGAGTCTTGCTCTGTCGCAGCGATGGTAACCTTGTCCTTCTCCTTCTCTCCTGCAGAATCGTCGTGGCCAGGCTTGACGAGCCTCTCCCAATCACACGCCCAGCCGCGCCCAATTTCACCCTTGTGGCCGTTGCCCAATTCAAGAGAGTCAAATTCGACGCGTCGGCCCTTCGGCCGTCGTTCCCACTCCTTCTTGGCTGCTTCGCGTTCCCGTAGACCCCATTTCCAGCCTGCATGGGTACCCGGGAAATCGCCGGGGAACCAGGGCTCCCCAGCCTCGAATGCAAGTTGTTGTTGTTCCTTCAGTCCGCCAAATCGCGGGTTGCCGCCGCTTGAGAGCGGATAGTACATCAATGAGTACCAGACCGCTGGTACACATTTCCAGGGGAGGAGTACGGTCCAGCCGCCGAGTGAGTTGCTGTTCTTCTGAGATGAGTTAGGTCTCGTTGCTAGCGCCATGACTGGGATTTGGGGATCGGATGGTTGCGGAGGCGGGTACTCGCCCGGTCCTGCTTCTGTTCTTCGCCGATTGATGGCTTTCTGGCTAGGAAGGTCGCGAATAGCTGCAAGCCGTGAACGACGGTCGAACAGGGCGGGTGACGTTTGCGTTTTATCGGCAGGCCATGTTGACAGTAGCACGGCGAGATCTTGCATTTTCTGTTCAGAGAAGGAGGCTTTAACTTTCTGAGGAGGGAAGTGGAGGCGGGGATCCGATATAGAGAAAGAAAGAAGGGCGTTTTGCGGCAGCGATGCGGGATTGGTGACACCAAGCAGAGCACTCCATACGGCCTCTGGACTATCCGCTGGAGGCGCCGCGTGGTTCAATGGGCGCAAGGCTGCAAGTAGGGCTTCTGTTGCTCCGGGCCCGGTAATGTCGATGCTGCCAATCTCGAATCGAAGGTCTTCAACCATGACTGGTGGATTCTGCTTCTTCGATGTCGCCAGCAGTTCGTTCCAAAGCCGCAAGAACGCGGACGGATGGACTCTGACAAAGATCTTCGTTGTATCCTTCTGCTTTTTCTTGTCCTTGCCGTTAGTGTCGACATCAGCATCAACCATCTCGACGTCTTCGACAACTTTTTGGGCACATCGAATCAGAGTAACAGGCGCAATGGGCTTTCGTTCGTCTTCAGATTCGAAGACCCATGTGCGAAGACTCCTGACACCAGCCCTCCATTTCTTCCCCTTTACACCCCAAGCATCATCTCCGACAACTCCCACAGTTCTGAGCACTGCCTCCAAAGCTGCCTCTGAGCCCTCCAGCTTAATCGTAGAAATATAGCTCATATCCCAAGCCACCGCACCCCTAGCACCACTGGCCCGATGCGTAGGTCTATAGCTTTTCTCCGTAGGCGACAAGGGTACCGCGAACCTCCACAGCGGGTCTTTCGTCGTCGCCATATGGGCACGTTTCGCATGGAACATGTGCGTAGGGAGCCACGTCTTCACACGCTGTCGCTTCTTGTATTTCGACTCCGGTGGTGGCGGTCGTGACAGCTTGTTCTTCTTGATTTTGGGAACTCGCGGCGCAATAAAGAACGGATGACTCCCTGCCTCTTCCAACGCCTTGTCATCGTCATTCTTTTGCTTCGCCTTTAAATCGGCCCGCTTGGCTTTGGTTCTGGCATTGAGGTTCTGCAGACGTCGAGCGGTCTCAAGACGGATTCGCATCAGCTCCGTCGGTTTTCGTCGCCGCGATGTGACGGTCGGTGTGTTGTCCTCGATCATCTACCCCCATTCAATATTAGCGCGCCGTCTCGAAGCTCAGAACGCTTCACGCGTCCACCTAAACGGCCAGCACCAACTGCCAACTGAACCAAAGGCATACCTCTCTTTTTGCCCTAGCCCTCAGCCTCCCCGGAACCCTCTTCACATTGTGGCTAGCAGTCCGCCGTCTCAGCGATCTGGGCACCTGTTGAAACGCACGACTCGTGAGAGCGGCTTTCGATCGCTGTATACCAGATTCTAAAGACTTGATCGCAGATTCTTGAGCTCCAACATAGGCGGCGACATCAAGCTCTCCAGTTGCGGAGAGCGCAGCCCCAGCGGATTGCACCGCGAGGGACCGAGCATCGATCGTCTTTGCGCGTTTGCGGGCAGCGGCGGAGTTTTGGGCGGGGAACGCAGGTTTGCGTTTTGCTGAGGGATTGAGGGCCATACTGCTGGATAGACGATATTCGTCGGGCGCCGACAACGTAGTGGATGGCCGACGATTTTTTCTATCTGTTGTCGGCTGAGCTTAGAGCTCCGTTTGGCACTTGACAGGGTCTGGATTCCGCGTTGATGGAACTTTTTAGCGCGTCCGCCGTCACCCCTCAGGCTCGGCCGAGAGAAAAGCACACATGGATCGAGAACCAATCGAACGGGCAAGAACGCTTGGATTCACGTAGATCTTGTGGAAGCCGGGGTAATTGAATATTAAGCTTACTTTGGCCTACATTCTAGCCTACTAGGTGGTCTATTCTTTGCATGACATGGCGTCTTTCACTCAGCAATGCGATAAAAACATATATTGGAGATTCAGTAGGAGAATTTTCATAGCTTCGTAAATGCATCGTATTCCTCTATATGCGGAAGGTCTAAATCTAATATGAACACCTGTCTTTGCAGGACATTACCCCACCGTTGGAACACATCTGCAGAACACCCAGTCTATCAATCCCGATTGATTATTTACAGGTTCTTGATGACAGCCTCGGCGCTGGAGAACTCAAGGTGGTTCTTAGCGGGCTCGAGAGCGGCGTAGGTGACCTTGCCGTGGTCGAGGATGATGGCGTAACGCTTGGTGCGGCCCTCCTCGTCAGCCCAGCCGATGGACTTGGAGAACTTGGCCTCGGGGTCGGAGAGGAAGAGCTGGAAAAATCTGTCAGCGGCAGTCCAATGGTGGCAAAATATGTAGAGGGGAACATACAATGTCGTCACCCTTGACACCGTTGGCCTTGCCCCAGGCGCTCATGACGAAAGCATCGTTGTAGGCAAGGACGGCGACAACGTCAACACCCTTCTCGCGGATCTCGGGGAGGCGCTCAATGTACTCGGGAACGTGGCGAGCAGAGCAGACGGGGGTGAAGGCACCGGGGAGGGCGAAGAGGATGACCTTCTTGTTGGCCCACTCCTTGGAGGCGTAGTAGTTGATGGGGATACCGCAGGAGGTGATCTCGCCCTTATCCTCAGTGTAGGGGATGTAGCTGTTGAGACCAATGTTAGTTGGGTCAATTATGTGGCCAAGAGCAAGGGCAACGTACGAGAAGACAACGTCAGCGGGGAAGCTGTCACCGGCCTTGAGTCCAGACATTCTGAATGAAGTGGTTGGAGGTGTTGGAAGAGAGAAAAGGTGGTTGTAAGATGTAGATTGTAGATAGAGAGATAGATAGAATTGACTTATCAAGAGAGAAGAGAAGGATCAGGAGCAGAGGGGAATGAGGTGGATATTAAATAGGAACGGTGCCAGCGTTGCCGTTGGAGATCGCGCCTCCAGAAAGAGGAAACGAATGGCGCAGTTCCGGGCTGCAGAGGCGCCATCCATAGTGAGGTGATCCGAAGCAGAAGGATACCGAACGAATCCTTTCGATGATTCGCCCTCTGTATTATCAAGAAAGACCGTCGAGACTGAGGCCCCGCCAATTGCTCCCAGTACCTTACTCACGCCCCCCACCACGCACCACGCAACGGGAGATGTTATCTAGACCCCGACTTTGACTAATCCCGTTGCCTGGTGAAATAATCACAGAACATCTGGCAGCCCTGTGATCTGTTTGTCACTTCGCCGCTTCTAGCTGGCATCTTCATCCGCTACTGACCAAGAATCGGGGGCAATGCCTTCCACCTGCATATGCCCGGTAGATACAGATACAGACACACCGCACTTTCCGAGTGCCCCTCAAGCCTAGTGGGACTTAGGTGCTATTGACCCAATTATACATACAGTTTATACCAAGCCGAGCCCAAGACAGGTCCTGCTATCTATCCAGGTCCTCAGGGATGGGGGAGATCTCAATTGCCCCTCATATTTGTCGCGTTGAACCTGAGGCGCGAAACCCATTTTGCCTGATTTTGCTTGGATCAAAAAAAGCGCCACCGCCTGTGTTGCTTTAACCACTCATAGCAAGGAACAGGCTGACCGCCCTAACCTATCCCTCCTTTAGACCGGCAAAATGGACGAGTTCCGAAGCATCCCCGAATTCGCCTCGGGCAGCTCCGAGGAGCCCCCGGGCGGCGGTCTTCTTAATAATTGTAGATCTGGACACTCGGCCCTGATATCATTCATTACTATAGTGGTTGGCCCTTTTTTTTAGTAGCATCGGCCATAGGTATCCGTGTTTGCGTGTGCTCGCAGCGCCGCCACCGGAATCGAATTGTAATCCTCCACTTTCCGAACCGCCCATCGGAACTAGGCCCGGTTGAAAGTTACCGTACTGATTATTGAATCTGATAAGATTTCGCTTCAAGCTGGCTAAAGGCTAATTGTTTTCAGCATCTAGGTAGTAGGTTGGTCTGGTTCGCTCAACCTATTAAGCCTATCGGGGTCTTCCCGGGATGCTCGTTGCCTCACTTAGATGACTATGGCCAGACAGGCACAGTCAGCCCGTATTACAAAGGGTGATCGGTCTATTCAGGCGATTACTGATTGAGAACAATCCAAAAACCTTACACAATTACCATGATCCCTAGTATTGAAATGGTGGGCTTGAATTTGTTAGGCTCGCATGACCCAGGGCCCTGAGGAGATATATATTTACTGATGCATGCAATGATGCGGATTAGGGTACATGGATACATTAGCCTACTGGTATACATTAGCCTAAAGAATTGATGTCATGCTAGTTAAGGTGCATAAGCTTATACCACGTGATGAAGCTTATATTTATCGCTAGTCTCACTTCATCCTGAGGAGTATCCTTTGCGACAGATTTATGAAAACCAAGTCTTTTAGATATCCCTAATCATGGCTGACCTCAGACCTCCGTTCACTGAGGAGACGGCGAGAAAGAAAGTTAAAGTAGCCCAGGACCTGTGGAACACCCAGTAAGAACCAAGCTATCTTTCATCAATTCCAATGGCTTTTCGATACCTTCCATCGAGATGCTTCCATCCGCTTATCCTGCTCTTCCTCCGTTTCCCGTTTGCTGAGTACGTATGGCATTTGACATGAAACGCCTCATGTACGGAGTACTACTGCTACGGATGCTCATCTACCGTACCTCATCCCTTGCTTACGGCTTGCGCCGACGCACCTGCAGCGCCCATTTTCTTGAACACAGCACTGTCACTTCACGGGCCTTCATAAAAATACCAACCTGTCTACATATTCTTACTTACACATCACCAGAGATCCCGTGCGTGTTGCCAAGGCATATACCCCGGATTGCATCTGGCGCAACCGCACATCGTTCTTCTCTGGGACGGAGGCAATCGTTGACTTCCTCTCAGCAAAGTGGAATCGAGAGCAAAACTACAAGCTGCGAAAGGAACTTTTCTCGTTCACAGATGACCGTATCGCCGTCCAGTTCTGGTACGAGTTTCAGGATGCCACCGATTCGATGCGGTGGAAGCGGTGTTACGGCCTTGAGGACTGGACCTTCGACAGGGAAACGGGAAAGATGCGTAAGCGCATGATGAGCGGCAATGATATTCTACTCGGTCCCGATGGAAATGGCGAAGGACGATGGTTTCTTGATGGGGTGGACGTCGAGGATGTAGAGATTGGGGAGGAACATTGGTGATCGCTATATGGCATCTGAGTGCAGCACCAGAACGCGCGATAACTTCGCTGGAAAACTCTGTATCTACGGGAAACTGGCAATATCAGAGCCGGGCGCCAGTTTGAGGATAGGTGGTGGTCACTTATAGTTGGAATGTTCGGATTGCTGGGCATGCTGATCAACTTGGGTGGCACCCCTTCTCCCTTGACTACTGGGAATTGGACATATTCGCCCCTTTTCTCATAATGCAAGTAACTAACAAACTTGATTCAAAGCAAAATGTCTTTGTCGTTGTCCTGGCTGTCTAAAGTTATGGGGTTGCTGAAGGAATCTAGAACATCGAGGGCTCCTGAAATACGAAGATTATACCTGCAAGAAACTAATAGAGAACAGAACAGTTTGCAGCAACAAATGTTCCTCGCCAAACAACACCTTAAAGTTCGATTAATCAATACAGTTGTAAGGATTGATGTTCATATTTGAGCAAGAACGACATTCTTGGCTGCAATGCCTTTTGGTGTCGGGGGAACCTGGGGAATCTGCTCACAACAAACACATCAAGCACCACAGTCTCATTCCACAACCTGTGTTGATCTCGCTGCGGCATGCCAAAGCCAACTTCGCTTCCTGATTGTGGTCTCGGTGGTGCCTCAGTTTGTGTTTTGGTAACATTTTTGCTGGAAATTACCTTGACATTTTGGGATTCCTCCTGGGCCTACCTATGCTTGATTGCTGCCATTTTCGATTGCATCCCACGCCTGCTGCGAGGTTCCTACAATTGGCTTTGGCTGTCGTGACTTTTCAGTCTTCTTACTGATGCTCGTCGGTTAAGCGCCTCAGTGATCTCAACTACTAACTCAGCAGGAACTATCCGCGTCACCAAATCGCGCAAGTGAAATCGACAGGCTATTGACCTACCCCTGAAGGACCATATTGGCAACGACTATTTTTTTTCTTTCGGCGCTTAGGCAATTCGGATACTCTAGACTTGGAAGTGAGTAAGGTCCAGTGGCCGAAGTCTACCAAGACCCTAATCGAGTCGCTCAATGCTAATCACAAAGCCAATCAACAGCAATAACTACAGTCCATATGTGCCTTTCCTTCGCAACATTCGCGTCGTGCTAGGCTTCCTGGCAATGGAGCAGCCATCCCCTCTTGTCGATTCGAAAACGATGCGGTCGCCGCTGACGGACGCCAGTAATAGAGTTAATTGTCACACTCCGGTTACGGAACGAGGATCGATGAGGGAGGAGTACGCCTTGACTTCGCCAGTGCCCATGTCCATTGTGGATAGCCCTCTGTCGGCCGAAATTCATGCAGAAAGGAACTGTTTCTCTCCAGTAATTGACTCCAGAAGCGGCTCCAAGCGGAACTCGACTGTCTCGGCGTCCTCAATTGTCTCAGCCAAAGGTAAGAGAAAGACACATGTTGGGCCATGGCAGCTAGGCAGAACACTCGGCAGCGGGGCCACAGGCCGAGTGAGACTGGCGAAGCATGCAGCAACAGGCCAAACGGCGGCGATCAAAATTGTCTCGAAGAAGTGCGCTGCTATATCGCAGAGTGATAGCATCGCCGCGATGGACAAGAACGCAGGGAACTTCATTGGAACAGGGGCGAGACAGATGCCCTCTGGTATTGAACGGGAGGTAGTGATCATGAAGCTCATCGAGCACCCAAACGTGATCAGCTTATATGATGTGTGGGAGAACCGGGGCGAGTTGTAAGTAGCAATAAGCAGAAAACCTCTACATGCAGCTAATGGTGAATAGGTATCTTGTCTTGGAATACGTCGAGGGTGGAGAGCTGTTCGACTACGTCTCCAATCATGGACCGCTCCCAGAAGAAGAGGCAGTTCGGCTCTTTCGACAGATAATAGCTGGCCTCGGGTATTGTCACCGTTTCAATATTTGCCATCGGGATCTAAAACCAGAGAACATTCTACTGGATGGCGAGCATAACATCAAGCTTGCTGACTTTGGAATGGCTGCCCTTCAACCTGCGGGCCATTGGCTCAATACCTCTTGTGGAAGCCCGCATTATGCGGCTCCGGAAATTATCTACGGCCGCAAATATCGGGGCGACAGGGCAGATCTCTGGAGCTGTGGAATCATCCTGTACGCATTACTCACAGGCTTTCTCCCATTTGATGGAGGGGATCTCCATAATACTCTACAGCTCGTTCGAAAGGGCGACTACGTGATTCCTCCTGGTATAAGCGATGAGGCAGCGGATCTTATTCAGCGTATTCTACAGAAAAAGCCAGAGGAGCGAATCAGCATGAATGATATCTGGAGACATCCGCTCCTCCGGAAGTACGAAAAGTTTCACCAGGCCATATGTAACCATTACCTGGGGCCACCACCTCCTTTATCATCTCAGGATTGCGGCCCGCCGGTTGTGAGGCAGGATATTGATGTCGATCTGCTCCGCAATCTCCAGACTCTCTGGCATGATGTCAAACCTGAACAACTCATCGAGAAACTTGTGAGCTTGGAGTAAGTTCCCCGTTTACTTTAGGCCATGCTATAGAAACATCTCTTAGAATTGAATCTAACAAACTCAGGCCAACCCAGGAGCGACTGTTCTACCATGCCCTTGTCAAGTTCAGAAACGAACAATTGGAGAATTACCAAGGTCAGCCTCTCAGGTATTCAGTCAGTGACTACCATCACATTTCGCGAGGCCAGGCTCGGCTGTCTAAGCACTTGCGGAACCGTTCACAGAATCGATCACAACGACGTTCTCGACCCCCGTCAGTCAAAGAAACCGGCAAGCGCAGGCCCTTAACAAGGGAGCCAAAATCATCAGCTACCGTTGATAGTTACGACCCATTCAGGTCCCCGTTCAATCCTGTAGTACGAGACAAATCACCAGAATACGCCCGCGTTACCATCCACCGAGATGTATCTCAGACGAGCGTTAAGCCTGGTGAAGTGGAACACGACACGTCAAACCCATTTCTCGACGATGACCAGGAGATAGAATGCCAACAGAGCCCGCCCTTCACTCTAGTACGGAAAAGGAAACACAAGTTAAACTCTGTCAAGTCATTTCAATCGAAGACGTCGCTTGCTGGGCCGCGTAGGGCGCCGAGTTCCGTGTCTGCGCCTCGATCCATCAGCTATAAGCGGAATGTTACTTTCCGCCACAAGAGGAACCGTTCGCAAAGTTCTGCCTCTGCTAGAACGAAGAGGACTCACCATAATCGACAAGCAAGCGAGGCCAGTCTTATATCAGGGCTTGATGATGATCCTTTTTCAGATCCACAAAGTAGCCCCATGCTACCGGCTCAGCCAACAGTGGTCCGCGGCGCTGGCATTGCTGTCAAGCAGAGCGCACAGCGGAAATTGCAGCATTCCGACTTTTTCTGGAGAGATGATGCACGCAAAGTCTCGCATGAGCTGAGCAAAATCTGTGAAGAAGCTTTCAATGGAAGTTCGATGACCACTGGCTGTACTGACACAACTTGCGCAGGCCCAGAAACACCAGCCACATCCGTTTCAATAGCTAGTCCTGGAATTTCCAACCATCAGGTAGATGGTAGCAGCTCCACGATCTGCCTGGCAGCGCGACAATCGGCAGACTCGCCAAAAACACATGCTAGCAGGGAACTAGAAGAAACCCGCCGCAGGCTCATCGAGCACTCAACCAAGGATGGCTCAAAAGACGTCCCCGAATACCTTGCTCCGGTCATCAAACATCTTGACCGATTAATCGAGCAAGAGAAGGCCCGACGGCCTGGCAAAGCTAGTCCGGAGGAGGCTCATCGATTAAAGAGCAATTCAGCATCCAGGTCCTCAGTGGAAGCTACTCAATTCTCAATCGTTACCGAAAGCCTGAACGCCGCCGACAGAACAGAGGCTATAACACCCTCGAAGAAAGCGCGACAGGTATCCAGCTCGACCGCTGCAAGCAGCCACCGAAGCGACATTAGTCGGGGAAAACGCTCCATTCGGATGGTCCCTCTGAGCTCCTTCCAGTCAATCGACAACACCGCAGTCGTTATCGGACATAAGAGCGACAAGAGCAACACCTTAGTCTCACGAGTCGCCTCCAACTCAAGGCATAGCCGAACTATGTGTGAGTTGGATCCGATTTCTGAAAACCCGGCGTCACCGCGACGCAGTGCTGTCCGAACTTCAGACCACAAGAAGTGGTCCTGGTTTAGGAAATCCCAGAACATTGAAGGGGACTTGGTTAAGGCGCCCAGAGTGATCAAACCTTTACACCCCAGCTCGGCAACAGTCATCGTCCATGAAGTTCATCCTGCAGCAGATATGGGGATAACCGCAGAAGATCAACCGAAGCTTCACAAGCCATCCCCTGAATCACAAAAGACTTCTTTCTGGAGCTTCATTAAGAGAAAACCAAAGCAAAATGCCGGTGCGTAACACCGGTCAACTTCTGATGCCACCATCTTTGACTAACTATAACCCTAACACTTAGAACCAGACCCGACAGCCACAGATCCCCTCCTCGAACGTCCTCTCGCCAACGAACAGCAGCAGCCACCACAAGAACCAAAACAACCCGAGATTCAGAAAGCTTCCAAAACTTGTCGCACCCCGCGATCCAACGGCAAAAGCAACAACTGGTTTGCGCGCGTCTTCCAGTTCAAACCCGCAACTCGCGTTGTCGCCCTAAACGCCTCAAAGATCAAAGGCCGCAAGGAGATCTACAAGATTCTCCGCGAATGGAAACAATACGGCATTGAAGATATCCACCTCGACAAGGCTAATAGTGTTGTATACGGCCGGGTTGGCGCGTCAAATTGTACGTCTTCATTCTTTCATCATGCATCCTTTGAGCAAACCCTACACATTTATCTCTGAAAACAACAAGCCGATCTCATGCTTTGACTAACAATACTTCTTTTGATATAGTCCTCCGCCTCCGACCCGTCGAGTTCTCCGCAGACTTCTACACGGTTATCGAAGATGGCCGACAAGCGAATCTCTCTCTCGTTCGATTCAGACAGGAGCACGGGGCAGCCTCGTCATTCAATAAAGTCGTAGATACACTCTGCATGATTATGAAGCAGCGCGGTCTGCTAGTCGAGGACCCCGCGCGTGCGAAGAAAATGGCGCAAGTGCTGGATGCGTTTCCGAATGCTTGATTGTTGTTTGAACAAGCTCTGCTTAACCTATTTGCGCATTGCATAGTATTGTATTGCATAGCTTTGGCATTTGTACATCTGTACTCCATACCTTTGGTCGATAGTTGGTGTTGTTGGGCGACTGTCCGGTTGGTCCTTATGTTTTGTCAAACCTCTTGATTTCGTCTCTCCCTTGACTGTTCTGCTTGAGTTTGGCTCGCTGGAACTGACTCCATTCGAATCATGTGGAGGGCAATCATTATCTATTTATGCCGCCCCCTGCGCTCATCAACCCTAGCCAAGCCGAGCCAAGCGACCTTGTGCAGGTGGTTGTCTCTACCTGTTGCCATGTGCCTGTCTATCTGCGAGCGTTACTTCAGTGTTTAGTGGTTAGTATAAAAATAGCCATATAACCTTCAAATGAACGGGGCTTTCTATGCAAGTAGAACAGGATGACCCGGCAAAGCGAAGCGTCATGCCGGACGGTGTCGATGTAGCAGGGTATGTACGTCTAGATAGGCTAGGAACATGTCGGATGGGCGACATGGTGTAAGAAAATGAGGTTTACCGCGCACTACGAGAAAGACGCTGCTGGAATGTGAGAAGAAACTATGCAAAGACAACGCAGCACTTGTAATTTGCAGACAATGACTAAATTATGATCAGACAGCCTCCCAGGGTAAGTAAAACGTATATCGAAAAAAAAAAAACATGTGAATAGAAACAAGCAAGAAACAAAAATTACAGCAAGACAACAACATAGATCGAAAAGCCCTCACATTTTTCGCAAAATGACCAGACCGTGTAGTTAGCCACCCAGTAAATGAACGAGGTATAATAAGAACGTGACAACAAAACGCAGGAGAGAGCCACCCGAAATGTACTGTGATGCAAGCAAAATGAACAAGGCAAAGGGATCGATCGATCAGTGGAAAATGCCGCACAACGCAAAAGCAGAAATCCTTCCAACGTATAGAGGGATACTGGAAATAAAAGCACGATTCCACACCAGTCTTCGCTTCGTGATAAATAGACGCAAAATACCGCCCTCTTTTCCTTCTGGGTTCCATGGCATCAATCGGGAAGAGTGATGTCCGCACAATAGCAATAGTAGGAATCCTCCCATCGGGTCGCCCCGAAATAGTTTATCAGTCGTAGATCTTCCTCTCCAAAAATCGTCATCAACACATCTGATTTGATTTGTTTTTCGTTTATTGGGGGTTCGGTGAAACGAAGGTCCATGGACGACAGTTGTGAAACCGACAATAGGAGCGCATGACTCGCGGATAATTCATGGCCATTGGCATCTAAACGGGTCGATGCCATGTACTCGCAAACGTCGAATGGATTCCATGGAGTTGGGTAGTCTCGTTCCAACGTCCACCCCGTAGTCGCAGAATCGTGCCAGCACAGATTCTGATACCGCATCAACTCCACGCGGCCCCGGACAAGATGAAACATGATCTGTTTCCCCCGATGCCGTCAAGCGGCCGAAAGCGACAGATCCATCGAGTAAAGCAACCAGTCAAGTGGAGCTTTCCCGTGGATAGACGTCCTCCGCCAATTGTTTCAAGTCTTCATCTTCTTTTTCTCTGAATATTTTTTTTTTGTTTTTCTGTCTCCCACCTCCGGAGAGTACCCCACAGCGGAATCGATAGTGAAAACGTCAGAGCGCGTGACCAGCACATGCGCCGAGCGAGGCCCACTCTGTAACAGCCGTTCCGCAACGGTTGAAAGAATTGAAATCTATTCTGCCGTCTGATCGCTCAATTTAATGGAGTATAACGGACAATACAGGTGGCTACTGGCCTAGCCCGCGGCGGTCCAAAGCATTGAGCATGTCGCTGTCTGTGCTAGAGCGGCCTGGGTTCTCACCCGGGTTGAGCATATCCCGCACGTTTAGCCCGTTGCGAGGCGCTGAGCCCGGGGTTGAAGTAGGCGGAGGAGTGGCAGCATTTTGAGGCGGATGCATCCCAGGATAGGGTGAGCCATGAGGAGAAGAAGAGTGACGGTTATCGTACGAATAAGCAGTTTGAGGTGAAGGACGACGATCGTGCGGGGTTGGCGGATAGTAAGGAGCGGCGCGTGGCTGATACGGAGCGGAGGTGACTGGGGTCACCGGAGCTAGATTGGTAGGGTCGGGGTAATCGTACCCAGAACCGGAACCTCGACGAGGCCTCTTTTCAGAGCAAAAGAAATTAGCGCTAGAACTTACCAAGATACGAGGGTCAAGCATTGGTGACTTACATGATCTTGATGCATAGTTGCAAGGGGTGGGGTAGCCGCGCCGTAAGGATGCTGGTACATTCCCTGAGGTGGTGGAAGCGTTGTCTCCGGCTGAGGTTGCTGCTGAGGGGGCAGCGGTTGACCATGGGCGCCGTAAAGCACGACCGGGTCTCCGGGACGCCCAGGGGCTTGACCATTTCTCAAATGTGGGTATGCGGCTTGCACGGGGACGAAAGCCTGGGCCTGAGATGAAACGGGCGTGAAAACGCACTGCTGGTTGAAGCGAACACAGTTTGTGCAACGTCCGTCTGAACTGTGTTCAAAGCCAGAGCATCGAATCTGCCCACACCGAACTCATTAGCCAATGAGGCCTATATACCAACTCCAGTATTATCATACCTTTCGTCTCCGACAGTACCGACACGCAATAGCAGTTCTCTGTCGAGGAGCAGCCGAGTAGACGACACCTCCCGGCGCACCGGGGCCAGGAGGTGGAGGTTGTTGGCCGTATGGGCTGGGCGGAGGCGGGGGTTGCTGACCGTATGCTACGTCCGGACGGTAGGCGCCTGGGGGAGGGGGAAGTTGGTAAGGGTCCCGCTGGGCGTGCATTGGGTGAACGGCAGCCATATTGGGTTGAGGAGGGGGATATTGCGATTGCGGAGGGTATTGCGATTGAGGGGGGTAATGCGCTGGCGGGGGCGGATACTGGTGCGCTTCTGCGGGGGGAGGATAAGAAGCCGGAGGGTAGGAAGCTGGGGGGTACTGGAGGATTGAAGCCATGATTAGCATGGTGGTCGACGAGAGGCAGGGAAAGGAAGAGCAGCTCTATATAGGCAGGGCGACCAGGAATACATACTGGATATTGAGAGGTCGGTGGGTAGGGAGGCGGACTCTCTTCGGGCTGACCGGTGTTCCACTGAGGTGGTGGATACTGTCCCCGTCGACTAGGGTCGTTGTAGTCGTTGGGATTGGGAGGATTGTTCGACATTGGGGAGTCGGGAGCAGGCGAGGCTGCTAAGGAACGGGAGAGGCGAGGAGGATTTAAAAGAAGGACGATGCAGGATGTAGAGACCGACTGTGTATCGCGGGCGTTTCGTGTATGTATCGTATGTAACAGGGCGTAACGCTAAAGGAGTGAGCAAGATGAATAATAACACGGTAATTAAGAACCGGGATGAGCGGTTCAATCAAATCGCAGCCGTCGGGTGATGTGCAGGACTAGCAGAGCATAGCCTCGTGGCCACTGGAGCAGGGATGCAGAAGCGAAAGGCAGAAACGAAGAGAAGGGCGAGGACAGGGATAAGGGCGCCGGAGAAGACAGGGGTGGCAGTGAAGCTGGGCGTGGGAGAGGCGGTGGAGGAGACAAAAAAGACAGAAGGCGGCGATGGAAGGGAGCAAAATAATGGAAAAAAGCAAGAAAAAAAGGAGAAGTGGCATCTTGGAAAAAGAAAAGAGCTCGGGATTCTGATCATGACGTGAAGAAAAAATAATATATGAGAGAAAAAAAAAGCAGATACGTACCGGTCAGACTGAGCAGCGAACGGACTCCGAGCACACTGGGAGTACGGAGGAGTGGTCGCAGTGCTGGAGGGGCTTCCAAGGAGTAGTGAAGGTGATGTGATGTAGAGAAGAACTTGGTTTAGGTGGAAGGAAACAGACCAGGAGAGAAGAGAGCGAGCCCTAGCAGGAACAATATAAGAAAAACTCGACTTGGGCTTGTCAATCTGGGCTGCCGACTCGTCGGTCCGCTCGGGAGGCAAGGAGAGCGGGAAGACTCGCATGCAGGCATTCTTTGGGTCGACTGGGGCGCTGGAGTCCATATATCATCAATAGAATAGATTAATGGATTCGCGAGCGGGCCTATCCTGATTCCTCAGCTGGGAGCCGTGCTTCGCTAGCATGATTCACCGCAACGGGAGCAACCTTCGGCTTAGTGGAGTGCTCAAACAACAACTGCAAACTAACTGGCCAAGCTATATTGGTCTTGCAGCCTTGCGACGTGCATATGCCGTGTCTCCCACGCAAGAGTCCAAAGTGACAAAGTCCAAAGTGAGGTGGACGGGTGGAACCGTCCCCCGACCCCATCGCAGTCCCATAGACATGGACGAGGGCGCGCTAAGCAGACAATCAGCGATCAGCTGAAGCTGAAAAGGGACGCCGGGACGGGTAAAGGCGCCGTAACGGAACTCCACATTCTCTATTTAGTGCTCTTTGACCTCTGGCACCGGCAATGTTATAGGTACGGCCGGTAGAGACTGTGCGCTGACCGTCTTGCGCAGCCATCCAGATGACCTGCCCGAGGTGCTATCCGGATCTAGTCTGCAGTCCGGCGTTGGGACTAGGATAGCGTGGTGCCCCAGCACTAGCAGCGCTTGGGGGTCGAGATACCCGTTGATGAAGAGTTCGGGAGGCCCACGCTTGATAGCCGGGCCCGTCGCTGCTGATTGGCCGAGGGGCAAACTCTTCGAGTCGCCGCCGCTAGGCTCTAGCTCCCTCTAACTTCAATCCTGCCGGGCCTAACCTTCTACGCGGGCTCTGACCTCGTCATCTCACAAAGCCTGATCCTTCAGAGAGTTCAGAGCGTGGCCTGGCGACATGATAGGATCACCGGCGGACGTGGAATGCGAGGGAGACCAATTAGGAAGGCACGAGAGAGTAAGCCCAGGTAGCACCTTCCTCAGGAGAGCGGACCAGACCGTTGAACCATGGTTGACTTTGCTAGTGTGCCAGACTTCGGACCACCGCGTCTCCTTTCTTTCTCTCGCCCCTCGCTCTCCCTCACCGACCAGAGCTAGCCCATGCCAGCTGTCCTTTGGCGCGAGTTTAGACTCCAACACCAGGCATGCAAACAAAGAGAGTCGAAGCCACCCCAGCATCTTCAGGCCCTGATTTCCCGGGTATGCAAGGCACTTCAAGTCAGGCACCCGCCCTCAATCCAATCCTGTGCATACCTAGCCTACTCCATATACTGGACTCCTTGCACCCGTGGAAAACAAAGCGAATCAAGCGATCCCCTGCAAGTCTCAGATCCCATGACCGTCGGATCTCATGATCTTCTAAACCGTACTTTATGCGCTTGGCAGTACTTTCCTTGCTTGCTAACGCAAGGATTCTTCCAGAGACTGGCCGCCAGATCTCGATCGCAAGGCTGATACAAGCAGTTCAAATACCTGGAGTCTCCCGTGCATAACCGGCGGGCCAACGAATTGGTGAACAACAAATTGGTGGAACCACGAGATGGGATTGCGTTGCGTCGATAAGTCGGAGCTGCATATTCGGTACTTATTCAACGTGGTATGCATGTCCCATCAACTTGGAGAGGTACAGAGTCCAAAGTCCGTCGCAAGTCGAGATCTAGATCCCGCCACTGCGCCCAATTTCATTCCCTCCCCTCGGGCTCTTATGCAAGGAAGCAGTCGCCATGTATGCAATCCTCGGAAGCCAACATTCTGAACCAATGAAGGGCGCCTCTTCGTTCGATTGCAAGCCTTCGGACGATGGCTTGAACCCAACCTATCGCCGAGACTTAATATTCCCGGCCGTGGTAGCTGGCCGCTGACCACTGGCTCACACCGTCTGGACCCATGAGAAAGGACCGCTCCGAACCAGAGACGGCGCTGATAATTTCATTGGCGCAGGCTAAGGACTTACGGGCAGTCGAACCACGGTAGAATATGGCACTGGGCCGCTGTACCAAAATACCGGATGGGCCGTTGTCAATAGCTTCCAGTGTCTCGGGACACGCTCGGCCCCGGTGATACTACGGGGTATAAGGCAAGCGAAGTACGTAACGGCAATTTCCTCATTTGGATTGCGGTGGCTTGCCTGGAGATGATTAATTATCTCTTAAGACTCGAGACTTGAGAGGCAAGCAGCGATCATTCGGAGAACACTAGGCCTCGAGTCAAGACCGTTCCATGGATCTGGCTGGTAGACTACGCCTGGACGAAGACCACCAAAATATTGAAACGGGAAGGTCCAATACCCAGAAGCCAAAACACCTCGATTTTGGTGGCAATAATAATATGGAGAGAAGTTTCTTTCTCTCCAGTTGACTACTAGACTTTCGTCTGCTTTGGGCCAGCTCGTTTCACATACTCCGCCGTATAGTAGCGTCGTCGCACAATCCAGGCAAATCTTGGATGATGCACTCCCATTGGTTTCCAGCACATCCAAGGGCAGCCAATAAAGGGCCCTTTGACATGAAGATGGACGGGAGATTGTTCAATCAGCGTGGGAAAACCCTGCACCTCGGCGTCAGAGTCGATCCAGAAGCGGGAGAGGGGCGGAGGGGCTGAGGGGCTGAGGGTCCGGCCTGCGGTACCAGTGCTACAGTCCTGGGAACGGGTGACGGGAGCGTTACAGCAGCGACCAAAAGGTTACGTAGGGGTGCTCGAAATAAGTTGCATTAGCGCGACTCGGCCAGGTTCGAATTTTCTCGGCTTGGAGTTTGCAGCTGAAAAAGAAGCATCGCGGGAGTTGAAGGGTCCGACGCTACCAATCACACCGGCTGCGGGCAGTCTGCTGACATGCATTGCTTCCGGAGTACGACGGAGTACGGTGCCTTTGATATTGCTGTCGTAATCTCCAATCCACGCCGGGGAGCTAGGTCGATAACATGCGAGGGCGGAGTAGTTGCGGTCTGAAGTCATCGACCGGCCGACAGGGTCTCCCCCCCTCACAAACAACCCTGGAACCTCCTCGATTGAGAATTGGGATAATCATATCGAGTTGCACATATATTCGACTAGCGGAGCAGCGCATGACCCAACTTACCGTGCGACTCTCCAGTCCCCAGAATCCGGCCAGCGCGTCCCGGCCTCCAGTGTGAGTCGTACAATGTGATGCGACCGACAAGGGGCCCATGGCAAACCAACCTTTCCTGGGACTGCAGGTGCCTGCGACTCCTGTCACCGGCCTGTCAGCGGCGAGCGCGTTGCAACCATCCCCCACTAAATTAATTGTCTGCCACGGAAGACGGAGCGGGCCGTCCGGCATCACAGTGTCGCTTCCAACCTTGTGATGTGAATCCCTGCTAGCTGCTGAACTACTCTCGGAGTGCATGCTCTCTCGCGTACACACTAACCACCCTCATCCTACAAGCATCGATTGGATTGCCTCCCGTCTGCGGCTGGCGAATCATGCTTGACAATCGTCTTGTACCGCTTGCCTGCCACCCCCCTTGCTCTTGCTGTTACGTATGGGCTCTGAAGCGCTCTGTGCAGGGCAGATGCATCGGGGTCCTTGCCTGAGGCAAGGTGATTTGCTTCGCCTACTTAATTCGCACAGAGTATGCTGCGAAAGCTGTAGAGATGGTCTCTCCGTGATGCGCTGGACGGCCAGATCGCGAAGCCTACGGAGTACTGCATGCAGCCAAACCAAGTTAACCAACTGACAAACCCGGTGTGCTGAGCTGGTACATATTAATATAACATCAAGCAAACCTCCGGAGTTCATTTCTCACCTTGTCGCATTTATATTATCTCTGACGCTGACTCGGCCGTTTTTTACCAGAACGGCCCGAAACGCGGCTCATACGGTAATACGGCCATGAAACGCGTCCATTCTGGAATTAAATCAGAATGATTATTGCCTAGCCTGCCTCTAGTCGACTCCGTCTTCCACGTTTTTTTGATTCCAATCGGCCCTGTCCGCGACCGCATCTTTCCGCAGCGGCCCAGAATCCACCGGTTGTTGCTTCCTGAATCCTGTTGCCAGTTGGGCTCTGCTTTCCTCAGCCCCCGGTCCTTCGTCTCTCTCCACTGTCTCCACTGTCCCTTCACCGCCAGCCTGACACAGTGACACTCCAAGATCCTGCGGTGACCATGGAGTTCAAGGTTCAGAGTTCAACCCCGACGCTGCGTTAAGGCCTCCAGGCTCCCCCCTTGGCCCGTCATTCGCCCCTAGTTGATGGCCCGTCGCGCTGCGTGCATAGCGTCCTGCAGCTTACCGAGTGCATACGCTTGGATCCCAGACGAGACTAAGCGGCGGACCGTCAGCCAGGATCCTTCTTTTTGCTTTGGCGTCTGGCTGACTTTTGGAGTCTGACTGTCTGACCGTTTGATTCCCTCAGTCTGACTGGCGCGTTTGTCAGCGTAGCGGTATGACGAGACGTCTGAGCGGTTGAAGCTAGTTCCCTCACTACTGCCGAACTAGCAGATTAGTCGCCTGTCTAGTGTGCGGCTGCCCCGAGGCGCAGGGCAAAAGAAAGGAACACGCTGGCGTTGCCTGTGATCATCGATCACCCGCATGCGTTTTCGGTCATGTGATTGCCTCCAGCCTATGAGCGCCGGCAATCAAGGAACTATCTCGTTACTTTATCGTTCTTGAGCCGCTGTTGGCCCGTTCCGCCGCTTGGATTGCGAGTCGGGGGGTGGTAGGGCGCCAAAACCCGCGTTCTGGTTGGTAGACGATGCTTACGATGACAGGGAATATGAACGGCCAGCAGTCCAACACTTGGGCGTAGGGCAGGTCCAAACCTGTCTGTGCTCGACGCTTCTTGCGTCGGGTGCCAGACTAGTCACAAAGGCATGTGCGCTCGCAACTACGGAGCAAGTACGTGTATGGCGCAGGCTGCAGTAGCCGGTTTGAAAGAAAGAGTGACGTGGCCGACAAGGGGAACGGAAAGATCCCCTGCAACCTTGATACAGCATCTTCGACGCCTCAAACGGCTGGTATCTGATCTTTGGAGAGCCATCATTGCTAGTTGCACTGGATCTCCTGAGCTCATTTTAAACAGCACGTCCGGTATGGAAAACAATATGAAATTGCTTTTTATCTACGGCTTTCGGGTTCCGTTCGAGACGGCTCGACCGCCTCCAAGGAATTAAGCTACTCCGTATTAAACCATTTTCAGGAGAAGCGAGCTGGGTACTCCATTTCTGGCGCCGCCCTAACCACTACTATCCTTCGTGATCTGCTATGTCAAGCGTCTGACTCTGGTCGCTTTCGGTCACACAGACGATGTCGGCTAGTCTGTCATCTTCCATCGCGTGATGTTTTCCCCCTATGTTAGGCACTCGCAATGTATGCCTGACCCTGCTTCTTCACTTCCAGGAATTAATTCGAGGATTAAGCCTACCTAACAGAGTCTATCACCTTGGCCCGACGGCGTCATCCCCGTCGCAACTCCAGAGATCAGTGCCCACTTTCCAGCGACGATCTTCCTTTACCACTGCAGCCGGCCGAAAAAGAAAAGGGTCGTTAGGAGTTAAATTTCACGGCCCCAGGTTCCACAGCTAATCGCGGACGATCAGATTCAGGGATCATTTCAGGATCTTGCTGCCAGTGCGGGCTGCCCCGGCACCGCCACTTTATTACGAAGCATCACAGCGGCAAATTTTTCCTTTATGCGGACGGAAGATTGTCGGCCATGGTCATGATCACGCTGTCACAATCACGGACTCACGGACACTCCTTGGTTGCGGAAATGTGATCTGTCATGTTTTACGGCTCCGGAAGAACCGGCCTTGGTTTCATTTGCACACAACGAACTTTGACTTCGAAGGGCCGGTCGAGTTGGCAATGCGAATTTCTCTCACCCTGGAAACAAGATGCATAATAGTCGTTCTATTGATTTATGCAGCCGGCCAGCGTGATCAGCCATTCGCGGGACCCATCTCCCCCAGAAACGCAATCTAGCACCCGAGCGGCCTAGCCCAGAGATACGGAGTAAGTTTTGATGCGCATGAAGGGCCGAAGGCAGGGGATGCCTGACTTTGACCCTTCGTTTTCTCGCCGTGCCGGCGTCCCAGTCCCAAATCCATTCGGACACTGCCCCACCCCCAGATTTCGTTGGGAAGGGCCTTCGGCATGCCATTGGCAGCCAGATTGCTGCCGCTCGGCACTAGATACACCGCGTGGTCTGCAGAGATGGGTGCTTTGCTGACTGTCTTAAGGGAACAACCGATTTCGCCACCTCTTCTACTCCGGAGCTGGTGGTCGTCGCGTGTATATCGGGTCTTCCTTCCTCAAATGAGGAATGCATTCCTGTGATATCCAGATTCATCGTTGTGGACTGACTTCGTTATATAGGACTAACCATGATAATATCTCGCAGGTCGCGTAGGCAGGCCGCATACGCCCGGGAAGAACCTGGGCTATAAAGTGCTATACTTCACAGGATGCCGGCTCCGGGTTGCCTACGCATTGATAGCCGGATTTTGCAGAGTATATCTGGCAATCAGATACAGAGCCCAGAGTACGGCCGGTGTTTGTTCTCAGCTTGATTGGTTTCAACTCTCTTACTTGTTCGTTTTCATGCTCCTAGTACCGTTTCGGCGTTTCCTGAGCGCCTTTCGTGTAGACGGACTGTCATGTAATAATAAGGTAAGATTCGCGGTATCAATATGTGTAATGACTGCGTACTGCCAAAGATCGAGAAGCCTTCGGGAGGAAGGAGCGCCACTCATGGATCTTGATTCATCTTCTCTTCTCAGCACCGTAGCCCTGGCGCGTAAGCACTCTATACGCATCGCCGGCTGTCTGCTGCATCCTCGACTCTCAAGTCATCCCCGCCCTTCACTTGAACTCAGTCGCCATTCCCTTTCTTTAAACTCATGTATGCAGAGCTTGGGTACAGATAACTAGTACTCACTCAAAAGTACCCGCTGTCTGCTGCATCCTCGACCACCCTGTCATCCCCGCGCTTCATTTGAACTTGTCGCCATTCCCTTGCTTCAGTACCCATGTATGCAGCTTTATACAGAAACCTAGTGCTGATTCATAAGTACCTCGCGCTAGATGACGTCTGCCCTGGACCATGACCGAGAGTCGGTGATGCGTTGTGTTGTTTGTCCGCTAGATGCATGGCTGGAGACCGCTCGCTCGGGACGGTCGACGCGGCGACGACGACGAGATCCGCTTGTTTGCCCTCCGCTTGTCTGCCCTACGAGGGCAGAAGCGTCATATCAACGGTTGGATGGCGCTCAGACGGGCCCACATAACAACGATTGATTGCTTCGCTCATTGGGACCGCGCTCAATGCTCGGATGGGCTTATTTGCCCTACGAGGGAGGGCAGAAGCGTCACCTCAACGGGTTGACGGCGCTCAGACGGGCCCGAATAACAACGATTGTTTGCTTCGCTTATTTGGGAGTGCGCTCAATGCTCGGATTGGTGATGAAAGTCCCTCATGCCCATTGGTGCGACATTGTGATGATTGAGGGTGCTGAATGCTGAATGCTGATGCGGCGGAGTCCACCCGAGAGCTTAACAAACCTTCGAGAAAAATGGAATAAAGTTCAATATGTTTGCAGATGCAGTCCTGCCGCAGAGACGATCCATGCACCCCTCTCCATCGGAAAGTGCGCCAACGAGCTATGACCGCCGACCAAAAGGATCCCAACCCTTGTATTGACTTTTGACGAGGTATTCCAGACCCCGAAAGCGAATTCCTAGGCTTCGGAGGCCGCAAGTGCTCTGCGACCCTGGCCATCCCTTCCAGTTCCGTTCACCTGCAGTTGCTTTGCATACCAAGTGCCTGTACGAGGATGATGGCCGAGTCCTGAACCATACAGTGGCAAGCGATTATCACCAGTCTCAAGCCCTGGCCCAAGCCTGCTCGAGTTCAATCGCCCGACTGGCCCAAGGGGTCAACGTGTCCGTCCTCATCTTGAAGAGCGCCAAGGCAGGAAGACAATGGACTGGGAAATGGTGCTATGATGGACGTATCCTGGCGTAGGGCCTCAAGCCGACCGGCTGCAGCATAGCTGGCTAGCGAGCTTGGGTCTACTCCACATGAGCCCGAGTGATCTTTCTCGCGAAACTTCGAAGGCACAAGAACGAGGCCAAGGACAGACCGGATATGCACAGGGGGCTAGACTACCGGATGAAAATGTCCGGGCTGGACTCGACGGACTTCTGGAGAGCTTGTTGCTTCTGCAGGATATGGATGAGATCAGCATCCTCGTCCAAAGCATGGTGTATTATATCATACAATGTACTCACATCCAAATCCAGAAGCCAGTACTTCGTACCCATGTATCACCGCAGCACTCGCATTCCATGTTTGCGGACAAAGCGTACTTCGACAAGACAGTTCTAGACTGTCTGTCGCGTACTTCTTGGACTTCAAGTCGCGTTTCGCTGTCAAGAGGCGTGCATAATAAGGAGCTGCATGTTTGCCTCATGTATGTTTGCTTTCGATTGGCGACCCAAGGCGCTGGAAGAGCGTGCCTTTCCCGGGTTTTTTGCGCTTGCGAATGATCCACTGCGGTAGGGGCCACACTCCTAAACTAGAGGACGGAAGGAACCTAGTTTTGAGGGAGAATATTAAAAAGTACCTGCTTGATATCCGTAGTTGAGAAAGATACCAAGGGAGGAATCTAGCCCTAGCCTGGATATGCTTCGAGCGAGGTCAAAAGCACGGAGTGCTTTGGTGGTATGAGACGAGACTAGGACCGTCAATGCGAACATTTTTCAGCGATCCGTCCCTTTCAGCCGCTCAGACCGAAGTGATGGTGAATCTGATGAGATGATCCAAGGGCATCGAAAAGTACGGCGTCCATCCATACCCCTGTCGTCGCCACGTGACCTACCTAGTAGGACGTCACGTCAATAAGCAAGAAAGAAGTACCATTGTTTCGAGGAAAAGAGAAGAAATGCCATCTTCGGCCCTTTGTTCTTGTAATTGTGTTTGTGCTCGCGATGACCATACACAGTTGAAGCCAAAACCAGAACAATACACGGATCTATCCATGTCTTGCATGAATAGACAAAAGACCATGCATTTGTTGAGAGCGCGGTCAGTCGTGGTCTAATGATTCTATTTGGGCACGGATGCATTGGCAAAAGTCTGTGACTAAGCCTGAGCGATTTATGCTGCCCGGGCGACGGGGAACCGGCGAAGGCGAATCCAGCATGTGTAACTAGAATGGATGACGGGAAAGCAGGTCATAGCACGCACGTCACCTCCATACAGAGTAATGGTTGGAGATTCGGAGTTGGAGACGCCGTTGTCTGCCACTCTGGACATGTCCGAGTGTCGAGGCCTTAGCAGGACAATTGACAAACAGGATAGATTCCAACAAACAAGGGAAGACGAATAACAGCAGAAGTCCAGCAGCCAACCTATCAAAAAGCAAACGTAGAGAAATACAAGCCGAAAAAAGGTACATCAATAGCCCGAAAGTCAAAGCGCGTCAGTCTGAGTCTACACACCTTGGCTGGCGGCCAGTCATGCTCGCCGCCGTGAAAGATCATCGTGCCGACCAAATTTCAGTCCTCGTCTGAAGAGTCGGACGCAACGTTGCCCTGGCCCGCTGCGTCAGGCATCACCACGCTGTTGAGATACGTGACCTGTGCAAGATGAGCCTGGTTAGCTGGCCTGTCTCACAAAGTACGTATACTAAAGTTCTCCATCGCCTTGATGCTCGCTCTAACCTAAGTCGACATCGTTCTGGCCAAGGCCACAGCAGAGCGCTTGAAACAGAAGGAGGGGCGGGCACGAAGGATGATACTGATAGCCTGATAGGAGGGCGAACCGCCAGAACAAAGTGCTAGTGCCCAATAATAGACGCGAATCGCGGCCGAATCCGGTCATGGCCACAAGTTGCCCATAGTTATATCAAGGAGAAAGGATGGCTTACAAATGGTTCCATGATGCCAATGAGTGCGGCGATCTTGTCCTGCGCGTCAGGACTCAAGAGATCTGCATCGGAGACTTTTTTGCCGAGGGTGAAGCTGCGCAGGCGAAGGAGCTGGATGTTCTCATTGTCGAGGTCATAGCCCTGTGAAAGAGGAAACGAGTCAGTTCCTGGCGATGGTAGATTTTTGGTCCCAATCAAATCCGTCGTAACCTCGGGTGAGAAAGCGATGGAATGCTGAACCGTGGAATGCAACGCGGACACTTTTCCGAACTGGGTAGGACTAGAGGCCTGGCAGCCTGGCCTGACTTAGGTTATTCTGGCCATCTAGCGGGTTTGGAGGTGAGGTCGCGAGTCAGGGCGGGCCGGGAGGAAGGCCCGGGAGCCCTCACGCTCCCGGCTGAAACATCCACACAGCGATGTATGCAGCAGCAGGCTTGGGTTGCTGCAAAGCGCTCTGTTGAGAAGTTCCTTCGCGTCTCCAACTCTCTCCCCAGTTCGTACTTTCTTTTGGTCCCCGTTGAGTTTTTCACTAAGTGCCATTACTGGGCCGTGGCCTGATACTGTCGCCAAGATGCTTCGTGAGGCTCAAATCCATCTTTCTTTGAGTTCAAGCACACCTCCATCCTTCGGTGCCGTTGTTTTCCTCCATGACGACTGAAGCGCGGCAGCAACAATGCTTCTGAAGCCGGTTGAGTCGAAACCAGGATAGGCCGACGCGCCCGGAAGACGTGACGAAGGCAAATGGTCAAATTTCTCACCACCCCGTTGGTTCACTTTTCGAGGAGAGGCATTGTTTCAAGAACAGGTATACCCGGTCATCAGGAGGGATGGTGGGATGAGACTTCGATCTCATGATGCTATGGATCTTGGAATACGCAATGAAAGCCGGTTCTTACCTTGGGTTTGGTCTTCAACGCACTCTCACTGTTTTGGCTAACAAAAGCTTTTACAGCTTCGTCGTCATCATCGGGTATTCCGCCGAAGAATTCACGTCGCAGTCCCTCCTCCCTGAGCACCGTCTTCAAGCCTTGTGAGTTCGTATCGATGTCTTCTCGAAGAAGCGCCAGCTTGTCAGCTTCCGGATGCCAAAGACCCGAGCCTACCGTCAAGAGAATATGGTTGTTAGAACAACAACGATAACCATATTGCATACGGCGGAAAGAGCGTGATTGAGATACTAGGAGCTGTCTTGCGCCTGTGGTTGTGTGGCTGCGTTGGGGGAACAGTTCCTTCGGGCGGATTGCAACACAGAAAAGTCCAACCAAGGACTACATGCTGATACAAACTGTAGCGAGTGTATGATCCACACCCATGGGGTGTAAACCATGACAAAGGAGAGATGGCTACCTACCGACAAAGGCGGCTCCCGGCTGACAGTGAACGTAATACGCGGCATAAGGACCCTTCTTCCCTGTGCGAGACCATGCGGCAGAGAAATGTGTCTACAAGGTGTCAGTGTTCCTTGCGGCTTGGTGGTCCCGACCATGGTCCCTAGCGCTGCCCTAGGACTGCCTCCCCTGGGCGTTGCGGTCCCTAGCGGCGGTCTCGATACGACTTGGGTTTGACAATCTGGTAGCGGTCAGGGAGACAACATACCTTATACGGCGTGGGGTCCTTGGTGAATCGGGTATCTCGATATATACGAAATACCTAGAAAGTTTAGGTCATTATCTGTCCTTCCCTTTCTTTTGACGCGTCTCACCAGATCTTTCGCAGGTAACTCAGGGATAGTGCTGTCTTGCTCGGTGATCTTCTCCGTCAAGGTCTCAACGAAAGTATCCCAGTCTTTCTTGGAGGATCGATAATCCGCATCATGGGCTATAAACTCATCTCATAAATGAATGGCTCCTTGAATGAAAACGGACAGGCACTCGTACCTTTGAGCCATTGCCTCTCATTGTGCTTGGCCAAATCCTTCAAGAATAGCATCGTATTGGGATGCAGGGTGTCGTCAGCGTACGGCGTGTCTCCGGGATCTCTTGCTTTGGGTTTCTTGATAAAGACTTCTTTTCCAGGCCCAAGGCCAGTCTTGACACCTTCTCTCCACAGTTCTTTCTCTTCTGGGTCCTCTGGGGCCTCCAACTTGGTCTTTCGTCTCTCGGCGAATTGCTTGACTGCTTTAGAAACTGCTTCCTTTCCGGCCGTGGTCGCTGCTTGTGGGCGCCAAAACTCAGAGTCTGTGTCTGACGTATTCCCATCTGCGTCTTCAGACTCGTAGTAGTCATCCTTTGGTTTCACAGTACGCTTTGCCTTGCGCTTTGGCTTTGCGGCCTCATCTTTCTTGAAGTACTTGCTTTGCTTGGCGGTCGATTTCACAGAATTGTCAGGGGCTGCAGGTGCCGAATCGGACTTTTGTTTCTTTAGCGCCGCGGCTGAGGCTCCAGCAACTCTGGCGGATGCGCGCCTCTTGGGTGCAGATGCTGGAGTTGCTGCCGCCGTCGCGGGAGCGGCCCGAGTGGATCGAGGCATCACTAGTACACGGCCAGATCGATGTAGTTTTTGGAATCGTTTGGGAGTGGAATGGACGAGGAGGAGGTAGAAGACTTTTGGGACAGTGCCGGGTTTGCAGATATGTTGGCCACTAAAGAAAGTGATCAAGAAAATGGGATCGGCGATGACACTTGAACGACGTTAGTATGTAGGTAACTATGTATCCGCCAGGCCGCTATTTAGCCGCCGATTGAGTTCGGGGGTGGTTCGAGCGTTCGCCCTGAAATGATGAGAGTCCCGCGTGGACTTGGAAGGGGCGAGATTCCGCTAGGACCATCCGACCAAGCACTGAGCAGCGATCAGTTGACCCACCGGACAAGGATTTTCGGAGCAAGAGCTTCAGTGAGTTTTATCGGAAGTCGGGGTATTCCAATCTGAGTTTTATCATCAAGTGGGATTTTTCCAAATAAATACATTGGTTTGAATATTCCCTTTGTTTAACTTATTTCTATGCCTCAGGCAAAGATTGTCGACGAATCAACGAACAAGTGCACGAAATACGGATAGGTATCACCAGAGAGGCCCTGGCCCATCCTTTCTAGCAATTGTTCTCTACTATAAGAGACAGCATTTGCAAGAGCAATAAAGAATAAAAAGCAGGAAAGAAGGGCAAAATGATCCCACCAGTGTTCATATCTCGCAAAAACAAGATCCTCGCTGATCTTGCGACCCCAGAGGAAGACTACTCCGATCTTTCCCCCAAGGGCTCCGTTGACGAGGGAATCCGAGATCTGATTCAGGACATCAACAATATTCCCGGCTTGGTGACAACAAGCAGTTGCGCTGGTCGGATCAGCGTGTTCTTAGAAGGGAGAAAGGCCCCAAATCGGCCGGGGCCTGAAGAGGACGCGCGGGAAGGGGAGCAAAGGAAGTTCGTACCCTCCGGTGGCAAAGGAGCCGGGAGATGGCTGTATGTCTCGCATGATCCGCTGGACAACCAAGAGGGGAAGTCTTTGCTTGAGCTGTTTGGAATGGTTCCTGGAGATGGGAAGCCACCGGGAATGGATGATGGTCACGCCCCGCGGCTCGTACGCTTTTCCTGGGAGCCCATGATCCTCCATATCATGGCCGCAACACTCCACAACGCGCAACCAGTCCTCTCAGCGGCATCAAGCTCGGGCTTCCGCGAAAGTGGCCTCCAGGGTCTTCGATGCCTGGTAGAAGGTGAAAACGGGCCGAGTCCCATCGTCGCTGTCCGATCAGCCGGCCTAGCACTGGAGTCTGTGATAGGATACTATGACGACGTCAGCGACGTTGTCAGAAGCTTGGTGACGGAAGAATATCTCCAGATGCTAGTCACGATGGCGAATGAGCGGTTTTCGGTGAACACTGAGCGAAAGCAACGATTTCGAACGGCGCTTCTGAATAATTGCTCCTCAGAAAGCTGCAAAAAGCCGGAACGGGAAGACCCACAGAAACGAAAGGAGCGGATGAGGGCTGAAGGGCTGGCGAGGAAGAAGATGCTTGAGAGCCAGGCTACGAAGGCGAAGGCTAATGGTCAAGACACAGAGGACAACGATGAGGCAGCAATATGGGATTCGTTAGATACATAAGATACCCCGGAGGAGATCACGACTGCAGAAGTCGATTAAATGCATCTAACCCACGCCAAACCTCCAATCTCAATGCAGAAAAACAAACCCTCGTTCAGAGACAGAGGGAGGAGACATGACGCGCAATTGTAGAGAAAGAGTGACAATGTATCTTGTATTCAAGTCTCCCAAGTATTCTTCCTCCAATTCAAAATCGTAACGATGATATCTCAGACGTGATGGTTTCCAACGGACTTCGACCACGGACCAGCCCAGGCCGTCCATTAACGTGATATCTCGGTCATATGTTATGGGTAGAAGCGAACCTAAAAGAACTCTAAGAACAAGACAAGGCACTGGGCCCCCGAGGAGTGTAATGGGATGAAGATCCAGGAGCCTAAGTACTGTCGCTGCATTATAATTAGCATATGCCTGCGTGAATCAAAACTAATAGTAAAAATGTTTGAGACTATACCTTTACTTAGCGAGTGATATCTTCACCAAAAGTGTTAGTGATGGGTGTGAGGCACATGGGCGACGACTCGGTGCGGCGGTGGTCACGATAGGGGCGAGTCTCGGTGGGTGACATAAAGAGCAGCTTATGATTCCAAGTGCCGCTGAGGCCACTGAGACCAGAAATACTGCCAGTGCCAGTAGACTCGCTTGCACGACGAGAGGGGGTTAAGTACGCGCCACTGCGAGCTGACAGCCCAGCCTGGCTTGCCATGGTATTAGAGGGTGCAAATGACATAGATAAGTTGCGGCCTCCACTGCGAACACGAGTGGAGGGCACCTCCTTGGAAGTTTGTCGGTACTGCAAGTTTGACATGTTACTCCTGTCATCGTTCATCCAGCCACGAAGGACCAGATCATGCAAAATACTGAGCTCGTATTCGACAGCATCTTCCCACAAGATGTTGTCAGCAGAGGCTGACCACTCAAGCCAAATGCTTCCGTACGGTGAACGAAGATATGGAAGGTCATGTGGGAACTTGTTGATCAAGCCCATGTTCTCCGTCTTCGAAACGGTGCCCTGAGAGATGAGGTCCGCATAGTACTGCTCAAGTTAGTAAGTACTTAGGGAAGATTGTCTAGATTGCTACAAACACACACCTTGTGAATGGCATCATGAAAGTCAGGCTTGTTGGACAGAGTATCAAACGGAAACCACTTGGCCATGTCCGAAAGCTTGTTGATTTCCAACTCAATTCCCGAGTTAACACACAGGGTATACTTCTGGCGCTCGTTGAATGCAGGACACTTCAGGCCGGCATGGAGTAGCTCTTGGAGAAGCTTCCTGCTGAGACCCACTGTCTTCTGATGAATCCGAGATGAGAGGCTCTGATGTAAAAGATTCAAGGTGATTAGCTTAGACTTGACAGGGGCTGAAGTGGGAAACCTACCAAAATATGCCTGTTTGAGAGGTCGAAAATCCGGTTTCTATCCTGCACCGTGTACAACCGAGGAGCGTACCAGGGAAACTATATTGAGGAGCATGATTAGCTGTTTTCTGAGAGGAACTAGTGCGTTGCAGTCTAACAAGGGAAACCTTACCTTGTCAAGAGTGCTGATAGTGGACTCATAAGTACGCTCAGGGCACTTCTCTCCAAACGGGGACTAAGTAGCTTGTGTTAATTGCCAGAACTGTAGCAAGAAGACAAGAGAAGAGAAGGACAAGAACCTACACGACTAGGGACCTCAGCGTGCCTAATAGCCATGATCAGCTCCTCTCCTGTCATAAACCCGTTGAACCCAGAGCAACCGATAGGGTCGCGGTTCGGCTGGAGCTTTGGCATCCCAGATTCCCACTCGATACAATTTGCACGGGGAAACAGATCCTTCAGAAGGGCGTCCTGGTCACTCATCTCCACTTCCACATGACGGCTACCAAGGCGAGGTGCGCGTCCAGTGCCAGTCGTACGGTTGATGCGTTCGACGGTGTTATGGGCATCTTCAACAGTCTTGAATTCGACATAGCAGTCCATGGTCTTTGCGGTGGATCTATCCATAATGATATGGATTGGGCAGCCCATATCGTCAGTGATAGGGCGCGCCTGGCGGCCGATGAACTGAAATATCTCCTGCTTCGTGAGATTGTAAGGTATCTATATTATGGTGGGTCAGCGAAAATCCGGGGTGCAGGAGCGAGCTTCTTACATTCGAGATCTTCATAACACCCCACTTGGCAGGCCCCTTCAGAGCGGCCAAGCTGCCAATGGGCATGGATGCGGGGTTAGTAGTTTTGTCGACATTCCGAGTGTACGCATCTAGGACCTGAGAACCATCGTCCATGTCCTGAATCTGGAGGTTATTCAGGCGTTGGTGCAACGGAAAGGTGTCAACGCGCGACTTGGGCTGCGCCAGCATAGGACGCTGGGCCTGAGCGGCAGGATCACGAACATGCTGGCTGGAATTCGAAGATGTCTGAGAAGAAACACGCTGGGTCTTCATAGAGGGGTACTGAGGAATAATGGGGGAAGGATCATGGACCGACAAGGCATCAGACTCAGTGTTACCGTTAATAGGAAGTGCCCAGTGATCGGTTGACTGGTAATGGTAACGAGGTGGGAAATCCGGGGATTGGTGGTTTGACTCAGTGTTACCGTCAATAGGAAGCGCCCAGTGATCGGTTGACTGGTCATGGTAACGAGGCATGAAATCCGGGGATTGGGGGTTCATGGTGGATACAGGAGAGCTAGGCTCGAGTCCTATCTGAAAAGAATACAGGAAATGCGATGGTGGAGAGAAGAGGAAGAGGAGAGGGAAGGAAGGGGAAGAGGGGAGAAGGCAAAGTGAGAGTTATATTCCCAGTGGGCATTGCTTTGCCGAGACATGCTGAGTTGTTGCTGAGTCGTTACTTGCCTTCAGGTTGTTAACAGCTGCTGTGAATATGGGGGCAGTAATCCAGGGGGATGCTGAAACACTTATGTTGTTGTATTGTCTGAATAGGCACAATAGGGACCAAAAATTAGGGACATACATTAAATAAGGTGATGAGGAGTCAAGCAGTGAATGTTTACCTGTTTTGGTAGTCACTGTATAACGGCCATGGACGGGTCTGTAGTACTGGATATAGTACAGAACAGCGAGTTAAGAATCATGTCCATGCTTTATTAGTTCCTTTACATGATTATAGGCTTTGGACCATGGCCAAATTATAGTGGTTACTTTATGCTATAGACAATTAGACATGGTCCACTGAATATATTGCTTATAACATACGAACACGGACAGGTCAATCTTTCTTATATCTTTATATCTAGGCCAGAGGGTGTACGCACCTTTAGAGAGCACGGAGACCGAGGTCTGAAATTAACGCTTGGGGTGCAGGAACAGCCTGGGCGAAGCTTCCACTGCGACTACTGAGCACTCCGTGGCAAAAGCTGTTAAAGGCCTGGCCTGGACTACTAAATAAGAGTTCCTAAGCTAGAGTGAGGTTCCGATTGAATTATAGTGGAGTCCGCATGCATAAATGGCAACCAAGTGGAGTGGGTTGTCTTGAAAGGGGATAGACTAAAGGTATGGTAGGGAAAGGACATCAATGAAACCGGAGTTCGTACATGAGGATCTTGGAGGAGAGCACATAGCATACGGGCCCATGAGGCGGAGGGCTTGATCGCCTTACTGTAAAATAGTACGTATTTAATGCAATATAAAGCTTGAGGATATATGAAGAACAATGCTTCGGTCAGCGGGATATACACAAGCCAACCTAGAGAGTCCGCACAACTATTCGCGCAGAGGACTGAGGAAGAAACATTGACGCTTGTAATGTCATCGGGCTTCAATATAATCTAGTCGAACTATACCGCTTTGGTTAGAAGAAAAGTGGCTTGGAGTTTGGCCAAGAGTGCTTACCGGTGTCAAGAAAGATTCAGCAACGAATCGAGCGCGAGCATTCAGCTTGGAAGCGTTAGCTTGGACTGTCAATTCAGAATCGCAAACGGGAGAGTGACGTACGAAAAGCTTCATCTCAGAAATTTCCTTATCCACCTCCTCCATGAATTGAAGAATGAAGTCAACCAGTTTGTGCTTCAGCATGGCTTCTGTGTGGAAGTTCGTAATGAGGAAAGAGATATCGTAACCCTGGTCAATAGGTTAGATCTCATGAAGTTTTCCCGGGGGTAATGTCCTCATACCTTCACAGGCTTTCTTCGTAAGATGAAGAAAGATTCCGCGCGTTGAGTCAGGAAGCGTTCGAACTTGTGGACAAGGACTTTGAACAGTTAGCGTAGAGTCCGACAGTTCTATGCAAGCCACTCCACAGCGGCACAGGGCAAGCTTACTATGCTCAATTTCATCCGCCTGCTTTATCCGAATGCTAACACGCACGCTGTTCACACTGGGTTCGATCAAGACCTTCTCGTTCTCGTTGCGGGAGATAGTCAATGGATTGAGGAGGAGTTCGGGGGAGCTCGCGGCCTCGATCTCGGGTACGTTATGTCGCTCGGAGGTTTGGGACGCAAAGTTGGATATGGCGAGCGCCGCAGTCAACGATGACCGGACGCACTGGAGATACGGTCGCAAGGATTGGGACTATAATTGTTAGTTGAACTGCCAGAAGCGCTTGGTTCATTCGCTACTTACCATATTGAGGGGTGACGTAGAATGCGGTGTCGCGGGAGGGCTGGGGGAGCTGGGAAGAAAGCGTCAACTTCACCACTTTCTGCTCAGATAGAATTTGATTCCTATAAGCCCAGCTTCTCGGACATCAATGCAATCTTTTCAGAAGTTTGTTGCAGAGCAAGCGTAGGAGACCAGGTTGTTGAGTGGTCATCTCGGGGATGGGCAACGTCCCGCAATGTAGCCTGGAGACGTTTGCTTTGTTTGCAGCCGGGCCCCACGCCTCTCCAAACAAGCTGACAATCGCTGTGATGTACTTACGCCACTACACTCTTCTACGGAGAAGCTTCGAAGGGCCCTCATTTCCATTCATCCTAACGACAAGACGGTAAAAATGGCATCTATACCAGGTATGGTCCTCAATGACCAGTCCATGCTTTTCAGCACCGGCAAAGCTAACTCTACACCGTAGTTATCGTCAAGCATCAAGGAAAGCGCTACGATGTCGAGCTCGACCCGAACTCCAACGGTGAAACGTTCAAATTTCAGCTATACTCTCTTACCGGGGTTGAGCCTGAGCGGCAAAAGATCCTAGTGAAGGGTGGCCAGCTCAAAAATGATACCTTACTATCCTCGATCAATGCGAAACCGAATCAAACGTTCATGATGATGGGTACCCCTTCTGGGGCCCAGGGTACCGGGGAATTGACACGACCAAAGGAGGCAGTGAAGTTTCTCGAGGATATGACGGAAGCAGAGGCTGCAAAGGCAGTAGGAGCCCTGCCGGCCGGGCTGCAGAACCTGGGAAATACGTGCTACCTGAATTCCACCTTGCAAACGCTGAGGAGTGTTCCAGAGCTACACGAGGAGCTGCAGAAATACCGTCCGTCTGGGAACACTGGTGCATCGAATCTCTCAAGCCTGAGTGATCTCGGACTCGGCGGTCTGGGTGCTTCTATGGACCTCACATCCTCGCTGAAGGATCTGTTCAAGCAGATGGCAGAGACCCAGGAAGGCTTTCCTCCAATCGTGTTTCTCAATGCCTTGAGAAACGTGTATCCTCAGTTTGCTCAACAGGATCGAAACGGCCATGGCTTCGCTCAGCAGGATGCGGAGGAGGCTTGGTCACAGATCGTGTCGCAGCTGCGGCAAAAGCTGGTGATTAAGGATGGCGAGAGTGAGTCTGCAACTGAAGTATCATTTGTGGAGAAATACATGGGTGGAAAATTCGAGTCTGTTACTGAGTGTGATGAACTGGCGGCGAAGGAAGCTGGTGAACAACCTAGCGAAAGCTCCGACGTTTTCTTCAAGCTCGACTGCCACATCGACAAGGACACAAACCATCTGCACGATGGTATACTTTCAGGGCTCGAAGAGAAGATTGAGAAGCATTCTCCTACCTTGGACCGCGATGCCCTCTACACCAAGCGATCACGCATTGCGCGGCTGCCAAAATACCTCACCGTACACTTTGTTCGATTCTTCTGGAAGCGCGATGCGCAAAAGAAGGCAAAGATTATGCGCAAGGTGACATTCCCTGCCGAGCTTGATGTCGTCGACTTTTGCACCGACGAGCTTAAGAAACAGCTTATTCCCGTCCGAGACAAAGTACGAGACATTCGAAAGGAGGAGCTCGACGTTGAGCGTGCGCGAAAACGCCAAAAGATCGCCCATGAGAGAGAGGAAGACGCCCAGAAGGAAGGTGCTTCTAGCTTGGAGCCGATGCAGAAGAAAAAGGCAACTGAAGAGCGCAAGGAGGAGGCAGCGAAGAGCTCTGGGAAGGATGAGGACACCGCAATGACCGATGCTTACAAGACTGATGCTGAGTACGAGGCAGAAAAGCAAGCGTCTATCAAGGCCGCCAAGAAGGAACTGGCCGAGCTCCTTGATTCAAAGTTGGCCGCAGACAACGGTACCAACAAAACCGGACTTTATGAGCTGAGAGGTGTGATCACGCATCAAGGTGCTAGTGCCGACAGCGGCCATTATACCTCGTACGTCAAGAAACAGAGCAGCAACAGCAAGGAGGAGCGTGACGACAAGTGGTGGTGGTTCAACGACGACAAGGTAACTGAGGTAGAGGGCTCGAAGATCGAGACTCTTGCTGGAGGTGGTAAGTTTACCTTCTTTGACATTTTATACATTGTCCTATCCCCTTATTGAGAGCGACCATTGCTAACGCATTCTTAGGTGAATCTCATTCGGCTCTTATCCTCCTCTACCGTGCTGTCGATCTGCCATCTACTGAGTAAACCAGTTCAGACGACAGGTGCATGTTGGTCAATGACATACTCTGCATAGGTTAATGCATGTCACGAATATATTCGGGTCTTCAAGTTTTGCTTCTTGGTGGGACCGTCCATGGTCATAAAACTATACCTCAATAGAAGTAGTATTCTGTACATGTCCTAATCTGTCCCAACTGGGAAGTTCTACGTAAGAGCACCGGATTACGTAGCATCAAAGCTAAGCATCTCCCACCTGTGCTGTTCAATAATATGGTAGTGTAAGTATGCGGCAAATGCAGGTGTCCAGGTGCACTCTAGGCCCTGCCAATCTGGGGTAGTCGCACGTCACGTGAGTCGTGCCTCGGCTTCCGCAAATCTGGGGGTTGTTTGTCGCTCTCCCGTCTGCACAACAACCTTTCAGTGTGCAATGTGACAGCCACAACCATGATCGCGGCCCGTCAGGTTGTACGTCCCCGGATGCGCTTTGGGATAGCGCAATGCTCACCGGTGTCTCGATTAATTCCTCTCGCCTCAAGAACTGTCAGCACGGTTAGCTATCAACCTACTCCTAAGCGCCGCCCATGGCTGCGACGCCTCATCTATTTCGGTGTCTTTAGCTGGCTCGGAGCTCAAGCCGTGAAGTATGGCATTTTCCATATGGATGAGGAGCAGCAGATTGCACAACTTGAAGTAGTGCAAGACCCAGGCTTTGTTGAGTCGGAGGTTTACGGTAACTTCACGGAAGAAGAATTAGAACAGAGACTTACATCTGGGCTGCTGAGTGGGAGTGGTAAATTGCGTCAGGTATGTGGTTTATTGCTTTCAGTACTCCGGCAACATGATACGCTGCTTCTCCAAGGAGATATGCGCAAGGCATGGCTGGTCGGCTTCAGAGCGGCCATGGACTGATCCATTCCAGCAAGTGCCGGCTCGGAGTGCTCAGTCTCGGAAGGCCGATCCCCCTTTGCTAACTGATCGCTTTCACAGAAAATCTTCTCCGTTCGCAACGGGATGCGGGCAGTGAATATCGTTTTCTTAGGAAAGCAATTGGAAGGTTGGCCGTTAGTTGTCCATGGGGGTGCACTCGCGACTATACTCGACGAGCATCTAGCTCGAGTCGCTATCCGGCATTTGCCTGCGCGTACTGCGGTCACTGCGAATCTGGATATCAATTACAAAAAACCAGCTTACTCAAACCGTTTCTATGTGGTCGTTGCGGAGTTAGACCAGGAACGGAGCACGGATCGGAAGGCTTACGTGAGGGGTCGAGTTCAGAATAGCAGTGGAGATGTGTACGCCGAAGCCACTGGGCTTTTTGTGGTGCCTCGAGGGTATAAGCTGCGGGAGTTGGATGACTCCTTTTGATCCCTACTGCTAGCCTCCAATTGGCTCATTTATGAGGTCAATGGAAGGATTGCAGTTCTCATTCATATCCTGGATATCCTCCTACGATATGGCGGGTAGGCTCAGTATCCCATACTCCGGGTCAAGGGATATGGGAACCACATTTGAATGTATTCAGCCACTGAAAAGGGGCCCGGGGATTTACCTTTATTTCTTTCAGCATTCAGCATCAAGCATAGTACTCGCCACTATCTACCTCCCAGGAACACCTGCCACGCTTAAAGCCGATGTGCGGAACTCTGTATGACTTGTAGCAAGACTGAGTCGCCTGAGTCCTGACCCTTGACTGCGTCGTCTAAAATGCCCCGTTTGTCCAGTCAGCGCAAGTCCTGAAACCGTCCACTTCGTAACGCATGGCATGGCAATCGAATCGATTTGCCCCTCTCCGTGCCAGGTCTTTTTGACTTCGACTAGGCAGTACTTAGGTGTCGCTTTTATTGGACAGGCCTCGCCGTCCACGTTTTCAATGCAGAATTCCCTGGAAACCCCCGCATTCTCCGGCATTGCCTGTCGCCCTTCCATCCAGTAACAAAGCCTGTTCCTCCTGCTATCGGCAATGCAGCTTCAACCCCTCGACGATTGCCGCGGCTGTTCAAGAGCCGTTCCATTTTTGTCTCAGAGTTTCTCTTCGATACTCCTCCTTCTTTGCCGTCATTCGCCTCTGACCTCTATCTTCCACTCCGGGCCAAGTGAATAAGCGTCATATTCTGGGGTAGGGATTGCCGATAAAGGAAATGCGTGACCCACAGTATATCATGCCCAGGCTTACCTGAAGCTTGGGTATATCTTGCTGCTCCAATCCCCACTTAACACTTCCTTGCAGATCCCATTCTATCTCCCTTTTCTCAATTCTTGGTATCCATCAAAATGGCTTCGAGTGCTACCGATTCCGTTCAATCCCAGGTCGAAGAGAAGACAATGGTGCATACATACGACAATCTGAAGCCAAATGCTAGCCATCAAGAGCATGCCGCGACGCTCGCTGACGAGACTGGGCTTTCTCAACATGGGACTGGGCATACAAGGGTCAGTGAAGTCTTTAAGCCATTCAGATTCTTCGAAAAGGCGTTTATTAATCCATCTCAAGATGTCCTTCCGCCAATTCATGGGCTTCACTGCCATGGCCTTCCTCTGGACCGGCAGCCAAATCCCTGTCTATCTTTTTGGTGGCATTCCGCCCATTATCTACGGTGACATTGGTGGAGTGGATAGATGGGTCTGGTTTGTATGTGCTCTCACTACATTTGCGCATCATTTGACGTCTACAGGGACTAACACTACACTCTTATGATAGGTCCTCGCGAACCTGCTAGCCCTAGCTGGTGTTTGCCCTTTCGTCGGGTCCCTCTCTGATCTCATCGGACGCCGCTATGTCGCTCTCATTGGGGCTACTTTGGTCACAGTCGGAATGATTGTTTGCTCGACGGCACATTCAATGAATACTTTTATCGGTGCGAATCAGGCCGCTTGCATACTCACCCCAATCTGGTAGATGCTAATCTACCGCAGCCGGCATGGCTATCGCAGGCGCAGGCGCAGGGGTCAACGAGCTGACGGCACTGGCCGCCACTGCCGAGATGGCACCTACTCGCCAACGAGGCAAATACGTTGCGATCTTGATCTTCACGATAGCTCCGTTCGCACCATCCGTGCTGTGGGCCCAATTAATCGCAGAAGCAGGCAACTGGCGTCACGTCGGTGCTTTTTGCGCGGGCTGGGCTGGTCTTGGTCTGATCATTACGGCAGTCTTTTACTTCCCTCCGCCTCGAGTCAACTCGGAAGGACTTACTCGAGCGGAGGTTGTCGGTAGGATTGACTTTGTTGGCGGCTTTTTGAGCATCGTAGGCCTGATTCTCTTCATGGCTGGCATGCAGTGGGGTGGATATCAGGTACGCTTTCTCATCGGTCTCAGGTGTCTCCAACCATGTGAACTGACCGATGATCATAGTATGACTGGGACTCAGCGCATGTCCTCGCCCCTCTCATTCTTGGAGTAGCACTCCTCGTCGCCTTCGCCTTCTGGGAAATCTACGGCGCAAAATATCCCATTTTCCCCAGCCGCCTCAAGCAGGAGCCTCGTACCTTGATCCTAACGCTCGTCATTACCTTCATCTCTGGCGCAAACTTCTTCTCGGTTCTCATGTTCTGGCCTACGCAGGCGTTCAACGTATACGGCCATGACCCCACTGCTGTTGGCGTTCGCAGTCTTCCTATCGGCTTCGGTATCATGGGTGGTGCTTGCATTGTCCTGTGGCTACTTAGTGTGCTCCGCGGCCATAACAAAGAGCTCTTGATTGCGAGCAGTGTCCTGATGACAGCTGGTACGTATAGGCGGCAAGTGAGTGAGTAATCTTCTGGTATACTGACTGGGCTCTTACAGGATGCGGCGCGATGGCCGTCGCCGACGTCGACAACATGGACCAACTCTGGGGCATACTAGTCGTCGCGGGGCTAGGAATTGGCGGGATAGTCGTCCCAGCATCCATCATTACGACTATCATCTGCCCCGATGTATGCTCAAACCGTTCCTCTCCAAGAACTAGCACTAAATAGAATGTACAGGACCTCATCGCCACAATCTCCGCCCTAACTCTCTCCATCCGCGTCGTCGGCGGCAGCATCGGCTACACAATCTACTACAACGTCTTCGTGAACAAATTCGTCCCGAACGCAACGCACTACATCGGCGGCGTGATGGCAACACAGCTCAACATCACAGACGTAGCCCTAATAACCGAGGCAATCGAGCTGACCAGTGCGAGTCTCTTGGAAGGACTGCACGAGATTCCGGGAATCGCAGGTAATCCGGCTGCGTATGACGCTGTTGTGCGCGCCGGCCAGATTGCGTACGCGGAGAGCTACAAGTGGGTTTACTATGCGAGTATTGGGTTTGGGGGTGTTTCGATTCTAGCCGCTTGCTTCTTGGGCAGCATCAAGCAGTATATGGATGATCATGTTGCTGTCGTCATGCATTAGACATGAGTTCGAGTGGGGGATATCTGGGGCGGCTTTAGTCTTTCATGTTTACTACGAGGAATTTAGGGTCTTGGAGGTTCATGGGGCTTGGTTCAGGATATATATCCTGGACGGCCCGAATTAGTCACTGGTGAAGACTGCAATCTAATTTTGTCAGCTAGCTATCGATCATATAGCCCTATGGTTGAATGTTAATACTTGACGAATTTGCTTTCTCATACTTACCCATGACACGGTAGCCAGCAGGTTAACCCTGATGCTTCTCCAACCCCATTTCTCCACCTTCCCGATCCAGGCCACGGAAACTTCCGACCACCATCCATGCTCCTAACCCAACTATCATAAAATCTATATAACAGAGCCAGCCTCATTAGCAGAGCTCGACATCACCGTTTCCCAAGCCAAGATGGTAGATCCACCGCCCCAGCTCCTACAATAGAGCTAACGCAACCCAGCCCAAGACCGAAGCCCTCTACCTAGACGACGCCACCCTGCACACAATGGATACGCAGGTCATCTCCTACACGCCTCTATCAGGCCTAAGCGATGAGGCAAAGCACCTCGCGAAAAACGTCCCAGAAGACCAAAATGGGGAGATCTTCGCCATCACCACCCAGAAAACAGTCTTTTACCCGCAGGGCGGCGGACAGCCAAGTGACACGGGACTCATTGCTCTCCGCACCTCCGCAGCCTCAAAACCAGGCTTGAATGCAGAAGGTGATGGAGAGGGGAATGCGTTCCAGGTCCTCCTCGTCCGCAAGACGCCCGACGGGGAGATCCTCCATTTTGGACGCTTCCCTACTACCGGTACTAGCAGCACCCATACCCTTACCCAACAGCCAGCCCTACAACTAGCGGCCGACCAACCCGTTACCCTGCGCATCGACGCCCAAAAACGCGACTACCACTCGCGCCTACATACGGCAGGTCATATCCTTGGCCTTGCGATGCGCCTGCTCGCTCCGGAGCTTGGGGAGCGCAAGAAGGTCAAGGCGAATCATTTCCCCGGGGAGGCGTGCATGGAGTTTGAAGGGCTGCTGTATAATGAGCACAAGGCGCTTATCCAGGCGAAAGTGGATGAGCTTGTGGGCCTGGACCTTGCGGTTAAGATTAGCTGGTGGGGCGAGGAAGAGGTTGAACGGAGGAAAGACGAGCTGGATATGGTGGAGGGGCGGGAGGTTGGGGGGATGGGGAAGGTACGCATTGCGGAGATTGGGGAGCTCGATGCGAATCCTTGTGGGGGGACGCATGTGGCTAGTACGAAGGAGACCGGGAGAATCACGATTCGGAAGATTAGTAGGCAGAAGGGGGTGAGTAGGGTTTCGTATGAAGTACCTGTTTTATTTGGAATAGAGGGAGAATAGATGTAGATAGACACGATATAAGACAATTCATTAACGCCCAGGGTATATAACCGTCATCTAATGGAATAATATAATATAACCACGCACATAATCCCATCCCAACCCATCTCAAGTGAGAACCTGATTCATAGAAGACCTCTTAGGCACAAAGGCCGAGCTCGTCTTCGACTTCCGCTTATCCTCCTTCCCGCGCAAACCCCTGCTAAGGCCTCCACCGAGACCCCGAGCAAGAGAAGCAAATGGAGACGCGCCCCACTGCTCCAGGTCATCCTCAGCATGACCATGACTCGGGTTAACCAGACCGTCAATGGACCTTGACCCCTCGCGTCTGTTCTGATGTCTATACCCCGAGTTGGAATTGGAGCTCTCGCTCTCGTGCACCGGAGACGGAGCCCGGCTCCAATCCGAAAGGGCCGGAATATCGGTTATAGTGTGCTCAGCGCACTTGCAGCCGCAGCCGGTAGGGCAGAATTGAGAGTCTAGCTCTTGGTCGCTATCGTCATCCTGCTGCTGCAGTTCGGTCGAAACGACCGAGAGCCACTCGCGGTAGCAGTCAAAGCAGCTGACGTGGCCGCACCCGAGACACGGCGTGAGCATGCCCTCGACCACTTCGTGGCAAATGGCGCAAGGAAGTTTGAGTGGCAGTGGCCGCGTGGGCTTGCAATTGGGACATATTACTGCTGTCGCATCGCCCTTGGTCTTGCTGTTCTTAGCGGTCACCGCACCGTCGACGGTGCTTTGGATGGCGAATATGGATAATTGTGGAGCTCCACACCTAATGCAATGGCGTTGGATCCCGAGCCCTTTGCCATCCTCGTCCGCCAAGGCTTCGGGCGAAGCTGTACGAGGAAGGCGCGGAAGTGAGAACGAGTCTCTGGGGTCGCTAGGCTTTCCTTCACGAATATCGTCGGGACTCGGTTGCTCCAAGTCGCCGATCTTCAACATCTCGCTTCGCTGTACCGGTAATCCCCATATGGAGAGTAGATGCGCATAAGCCATGCGGTAAGAGCGATACAGTCGATCTTTCTTTGGGTCGATAAACAGGGCTTGCGTAGAGTTATCGCTTTCAAAAGCGCCTTTATTCTTCAGCGTAATGCGAACCTTCTTGGTCGAATTTGCATTCTTCGCATTGGGCCTCTCACTCTCTGTATCAGAGTGGGTTTGCGAGGCGGATGTCGCCGTTGTAGTAAGATTATCTAGGTTTGCGGTTGCAGGTTTAGGGGTAGAGTTGGTGGGGGTCCATGTCCCCGATCCTACGGCAGTGCGAGGACTTTCGACCTGGGCAAACCTCCTTCTAAGAAGGTCACCTGCAGGTGGTGAGGCTGAGGATGGCGCGAATGTGTTGAAAGACCGGGTGAGAGAGGAGGCAAGAGCAGAACCGAACCCCGAGGCGCTTCTCGGTTGTGGTTGTTGATCTGGAGAAGCAGCCAACGACTGGTTCTGTGTTACTGCTTTCCGCTCGATACCTAATCCATCGGCACGGGAAAGAAAAGGAGGCGTCGTGCCTGCGGAATAAGGGGGAGTCGTGCCTGATCGCCAGATTTCCAACGACGAACGTCCCGAATACTGCGTACCCGGAGTGGTATGGCTATCTTTCGGCGTGGCGTGTAATGGTGTCACCGCTTGCGATTTGTCCGTACCCAAGGTGGCGTTATGAGAGATATCAAGAGGGAAAGAATGATGATCTGCTTGTTTTGGGGACGGTTCTGGCGCGGTTCGTTCTAGGTTAGGCTCGTATAGAACGCAAGACAGCATTGCGACCATTTGTATATCGCCTATCTGTTCGAAGTGCGCGAAAAGAGCTGGGATGAGCCAATGGCCACCAAAGGGATGGTTGCCCCATTGAACGACATTTGCTGTATCACGGGATGTCTTCGCGGGGTGGAGAGCGTCGTAGCTCAGGTCTACTGCGCTGTCTTTGCGCTGGATGCGCGAAGTCCTGCTAGATTTGGTTGAACCTGGAAATGATCTTGTCTGATGCAAAATGAGTTTAACCAATCCCCATATACGAGCCAGCTCGTAGTAGCCATGATCGAGAGCGACCGCTGCATTGTGAGCACACACATCAACGACCTTGCCACATATACGGTATCCACTGGCGAGCTCTCGCTTGGCCGGCAATAGATCACTGAGGTCATGTATAGAGATAACATTCTGCGGTGCGTCAGATGATTGTGAAGTCATCGCGCCGACAGTTGATCTCTGAGAATTGTCTGTCGAGCGTGGCCGGTAAAACCCAAGACTACCAGCACTGCGCCATGTCTGGGGTGTGGGGAACCGGTGTTGAAGCCCGGATAAGATACCTGATGACCCAGAAGAGCTCGATGTCTCAGCTTCAGAGTCATCGGAGTCTTCGGAATGGCCATCGTCAGTGCTTGCAATAGTCCCCGTTATTCGTGGCCCTGGTGAGCTCGTCTCAAACCGTCCGAATCTCTCAAAGAGGTTATCAGATCTCGACAGTCTCGTCATCTCCTTGAACCCAAGGTTTTCAAGAGAATACGCCGATTTATCTTTCTTCGTCGGGAAAAAGCATACTAGACGACCGTCATTGCTCCAGACTGCCCCGCACTCCCTGGCCCTGGGAACCATCACGTTCGCATTGACAGGTCGAATCAGTTCTGAACTCATTGCTAAGTCTTGACTCTGTGATAAGCCAACTTCATCCTCGTCACTGGACTCATCGCCCCCAACGTGGCCATTGGTTGGTGATTTGATTGCTTCCGCTGTTTCTCCCAAGATCCAGGCGATGCTTTCTTCAAGGCTGCTTTCGCCTAAAAGGTACCGGACAACCCCTTCAAGGCAGCCTCGCTTGTGTGACAGATACGTCTCCGAGATAGTCTGTAGCTCCGCAATGACCTTGCTAGCGAGCTCGTCGCTAACAGCGGTAGTCTTTTGTACGCTGAACGTGGGAACCGCATCTTTAGGATATTCCGGCGGGAATTTGATGTCCACTCGAATGAAAAGCGAAGACCCCTCAATACCCCATGGACCATGCAAGGATATTGTGGCCTTCCGCCGCCTGATATCAACTGACTCAAAAGCCACTTTTGTGAACTTTTCACCCACGTGGGTGATTTCGTCTCCAAGAGTTTCAATATCCCATCCAGATATCTTCACACCCCTCATCCAAGAAATAGGATTTGTATCAGCCCGCAAGCCGGATCTACTCTTCATCCCAATCCTCGAGTCGGCGTTCCCCCCTTGTATCCAGGCGGGAGCGTACGGAATTGATATGGTATTGATACCGGGCCCGCGAGAGGGAGGAGGCGCAGGAGCCTCGAATGCTGGTGACATAGCACCATCTTCCTCAGGTTCCAGGCCAGCGTTCTCATCGCGAAAGCTCCTATAAACTGCTCCCTTCCGGGTAATGTTCAGATTGGATATGAACGATTTACCCTTCTCGTAACCAACTCTTTGTAGGACATCAGGATCAACTCGATGTAAGCGCAGTTCCTTATCCGTGCCCCAAGAGACTAGTTGGAATTCCCTGTGGTCGATACCATCAACAACATCACCGCGCGCCCTCCAGAGAAACTCTTTTACTTGGCCTTTATGGCCGGGAAAGCTATGCACAGGGGGAAGATGACCGTCAGACTCCGCGCTCTCCGGAGCCCTGCGACTGTAAAGATGGAGATCACTGTTCCCCCTCTGGGGCATAGCCAAAACACCCCAGCCAAAAGGCGTATTCCGTGCTCGCCAAACAGGAAATGGAGTCTTAATAACCTTCTCCGGTACATCGTCCTCAACAGTATAGTCCCAGAACTTGATGGTTTTGTCCAAGGAGCAAGTTGCTAAGGCCCCCGGCCGAACCCTATTCCAATCAACGCCGTAAATCTTGGTATCGTGGGCTTCAATAGAACGAATCGGATAAGCACCCATTCGCTTATCCCAAATCCGAAGGTATTTATCATGGGAGCTGGCAATTATGTTCGGATTTTGTCGGTTCCATTTGACCTGAGTTGCTCCAGCAAACCAATCCGAGAACGAGATAGCCGGCCGGGAAGTAACCCGGAGATCCCAACAATGGATGAAGCTGTCGACGGCACATGTCGCCAAGATATCAGGATGATGCGCAGAGAAGTTGATGTCCGTGATAGCCCGGGTGTGTGCATGCAAGACATGTTCAATAGAGTTTTGGTAACTCTTCATCGCCAGGTTCCATACCAACGCCTTCTGGTTCGAAGTGCTCACGACCCAATAGTCTCGAGCAGCAAACGGCGACCATTGAACATCCGCCACCTCCCAGGGTGTATGGTGTGGAAGATATCTAGGCGGGGAGTATGGGGAGTCCAAGTCGATAATGTGAAGGCCCTCCTTCGAGGCTAGTACAACGTCTCGACCGCATGGCGATATTGACATAGAACCAACTGGTTGGTCCACGTGAAAGGAACTGTCCTCTCCATATGTCGGGCTTTCAAACGCCGAAGTCAATGGCCTGGGGTCATTGTGGTCGGACATTTTGGCGTATGCGGGCGCCGGTCGCAAGCGGCCCCGTCTATTTTCTGCTACCGGCGGTAAATCTCAAGAGACCGGCAGACACATTGATCGCGCGCGCTGCAAGTGCCTGTAGCAACTCTCATCTCGACATAGCGCCCGTAGCTGTCGCTGTCGACTGTATGATGTAGGGCAACTCAAGGGCTAATCGCAGGCACTCCGCATATCGTGGGGAAACAGCGTTAAGAGGCCTAGAGTTCTGAGGCCTGGCAGACTCTGTGAGCCATAAGATATCGAATGGCAATTATGCAACTAACCGGCAACAACAGGCTGAACTTCAGTTCCGCCAGAGAATGGATCGCCCCAGAGCGAGCATGGACTCCGGGGAAGACGCGGCGGACCTTAGATCATTGCCGCGGAGCTAAGAGCGCCAAGACACAGCTTTTAGTCAGCAGCTCCGGATAGGGAGGCCGAAAGAGACCCGAAATGCAGAGCCCCTCCGCTGGTTACGTCGTTGCAATCCTTTGCGACGGACTCTATTCTGGAAAATAGTACTTACTTCGCCTTGCTTTGATAGTCTGTTGGTCTAATTGTCTTGGGGCTTCATTGCAGCTGTATTCCAGCGCTTTTCTAGCACACCCTGAGATATCTTCGTTCACAAATCCGGCACGAGACGGAAATCTCAAGTCCAAGAAACACCCCACGCTGGGATACCTAGGAGCCTATAGCACAGCACAAAATGGCCGGCTTGCCTAAGAGAATCGTCAAGGAGACAGAACGACTTTTGTCGGATCCGTATGCCACCAAATTCCCTCGAGATTCCATTGAGCTATACTAATTCTTCTCCGTCACAGGGTCCCGGGTATCAATGCCGTACCTCACGACGACAACTTGCGCTATTTCGATGTTAGCATCCACGGCCCAGCATCATCGCCATACGAAGGTGGCATCTTCCGCCTTGAACTGTTTCTGCCTGAAGATTATCCCATGGTCCCCCCCAAGATTCGATTCCTGACCAAGATCTACCACCCCAATATCGATCGTCTTGGGCGGATCTGTCTGGATGTCCTGAAGAGTATGCTGTTCAACCTCTACGATTTGCGCGCATGCAACTAACCTTTAATTAGGCAACTGGTCCCCAGCCCTCCAGATCCGTACCATCTTACTCTCAATCCAGGCTCTGCTAGGAGCCCCCAACCCTGACGATCCCCTTGCAAACGACGTTGCGCAGCGCTGGAAGGAGGATGAAGCCGCGGCAATCAAGACGGCCAAGGAATGGACCATAACCCATGCGATGACTTAGATTCCCAGATGTGTCTATCATTTGCCGTGCGAATGATCATCGACGAGACCTTGATGAGACCACGAGGAAAACTTGCGACTTTGGCGTACCCTGCATGAACTTGGGCCAATTCTATATTCTAAAATTTAGCCTTGTTTCTTCTATGAGGAAGGAGCCGCGTCTCTTCGAATACATTTGCATTCCATCCAATCTGGTTTGTTTTACCCTCGAGACGCTGATGTACGGCGAGGGGCGACGACTTATCTCCTTCCAGGCAAGCCGCATCTTCAGTTCCTGCACTCCCCAGAGCCATGAATTACTATTCAACAGTTATGTTAGAATCATCTAAATAGAACTCCTTATATTTTACTCAGCTCGGGCTCAAACACTGATCCGTAGGTCCTTGGTTGTAAGCTCTTGACATTATTGTCCATTACTGGCCCCAATGAAGCTCTTGACAAGAAATCTGGTGTGAGTTTAGAAAGGTACATGATCCATTCTTTTGCATTCACTTTGAGGGTGTATTGTAGGACTTGACAATGACAGTACTGTGGATCTAGGACAGTGTTATTCACTGCCTGATCATGACAACAGTGAAACAAGCTCAAAAGTCCTTGCAGTCTAAACACAATCAGAAAAGGCAGAGCATTGAGACACTGCTTATTCTTCCTTGATTTTCATGCTCCGGGCCTTTCTAAGTGATTCCGGACCCATCTTTCACTTCCTTCTGCACAACACAGCAACTTCAGTTTGATCAGCAGACCAAAAGAAAGTTTTTTTTAGAATGCCTAGCAAGTGCAAGAAGAAGTCTCGCAAGCCAAAGAGGTAAGAATTGGATTCCCCAGGCCCAGTCTTGCTGTGTGATATCATTGTTGTGTCCTGCTAACAGAAGCAACACCAACAGCCTCAAGTCACCCGAGGCTTCTGGCATTGACAAGCTTTTTGAAGATATCACCAAGGAGAACGAAAACCGATTCCAAATCGAAGACATCAACCGTGCTGGCCTGCCTTCACCCAGGATTCCTGTGACCGGACCCTCCCAGGCGTCCGAACAACACAAGCCTGGTGAAGCAGACTCCCCTATCGAAACTTCCCTTCGAAAGCGCATTCGAGCGCTTACCTTAGGCTCGGCAAAGAAACCCCCAGAGCTCAATAGTAACAGCCGGGAATTGAAAGCCTCCCCGCCTCAAAGCTCGCAAATCTTGTCCAGTTCATTCCGGGATTCGAGCACAACAGAGGACAGCAACTCTCCCGAACGCAGTCCACTTTCGGTTTCCACTATCATTCAGCACTCGAAAGGCAAGAAGCGAGGTGACAGCGTAACCAGTCCTTCAAGCGCTTGGAAGTACCTCAGATCGCCAACTGGTAAGTTAAATAGCTCCTTCTCCGCTGCTCGCATGATGGCTGATCATACCAATCACAAGATTATACGATGATCGACTTCGACTACTGTGAGGCTCAGGCAGCCATGAACAGCGACAAGGTGGACGCAGGCGCCCCAGATATTAAGAGAAGCTCTATCAAAGAACTGGTAAGTACACACCACTCACCGCTGAAGGCATTGTCTGACGAGAGAAAAGCTCGCCTATCTCCGCCGCGAGACCGGAACCGAAATTCGTGCCATTGACGTCCATGATCCTAAAGTTGCTCGTAGACCCAATGAGGCTAGACCTTGGGACCATAAGAACCTCTGGTGCGTCGACTGTCGCAAGGCTTGCCCTCTCTGCAATGCGTCTTGCTGTGTGAAGGAAGAAGCTACCAAGAAAGCTGTCGACGAGAGTCTGGACCAGAAGGAACGCGATGACGCAAAGCGTCTTGTGGATATAATCGACAAGATCGGTATCTACGCCAAGGATGTCGGCACTTTCTCGCAGTGCACTCCTCCTGACGGATGCGGAAGATACGTTTGCCCCGAGTGCTGCGGTGTTTGCCCAAGCGAGATATGCCGCGATATCCAGTGCAAGGTAAGCCTTCCGCAAGGATCGTCACTCATGCACTTTGCTTATTGAACACTTTCCAAATGTACAGGAGTGCAAGCCTAACCCTTGGGCGTCCTGCGAGTGGCACGATTAGTCGCAGTCTGATTTGCGCGCGTCGAAGCTTCCAACAGGGTACTGGATGTAAGCAAGCCAATGCCCGAGAGACGTAGTTCAACCGCGCATTACGCCGCGCAAATTGAATCAACCATTCGCAAGGGGTTTAGCTGCCATCTTGAAGAAGCGATTGGCACTGGCATGGCATCAGGAGAGTCTATTGCGCCTATGGAGAGGTCTCGAAGAAAATGTGTCCATGACATGTCAAATAACAAAAAAACATAGCATCGACAGCAAATGAGACCACAAGGCCATGACATCAGAATAACCAATCCTAATCATAACAAAGCCATGGGATAATGAAGCATATCTAGCCATCTCCGCGTTATAGTCCGTAGATGACGAGTCAAGGGCAGCGCGCGGTCACGTGGTCCGCGACCTAAGCGAGCTCCGCACCGCACCACCCTCAGAATTGTGACAGTCTAGCGCCGCGAAGACCGATTCGACTCAACCACCCAACGCCAATCGACAACATCTCGTTCAACCGGTCGCGCATCTCTAACGTTCAAGATGCGTACCTACGACGATTCTTTCAGCGGTCAGAAGATCTACCCTGGAAAGGTGCGTTTTGTCCATCCGCCAAACAGCCGGTTACGATGAAGTCCCGCCGAAGCCCCTACGGGCTACACGATCGATCGAAATCATCGCCAAATCAAAAATAATATATGAGGATCTTTTGTTGACGGTTTTGTTGCAACAGGGTAAGCTGTACGTCCGTGGCGACAGCAAGATCTTCCGCTTCCAGAATGGAAAGTCCGAGTCCCTCTTCCTCCAGCGCAAGAACCCTCGCCGGATAGCTTGGACTGTCCTCTACCGTCGCCAGCACAAGAAGGGTATCTCTGAGGTCCGTACCGCCTTTTTCTTTACCACTGGATTCGAGTCTGGTTATTGGCATGATATATGTGGGACGGGATTGTGATACCCATCGGGTCGAAACTCAAGAGGAGGAACTGCTTTGAGATGATCTGGAGGATACAATATTGGTGTTATTGGGAACATTACTGACGGATGATTCAACGTGAACAGGAGGTTGCCAAGAAGCGTACCCGCCGTGTTGTCAAGTCCCAGCGTGCCATCGTTGGTGCTTCCCTCGACGTTATCAAGGAGCGCCGCTCCCAGCGCCCCGAGGCCCGTGCCGCCGCTCGCCAGCAGGCCATCAAGGACGCCAAGGAGAAGAAGGCCGCCGCCGAGTCCAAGAAGAAGGCCGAGAAGGCTAAGAACGCCGCTGCTGGTGCTAAGGGTGCTGCTCAGCGCATCCAGAGCAAGCAGGGCTCTAAGGGCTCTGCCCCCAAGGTCGCCGCCAAGTCTCGCTAAGGAATAGATAACGGTCTGGCTTGGGATTGGGCGCGGAAGGCAAGAGTTTCGTGGACGGAATTTGGGAGGTTACTGGAGCTGGAATATGTGTTTTCCCTACCACCAAAAATGAAATGTTCTCCAAAACTATCGGCGTACAACACGGTTACTTGCGGGTTCATGGCTCTCAGATAAGCGCTACCAATCGCGCGCCATCCATATACATGCAATCGCAGATGGCCGCTAGATACATCGCGTTAGTGTAATTCCTACATGTTCATACTGTTCATGCTTTGCGCATCCGAGAATTCCTCATTGTCAACGCTTTGGTAGTCGATATGACTAGGCTTGAGCCTCAAGTAGATATCGGGTCCATGCGCATCGTCCAAGGCGTGCTCGACAATGGGTGAATATTGCACTTCCCGTGAGCCATACAAAGGATTAATCGGTAGATCCAATTAAGCAACGCAGGTTCCATGCAGCAAAACAATCCCTCTACAATATATACATATACTTGTTGGGCATACGTTTGATATCCGTATACTCCCGTCTGTACTTTCTACTACCCCGTAGAGCCTCCGCGCTCCAGTCCCATCTAGGGCTCAAAACCTAGCCTAACCCGTTTCGGATCTATAACGTAGCCCCCGCCTCGGGCTTAAGTCCGGAGTCCAGACAGAGGGACCCAAGGAGCAACCAGCAAGGATATATAGATGCTTGAACAGTAGAGATCACATACCCAGGCGGTAAAGTATACACGACAACCACGGCAAATCACACCCCTGAGTCTCACCAAAAGCAGCCCTTGCAAGTGGCAATTAGAGCCTGAGGCATCAAAGCCACGGTAATGACACCCGCCAAGTCGCTGACTAAGGCGTCTTCCGCCTTTCCGAGTTTTGCCATCTCGCTTACCGACCAGCACTAGCGCGAAACGCCCACAGAAGCCCAGCAAAGTGGTGACTCAATCAAACCCCCCATTACAAGTTCCCACCTCGACTTTTCGACAACTTCCCATCTCGATCGACAAGTTCTACATCACCAGCAGCCATGGGTAAGGTTCACGGATCTCTCGCCCGTGCGGGTAAGGTTAAGTCTGCTACTCCTAAGGTGGGTTACTCCTTTACTCTTTGAGGTGGCGTGCTGTGCTGGTTATGTTGGAGAAGAGGAGGATTTTTGAATAAGAGGCGACACAAAAAGGCGAGGAAATAGTGGGAGAAATGAGCGTCTGATGGAGGAGTTTTCGTGGACGAAATCGGCACAAGCACAGGCACCGTGATATACGTGGGGATATGGCGGGCTGACGGACTCTCTTTCATGATATAGGTCGAGGCCCAGGAGAAGAAGAAGCTCCCCAAGGGCCGCGCCATGAAGCGCCTCAAGTACACTCGTCGTTTCGTCAACGTTACCATGACCGGTGGCAAGCGCAAGGTACGACCAACCTGATACTCGGAGGATGGAAGAACGGACTAGGACGACAGGCTTCACGGCCACTCCTTCTAGCAGAGCCTTCTTGGTCCCTCCGACCGGAACTGCGCCACAGAATTATCGAGCTAACAACTCGTCTCAACAGATGAACCCCAACCCCGGCAACTAGATTATGCCCTAGCGAGCGGAGGAATATGAACCGGTAATCGCGGCGGAGAAATGACGATGACGACCACGAAAGAAAAGAAAAGTACAGACATATACGGCCTGGGCGGCTAATATCCATTTTATCCGCCCTTTGCTAGCCTGAAAAGAGTTTCAATCGGTCAACGAACGCCAACGCACGCGATACTCGAGATTTCGATCCAGAAAAGGAGCCGGGTTTACGGGGACGGTTTTGCGGTTTGCGGGATTCGCTTGGTTCTTTTCGTTGCATGGCTAGTTATTTACGGGTCTCGTATCTTCATCATCATCAAATGGGAACTTCAACTTCGTTACTGGGAATTGATATTCGGTCTTGGTTCCTCTCTTCATCAACTCTCGGAGGCTTTCTTGAACGCTGGGAACATCCTCCGTATCTTCTCTTTCATGCGTCGCTGCACCCTGGGCAGCCCGTAGAGCTACCACTTCATGGTAAATCTACGTTACCCAGCTCATGGGAACAAGCTGTACCTGTGTTGGGACCCATTAAACCCGTCTTTGACCATGTACGAGTAGGACAAAAGTCGTGGCTACGAAAGTCAAGGTTATCGAGCGCAACTTATACTCTGCCTGGACACGGGACGCATGCATAACTACGTAGACCGTTCTCTACAATGTCCAGACCAGATCCTTTAAGCCATGGACGACTGGGAGACAAGTTATAAACCGCCATTAATCTATGTAAGACTCTATCCTATGCAGCAGCCGCTGCAAGCAGGCTTCGCCCGTCGCGAGCCTCTGAACGCCAGAAGAACAATTTTAGACATGGTCCAGAACAAGCATTAACAAACGCCATAAAATCGACATCCGTTGACATCCCTAATAGTAATGGGCCATCTCTAGTCCAGCCCTTTTGAACCCACACTTCAAGTAGAAGCCTTCGTTCGCCTCGGAGCAGTCAAGGATAGTCTAAGCATATAGTTAGCCATGATTCAGGAACGCGAGCACGCACGAAGAAACCCACCTTATAGCATCCAACCTTCTCAGCCACGAAATCCAACGCCTGGATAACCCTCAAACCAAGCTTCTTCCCCTGCTGCCCCTTCTCAACTGCAATATCCTCAATGTGACCGACCATCCCCAGCGAGTGAATGAACTTGCGCTCGACAATCAGGCTGCCTGTAGCAACGATCTTCTCCTGCTCGTCCACGATCACAAGAAGGTAGTACTCGTCATTGCGGGCCGAGATCCAGTCATACCGCTTGTTCCAGGCCTCTTCGCTGATTTCGCCGACCGTAGTCAGAACGCGCAGGACGTCAAGGTACCCGCGGTGGAAATCTGAGCGCTGCACAGGGCGGATCTTGTAGCCCTCGGGCAGGGCGGTGGAGACGGAGGGGGAGATAAGAGTCGTGGAGAAAAGGGGTTGGTCGGCGGAGGCTGCGTTGGCGACGGTCATTCTGGCGGCTGTGAGGAGTTGGGTATCTGAGCTTGTAGGAATTGAGTAGAGCGTGAGTGTTGCGAGGGGGAAGGGGTTCGGCGCGGGGTGGTCGAGGTCAAAGAGGGGTGATGGAGCGGCGGTGAACGGGCGATCAATTATAAAGAGTGTTCTATTTGGAGAATTGGATCATGAACGAGAGATGTTGGATTGGGTTGAGAGAGTGAGAACAGTTGAGAACAATGGCAGACTCTTTAGTAGATATAAGAGTCAGGGACCTGTCGAGGGCCCTGGAAGGAGCTGAACCGTGGTCGGTCGCACCTGAGACACCGTGGCGCAGATTGGACGACTCGAGGATTTATTTATAGACCTCATTTAACTTAATAGTGCAGTCTAATGAGATCTACAAATCTAGTAGTAAGTAACACACCTATCATTCAGATTGACGTCGTCATTTTTATGCTTAGAGAGAAAGATCATGGCCTACTCTGCAATGTTGTTGGAGTAGGGCTGCTCTCTGCAGTTTGTGCATCAAGTTCCAAAAATAACTGCGTCCAGGAAAACTCTCCCCGTACGGAGTACACACAAAAACCAGAAAATAAATACAATACATTTCAATATACAGCTCTGAAATAGCTAAAGGTCGCTACAATATTTTATACCACTCTACGACGTCTTTCTGAATCTTATCATGCTCGTCTATTTCTTCTCCTTGGGGCTGAGCATCAGCTCTGGGCGGACGTGCTTGTCGAAGTCCTCCTCGCTGAGAGCCTTGAGCTCCATGGCACTCTGCTTGAGAGTAATGCCCTTCTTGTGGGCGTTCTTGGCGACCTTGGAGGCCATGTCGTAGCCAATGACGGGGTTCAGGCAGGTAACAAGCATCAAACTGCACACGTTAGCACACCTGCAAATATCTAAATGAAAGCAGGTAAGCACTTACGACTCGTGGAGGAGAGTGTTGATTCTGGGCTCGTTGGCCTCAAGACCAACAACAAGGTTCTTCTCGAAGCTCTTCATGCCGTCGGCGAGGATGCGCACGCTGTGGAGCAGGTTGCGGATCATGAGAGGCTTGAACACGTTAAGCTCGAACTGACCGTTCATGCCACCAATGGTAGCAGCAACATGGTTACCCATAACCTGAGAGCAGACCATGGTCAAGGACTCGCACTGGGTAGGGTTGACCTTTCCGGGCATGATGGAGGAACCGGGCTCGTTCTCGGGGAGGATAAGTTCACCAAGACCGCAGCGGGGACCAGATCCGAGGTAACGGATGTCCTGGGCGATCTTGAAGAGGGAGCTGGCAAGGGTGTTCAGAGAGCCCGAGGCCTCGACAATAGCATCGTGGGCAGCGAGAACCTCGAACTTGTTAGGAGCGGTCTTGAACTCGGTGCCAGTCATCTTGGTGACCTCGGCAGCGATGGCCTCATCGAAACCCTTGAAGGTGTTGAGACCAGTACCGACGGCGGTACCACCCTGAGCGAGGTAGCGCAGGTGGGGAAGAGATGCCTGGACGCGCTCAATGTTGCGGTCGAGCTGAGCAACGTATCCAGAGAACTCCTGGCCAAGAGTAAGGGGGGTGGCGTCCTGCAAGTGGGTACGACCAATCTTGATGATGTGCTCGAAGTTCTCGACCTTCTTCTGCAGGGCGTTACGAAGGCTGGTGAGGGCAGGGAGCAGAGTGTTCTCGAGCTCCAGAACAGCGGCGATGTGCATGGCAGTGGGGAAAGAGTCGTTGGAGGAAGCGGACATGTTGACGTGGTCGTTGGGGTGGACAGGCTTCTTGGAACCCATCTTGCCTCCGAGGATCTCAATGGCACGGTTGGAGATTACCTCGTTAGAGTTCATGTTGGACTGGGTGCCGGAACCAGTTTGCCAGACGACCAGAGGGAAGTGGTCAAGGAGCTTACCCTCAGCAACCTCGGCGGCAGCCTGCTTGATAGCCTCACCAACCTTGGGGTCTGAATGCCATTAACAACCGCTTTCTCATCTAATGTTTCTGGTTCATCCTTACCAAGGCCGTACTTCATGTTGACAGTAGCGGCGGCACCCTTAAGGACACCGAAAGCCTTGACGACGGCATCGGGCATGCGGTCCTGAGGCTGGTTGATATCAAAGTTGCCCAGAGAGCTAGTAACCATCAGCGAATGCTTCCTCTCTGTATATCCGTTCGACAGAGTCTTACCGCTGAGTCTGGGCACCCCAATACTTGTCGGCAGGGACCTAAAGCGGTTCAGTTAGACCTCCTCCGGGACCGATTTGCGACAAAATGTCGTACCTGGATCTCTCCGAAGGCATCGCTCTCAGTGCGGGATTCGGAAGCCTGTACAATAAAAAAAATCAGCGCCTTGCTCGCGAAGACCTAGAGTGCCCTCGCCAGGTCGTTCCACATCGTAGGACGGCGTACCATTGTGACGGTTGAGCTGAAAGATCTCTTGCTGGAGAGGGACTGGAAGGACTGAAGGCGGGGGAATTGTGTAACTTGTCGGCTATTGGAGCTCAGCGCGCGTCGGCTAGTGAACGAGGCGGGGGAGCGAGCAGCCATGGACGTCACGGCGCGGGCCACTGCGGAGGTGTTGGAGGCTTTGGCAGCCGCATGCGTCAAAGAGCTCATCGAGCGCACCGCGGTTCGGGAAGCCATGGTGAGAGACTAAATGCCGAGGTGTATAAAATAAACAGAATTCGAGCGTTGTGCTAGGAATCGAGGCAATTGGGGTGCTTGTGCCCTCTAGAGGAGAAAAGAAAGGAGGAAAAAGGACTCCGAAAGGCGGCCAGCACAACAGACTTAAGGATCCAGTGCTCTGCGACAGCTTGAGGTCTCCAGCTGCTTTTCTGTTGCTGCCGTCCGAAGCCGCCGGCCGATTTCTCCCGGCCCGGTATTACACAGTACTCAAGTACGAGTTTGTATGGGATATTGCCTGAAATTTGTGTATGGAGCTGTATAACGTATTGGCGGATAAACCAAAATCCTCTAGATCTCCCTTCATCCTTGACTTTCGCCATTCTTTCTTCAAAGCATACTGGGCCGAGAAACGAACATCTTCTTCATCGTCTCAATAACCTTTGCATTGAACATCTTGCCCGACTCCAAGATCCCGTCCAGGGCGCAAAAGGTGTGCGGAGCCCCTGCAACGCGGATCAATTCCACTCGTCCGCCTGCCGCTCTCAACTTGCTTGCATACACTTCAGCTTCGTCTCGGAGAGGGTCCATTTCGGCACTGAAGACCAAAGCTGGCGCCAGGTTGGTGAAGTCACGGGCCAACATGGGCGATATCTTCCAGTCCTGGTAGGGTTGCAATGAGACTTTAGACAAGGACACGGTCATCTAGGGCTACTTACATCCTCTGATGGGGCAGGGCGTGGAACGCCTAGGAAATGTTTATGGAAGTATGACATTCTCGCTGCGGGAAGAGCTACCGTATGCTCCATCTCCCTGTACGATTCGTACGGGCAGTTCTCACGGTCAAATTCTCCATCCGGTGTGAACGGACTGTGCAGGTCGCAGACTGGCACATTTAGGACCTGCAGCGCCAGCGGAATGTTTGCATTGCGACATTGATGCGCTATCACCGCTGAAAGATGTCCGCCAGCAGATGCTCCGCCAACGGACACCCTATTCAGGTCGAGGTTGAACTCTTCCGCTCTGGCTCTGATCTATAGGTCCGTCAGGTAAGAGCGCTCATATACAGTACACGGAGGACCAACCCAGTTGAAGGCGGCCCAGCAATCATCCACAGCCGTGGGAAATTTGTGCTCAGGCGCAAGCCGGTAGTCTACGTCGAATGCTACCAAGTGACCGTGCAGCCCGTCAACCAGGCGTTTGCAGTAGTCATGGTCAGTCGCCAGATTTCCAAAAACCCAGCCGCCTCCGTGGAAGTTGACGTAAACGGCTCTCTTCCTGGGCTGTCTCTGGCCATCAAGGATAGGCGCGGGCTCAAACATGCGGATCTTGATCTCTCCGTCTTTAACCGCGCATGTCTGCTCAGTGATGCGGAAAATATCCGGGCCTGGTGCACGACCGTAAACCGTCAAGTACTTGGCTGGATCCTTGCGGAATGCTTCAATCGGCACCTCGTGGGTGTGCAGACGACCGGCATTGTATTTGTTGTAGTGCTCTACGTAGGCCGGGTCAAAGCGAGGCAGCAGCTTTGCGGGGATGCTGTTGTGTAGAGGCTGGACAAGAAATCCAGGCCGCAGCTCATGCAGGTCCTTGTTTCCAGCCATTGGTTACTGTTCAAGCAAACAATTAAATTATGACAACAAGAATAACTTTGAAACACTGGAGTTGCTTGATAGAGAGGTAGGTAAAGGTCAGTTGGCACTGAGATGAGGATGCGGGGTGTGATACCCCAGTGCTCCTCTTCCTCAAACAAACCCGTTTGTTATCTTACCCTCTCCAACTCCGCCACACCTCTAGTGCACAGCACAGTGCTCTGTCCCAAGAGCGTTATCTTCCCCTCTTAGGTATCAAAGAGACCTTTTCGATAGACTTTCTTGACTTTTATCAATCCGGCCGTCCTCGAGATATCTCCACCCGCGGTGCTGCTCGGTTACAACCGGCTATCTTCATCAACACGCTAGATGACATCGGATATTGTTGAGCACATCCAGCTGACTTCTGACTTCATGAATTAGTCTAAGGATTCCGAGAGGCTTCTCTACGATCCTGTCACAATGAGCAAATCGGTCGGTGCCAAACTGGTGGCGCGAATGGGACAAAGTCCAGAGCCGCAGAAACAGGACGGTGTTGTTGACGCTGCGGCGAGAATACGGACTCCGGACTATGAGGTTGTCCATCTTGACTGGCACGTCGGTCCATTTTCAATACCTTAGCCTGATCAACAAGATGAAGGGATGGACCATGCATCGCTCTCGTACGATGGAACAATCCTTCAGGTTAGCGGCTGTATCTGCCGGACCGGCTTTCTGGTTCCATCAGAAATTTTATGAAGAACCAATGACAATGGAACCCAATAACTGGAACCCACGAGGCGATATGGCTTTAAGCTTGTCAGTTTCAGGGCTCCGGGGTATATCTTGATGCTGTCCTCCAATTTTCGGAGGTCTTCAACTTATGGTGCAAAAGGCATTTGCGAAGATAGAGGGCATAGTTCTCGACTTTTGACTCATACTACGGGACGATCTCGCCTAGTATAAAACCGAATCCACCGCTCCACCCTGCATTCCGCACTTTCACCCCGCGCAAGACCTCTGCTGCTTTGCAACATCTTCATAGACGTCACTCACAATGACCGTACTCAACGTCAGCCCAGTTCCCCCGGACGAGATCTTCGCTCTCAACCGCGCATACACCGACGATGACTTTCCGCAAAAAGTCAACCTCGGTGTAGGTGTTTACCGCACCAACGAGGGCCAGCCATGGCCTCTTCCCGTTGTTCAAGAAGCGGAGAAGCAACTCGCCGCAGAGAACAGCCTCTTCCGCCATGAATACACAGCCATTGAAGGCGACAGGGCGTTCCTCCCTCTTGCCCGGGACCTCATGTTTGGCTTCGACGCCCAATCCTCCGACGAGAAGCAAGAAGCCGCCAAAGCACGCATTGGCACCGTCCAGACAGTTGCCGGTACCGGCGCAAACCATCTCGGCGCCCTCTTCCTCGCACACCACATGAAGCCCAAGACCGTTTGGCTCTCCAACCCCTCCTGGGCAAACCACCTCACAATCTGGGAGCTCGCTGGCGTTCCCCGCAAGACATACCCCTACTACTCCGCCGCCACCCGCTCCTTCGATTATGATGGCATGATCTCAACTCTTGAGTCCGAAGCCGAAGAAGGCGACGTGATTCTCCTCCACGCCTGCGCCCACAACCCCACAGGCCTGGATCCCAACCAGGAGCAATGGAAGGCCATCATCGAAGTCTGCGAGCGCAAGCGCATCTTCCCCTTCTTCGACTCTGCATACCAAGGCTTTGCATCCGGGTCCGCAGACGAGGACGCCTGGGCCGTCCGGTACGTGCTCAACGAGAAGCCGCAAATGGAAATGTGCGTTGCCCAATCGTTCTCCAAGAACTTCGGTCTCTACGGCCAGCGCGTCGGCGTCTTCCACTACGTCCTGAACCAGGGCGCGGAGGATCTTCGCGACACCGTCGTCAACAACCTCTGCCATCTGATCCGTGGCGAGTACTCCATGGGTCCGACGGCGGGCTGCAACATCGTCAAGAAGGTCCTCACGAGTCCTGATCTCACGGCCCAATGGCACCAGGATCTCAAGGTCATGAGCTCGCGCATCATCTCTATGCGCGAAGCCCTTTACAATGAGCTTGTCAGACTCGAGACTCCGGGTACTTGGAAGCACATTGTTGAGCAGGTAAGCGCCTTTCCCTTGCTACCTACCAGTCCCATGAAAAAGAATAAGCCAAACGCTAACAATCGATCCAGAACGGAATGTTCTCTTACACCGGTTTGACTCCTTCGCAAGTCTACGCCCTCAAGGACAAATTCCACATCTACCTCCTCAAGTCCGGCAGAGCCTCCATCAGCGGCCGTAAGCTTACCTTCCTTTCCCCTGACTTGCCATATTTGAACTAATGGTGTCTCCTCAAATAGTGAGTCCGAAGAACGTGAACTACGTTGCCCGAGCCATTAACGAGGTTGTACGAAACACGAACTAAACCAAGCACACTGTAGAAGGTTTCTGGTATGGTAAATATTACGACTTGTGTATGTATGTACTTGTATAGCGCATGCATAGATAGAATAGAACGATATAATGTATCTACGCATAAATTATTACCTACACCACCGTTGTTAACCTGCATCGCTGAAATAGCGTGAGCAGCGGTGCAACGTTCCAAATATATATTTTTGAGTTTCATAGTACGGACCTACCAAATTTGCACTATTTACAAACGTAAAAGGTAAATTGTATATAAATCATTAGAAGAAGTGGATATGCAGTCTGATATACACATTCGTAAGAGGAAGCATTAAAAGAGGGCTGTCTAAACTGAAACCATCTACTATACAGAATAGTAGTCAATAGAGCAAAGCGCGGAAGTCGCAATTGAGACAAGGGTGGGAAATGGGAATGGAGGGTAAAGCAAAGAAGCAAAGTAAGAAGCGTACGTAACGAAGGCATAATGGCATAGCTTCAAGCTGCTGAATAAAAGGCTCAATATCAATTCACGGAAAGTCATCTCAAGTGGGTGGATAGGATATACAATACTCGAACGTAGCGCTGAAACAGTCAATTAGGTATAATTAGAGAGGTACCTCGTTGAAATCCGAATCCCCCGCAGTGTCGTTTGTTTTGCCTTTATCAGATTCCTTGGCACTAGATAGCTCTTCTTCGTCTTCTGCGTGCTCTTTCTCGTCAGGTTGGCCGTGCGAGGAGCTTCCAACGTTGAGTTCCTCATCATCGGTATCTCCATTATGCAAGGATGCCGTCTCGGACTTGATGTCTCCGTTCGTCTCCAGCTGAGCACTTGGAGGTGTCGACGTCCGCGACTCCTTGGCTTCGAGCTCCTCATCCTTTGGAGGCGGCGGCGGAGGAGACTCTTCATCTTCCGAAGAGACTCTATCCCCGTCTTCTGCCTTTGGCTGACCGCTCATGTTTGCTCCAGGAAACGGAGTAGGGGGCGGTTCGGAGGCATTCTGGTCCCGCTCTGGTTGGTTTACAGGTAAGGACAGAGACTGCGACTGAGATAGGCGTGAAGGAGACGCTATAGATGATGTAGTGCGCTGGTGCTGTATTGATCCGTGAATAGGTCCTAGTTGCCGGGCCTTGGGGTCGGCATTCAGATAGTAGCCCCTCACGCTAACGATGGTGCCCTCCGCTTCGCAGGCGTCCACCCATTCTGGCACGACCACGGGGATGTTCATTTCAACTGCCTTTTCCCACAGTGGACCTCTGCCTTCGGTGCAGACGAAGTGTGTGGTGTCAATTCGGACCGTATCAATAAGCTTACCGCCAATGCGATCAAGAGCTTCGGCAAGGGCTTCCTTCCGCTGAGGGTGAAGAACGCCAGTCGTGACTGTGATACCAGATAGGTCTGTCATTTTGTGCGTCCGACAAGTCAACTTCTCTGATTGGTATGTGCCTGCGGTCGTACGTAGAACGAGGTGGAAGGTATATTCGGAATGGATTGCTAGACCGCTGATCTTGGTGCTGCGCGTCTCAAGAGGACGGGGTATGGAACCAGCTTTGGAGCCATTGCGGTATAACGACAGAGTCTTTAGGGAAGCGGTGGCTAGGTCGATCGGGTCCCATTCGAGGACGAGGGAGGTTTGCGTAGCGTTGCGGAGGCGGAGTACAGGTGGTGAAGGGGTCTTGATTCCATAGGTGTTGAGAATGCGTTTTTGAAGAGCCTGGAAAGCGGCTGTGTTGGCAGCTTCTGCAGCATGGTTGCGCGACACGGTAATGTCCACGATACTTCCGGAAGTGATATTGTTAGGGAGGAGGACCGAGGGGAATTCAATCTAGTGTAGGCTCAGTATTAGTGGCCGCGTGGGGTTATGCGTTGAGACTTGAAGGTCATTGAACCCCGCCATTAAATGAATAGCCCCCGATGAACCCGTAGCAGGTAATAGCTTCGAGGTTCCCCTACTGCAAGGTCGGAGGACTTACTAGGCGATTGTCCTGGGTCAACAGGACGGCGACTCCAGCGTCGACCTTTCCGACGGTCAAGGAGACCAACATTCTGTTGCAGCACGTTTCGGCAGGTCCGCGAGAACAGTACACCAACAGGCGAAGGAGAGCACTGGACGAAAGGGAGAGATCGCGATGGGGGTTGAAAGTAGGTTGTTGACTGCTGGAGATCGGCCCCGGTTAGCGAAAACGCCAAGCTGGACCAGCCGCAGCCAGACTGGGGAGCCGCGTGCCTGCCAGAGCAATCGTCGGAAGACTAACTCGCAATCGTCATCGGGTTCTCTGAGCATTTGGGGTGCTCAGCTATTCGAGTGGAGAGTGACATCGTCCATTTATTTCTACCGGCTTTAAATCTACTTCGATAGTCTATACAGCTAATCATACTTGGGTATCATCTAACAGTAATCACAAGAGAATTAAGGCCCTAACGCCTCATTTCACCCTCCGATCCATTGGGCCCGTCCATTGGCATCGCGGACAAATCTGCCTCTGGTTTTAACAGGTCCACTATCTCGCTCATAAGGAGTGCGATAAGATCTGCCTCCGATCTTGCTGGATGGTCCATCTCGTCCTATTTCCTTGAGTCCACCATCTCGCTTATAAGGAGTGCGATAAGATCTGTCTCCGGTCTCGCTGGATGGTCCATCTCGTCCTGTATCGTCGGGTCCACCATCTCGCTCATAAGGAGTGCGATAAGATCTGTCTCCGGTCTCGCTGGATGGTCCATCTCTTCGTCCTGTATCGTCGGGTCCACCATCTCGCTCATAAGGAGTGCGATAAGATCTGCCTCCGGTCTTGCTGGATGGTCCATCTCTTCGTCCATTTGGATTGTGGTTAAATCTGCCTCCTGACTGTCGGGATAGCTCTTTCTGTGCGAATTCCAGTCTCGGCTGTTGTTCAACGAGTTCGTTCCGTGGTTGCTCCTGGGTTGTAGGTCTCATTCTTTGTTTGTTCCCTGCTGAAATAGCCGATGGATTTTTCTGTGCAGATATCTGCATTTTTTGTTGTTCTTGAATCAAGGCATCTATGGTGTATTTCATCTCCTCCCGGATAGCGGGAAATGTGGCCGTGAGGATAGCCGGCTGAATATCAATATTGAATGTCCCTGTCATGTTTCCAGAGAATCCGAGCGCAGTATCAGAGTCTGAAGTTTCTGAATCCAGCCTCCTGCCCTCTGAATCAAATCCCCGTGCTTTCAACTCCTCTTTGAACGCCGCTCGCGCTCTTCGAGCGGCCCATGACCGAATCACCGACTTGTATGAGGCCATGTCTACATTGTTGACTCTCCACCACAGAGTGTTTCGATCACGGACTTTGCACATATGGTGAATCTTTGGCGTTATAGGGTTTGTCTTTGCCGCTAGGTATCGATAAGCAATCGGCGAGATGACTGGCTGTGGGGCGAACCTCGGCGTAAAGAATTTCGTCACGGATTTCCCAAGTATCTTCATTTTCAACAGCGGCGTATATCAAAGGAACGAAGGTACCGGCGCTGGGAGGAGGACTCGGCGAGGGCTTAGGGACTGGATTGCGCCTGGTTGTGTCAGTATGGCCCAAGAACACTCCTGGGTGAAGAGTGACTCAAGGCTGCTTGAGGACTGATCACGACGCAGCAGCCACGACAATGACTCCGAAGTGGCCTAGAGCAAGAACAGCGAGATCAAAAGTCATGCAGTCAAAATAATTCCCCAAGCGGTCATTATGCGAGGCGGTGGAGTACTTCATCCAGGCAAACTTCAGGCCGCCACGCACGGCTGACATAAGCGCTTCCAAACTTGATTCAAAGAGCGGGCGATATTATTTAAGGGCACGATCCCCCCACTTCCACGTCGCTTCGGCTGCCCATCTTCTAACACCACAGACCCCGGTCTCCTCTGTTCTGTTGATCAGACATACCGCGCCCAGCAAGTATCACCTGCTAGGGACTTTTCAGCATGCCCAAGAACAAGGGAAAGGTATGGCTTATTTCTCTTCTCCGTTCACCCCGCCCTCAGATTTTTGCTGTGTGCCACCCAACTTCGCCTCCGGCTTTACCACAATATTACGCCCACGATATCTTGACCTTAATGAAGCGAAAATATAACGGTAGAGCGTGGAGAAGCGACAACAGAATTTAGACACCCAGGTTCTGCTCGCCATTATAATCAAATGCTAACTCACCTCTCATACAGGGCGGTAAGAACCGTCGTCGTGGAAAGAACGAGAACGACAACGAGAAGCGTGAACTCGTGTTCAAGGAGGAAGGCCAGGAGTATGCGCAAGTCGTTAAGATGCTCGGTAACGGCCGTCTCGAAGCTCTCTGCTTCGACGGCGAAAAGCGTCTCGCTCATATCCGTGGCAAGCTCCGAAAGAAGGTCTGGATCAACCAGGGCGATATCATCCTTCTCTCGCTGCGTGACTACCAAGACGAAAAGGGCGACGTCATCATGAAGTACACCGCCGACGAAGCCAGAAGTCTGAAGGCCTACGGCGAGCTGCCCGAGCACGCCAAGATCAACGAAACGGACACCTACGGTCACGAGGGTTTCGAAGACAACGTCGAATTCGACGAGGACCGCGACAGCGAAGACGAGAAGGACGTCGATATCGACGAGCTCTAAAAGCCTTACCACACCCCTCCGATGTCTTTGCATTCCGTACCCACAAGAGCCACTGGGTTCTTCCCGCCAGCTTCGACTGTCTTCGGCCTTCGACTCTATCATCGGCGCAGCCTTCATTACGACTGCGGCACATTTATCCGCTACCGGTAATAGAATCGTGACGAAAAATCGAGGTTCGCGGTTTCCCCCGCTTCGGCCTTCCTCAGAAGACCAGTGCTCTTCCAAGCTCCAGAGTACGGATCATTGATATTGGGTTACCGGAGTACCATTCCATAGTGATATCGGATATCTCATTCTCCAGCACATTCCTTGGAGGTCTCCAGGTATTGCAGGCAATGGACGCAGCATCTATGGTGTCAGCTGTGCTGACATACGTCGTGCCACCGATTCATTTGTTTGCTTCTCTTTCTACCTACTGCTCCTTTCTTTTCCTGTTGAAAAAGCTTGGATGATAGAATTCATGAAAGGGTTATGATCACATTCCTCTTAATCTTAGTATTATGATTCGTAGAGTACATTGTTCCTCAAACATGCTACTCCGTAGCCATCTAGTCCCCATCAAAAACACTCTTCCGAAAGAATCCCATAACCTGCCTCGCCGCCTCCTTCCCCATAAACGGATCTAGTTCCTCAACACTCATATTCGCAATCTCCGCAATATTTCCCGTTTCCAGAATCAACCGTTCCAACACCTGCGGCGACACCCCAGGCACAGCCCTCAGCATCTCCTGCGGCAGCAAATTAAACGTCCGGTGCTCGATCCCCGACGCCGTCATGACATCGCCAGACCCCGTGTCCTCAGTGATATCGACATCCAGCCCGATCTGCACGGCGCGGACAGGATCCGGCTCGGGTGCATTCTTCTTCAGCTCAGCGAAGATCTCGGCAGTTTGATAGGGCGACGACGACCAGATGATTTTCAGGCGTGGAAAGGCAAGAGTTAGCAGGACGAGGAGGTGCTGTGCTGATTTGGGGGCGGAGGGGTTTATTAGCGCGCTGCTGGACGAGAGGGACGTTGTGAGGGTTCCGGATGAAGAGAAGCCGAAGTCCGTCAGGAAGGTCGTGCCTGGTGTTGTTGCCGACGTGAAAGCGTCGAAGGTAAAGGACTTGTTCTCGTCGAACTCGATGAGCAGCAGTGGTGACTTGTAGTGCTGTGTCATTTGTTCCGCTTGGTTGTAGAGGCGGCCATTGCGGAGGGAGGAGATGAGATCGCGGACGGACTTGCGCTCGACGCAGATGTCCGGCGTGAGGATGTAGTCGCCTACCGTGATTTGGCAGGGGACGATGACCATGTTGTTGCCGTGGAGGAGGGAGGGGAGCGCGCTGCGGAACTCACGCACGTCGACGACCACGCGCGGGGGCGAGGCAGTTGCTGTTAGGCGGCCGCCGCCTGCGATGCGAGTGTTTACTGTGCGGAGGAATTGCTCTTGGGGGTCTTCGGCAGATTTGTCGTGGGTGAGTGTTACAGCCATGTTCTGTTAATGGTTAGGTTTGTTTAGTTATAGACGAAGGATGTATGGGCACTGGGGTTCTTACGCTCTTCTCTTTGATGAGCTTTGTAAAGGCATCCTTCTCCCGTCGCACTGCGCTGAGATAGCGCTGTTCTTCGACGGAGCCGCCATAGTACAGGAAGTACACTCGCACGTTCCTGCCGACATGGGAGCTGCGGTAAACTTCCACGCGGCGAATGAAGGCAGGGTCGGGCTCGTACATGATAATGTATCGAGGACGGACTTCTTCTAGAATATGTTCATCCATATCCCCGTCGAAAGGATGTACCATTACCAAGTCATCCATATCATACAGCTCGTAAAAATCACCCATGTCTTCAAAGTCGTCAATGATGACATCATCCTTAAGAGTTTCTTCAATTTCTGTAGGCTGGATCTCATCCAGTAGAACTGTCATCTGCTCTGAAGGCTCGTTGTCTGCTTGCACACTGCTATTGGGAGGACGAGGAGTGGCAACAGAGGTTGCGCCTCCTCCGCGGACTCGGCGCCGTTTGTTCGGAGGGGCCCTACCATGGTGGGTGGTAGTTGGTCGTCGTGAGTCTCGTCCTGACCCTGGACGTGGTTCTTCATTCGCTGGTTTTGCTGTCAGGTTCTTGCTGACATTGGCCAATGAGCGCTTCCAGTCGATATACTCCCTGAGTTTTCTGCGAAGCATAACTTCTCCTGAGCGTTTCTTCCCTTGTTTGTCCTCATCATCATGTGCATTATCCATCCTCTCGTCTTCCACTTTAGTATGCATTGTTCCCAGATACTCCCGCAGTTGACGACACATTCTTTGATCAGCGCACATAATCAGTACGGTACTGTTTGATTCATCGGCGTGGACTGGGTGATGGTACGCATCGACTTCGATTTCCTCGAGTATCTCGGCCAGAACCTCCCACTTCGGTTGCTCTTCCAATACAGGACGAAGTGTGGTTGGTAAAGACGTCATTGACGAGCGAGCCGCATCGTTGCCTATCTTTCCTGCGTATACTCGTGATTTCGCCGTCTGGAAGAGAACGTGGGCGGCGTCAAGAAACAACCACGGTGAGTAGTTGTGTCTCGTAGAACCTGGAGGTGGGGAGTGCGCGGTGACGATGGTGTCGAGATATTTGACAAATGATACAGCGTCGTAAGTGAGCAGGGCACTGGTTGCTGTCAGTATTGATGATGAGACCGCAGTGGCGCATGGTAACGTACTGGAGTATTGCCCGAAGGTCACTGAGATCGGACACAATCTGCCTGGTCCTGAAGCTCACACGATGCCACATAGGATCAAGCTGGCGTCTGATGGAGATGTCGAAGCTTCTATGCAAGGCACTATCCAACGTCCAATCGGCCATGTCTAATCCCGTGTTTGCTTTTTTGAGCTCTCCAATGCAGAGCTCCACGCACTCGAGGACCGCGTTTTGTATCTCGCGCATCTTATCGCTCATGGGAACCTCCAGTTCAATTACTTCAGCCTTGCGATGCCCCTCCAGCGACTCTGCGACGGTAACGTGGAACCGCGGCCATAATGACGCTTTCCGCAAGAAGAGGTTTCGTAGAGAGTTAGCCAAGGGTGCGAACCCCGTAGTGAAAGGTTCCGGAGAGTCGGAGAAGGCTTTCAGAAAGCCGCTTTTGTTCGCATTACGAAAGATCCGAATGATGAATGCCTCGGTTGAGGTCGCGACGATCCTATATGGTTAGTTGGCTTCTAGACAAGTCGAGAAGAGAGGGCTTACTTGTCCGCATGAAGTACGACCAATCCAGTCACCTTCTCTGGGTCAAGTAACTCTGAGGCTGGTTAAGAACTCATTATCAGCGACAGCTGGCAAAGACATACTAGACAGTAGATCCACCACTAATATCCTGGATGTTACACTCAAAATACCACCTTCGGCGTATATCTTCTCTCTAAATCAATTAGTCTCCAAATTAGTAGCTTAAGACATTGCACGCACCTCATCGGAACTGTAGCTCTATCGGTATTGATGACCTTGAGACCCCTGGCGAGAGGAGATTTGCTAACCGCATAATGCTCCGCCAGGGCTCCAACGGTGTCAGCAGTGTCCTGCTTGCCGGGTGACGCTCGACAAACATACCCTCGCCGATCCATTCGTTCTCCCGATCGTCCGCTCCGACTAGGAGTACCAAGTTGTTTCCCGCCGCATCATAAAAGTGAAGCAAATTCGTTATCAGACGGAGGAGCCCTAGGCCTCGGGCGAGGATGACCAGCTCATCTTCCCCGCGGAGTTCGGTGAAGATGTCCTGCTGGAATTGCTGTGACGTCTCTTGTAAGCATGAGCCATAGAAAGATAGCGCACATAATGAGCACATACCAGAGGCAGTGACAGCTTCACCGGCGCATTCTGTCGTTCAGGCGGCATGAGGAGCCTCTTTACGCGAGTAGAGCAGTTCGTCGCGCAGTGACACACAAGGTAGACACGAGGTCACGTGGTATGATGCAATCTATACATGCAGGTTGCCCAAGTCTCTTCATTTTTCTCAGCATCAAAAGCTTAGGATGCTAAGAAGACATACAGGAGAGATTACGATGGGATTGCGGAGTCGTTGTCTCAAGATTGACGAATTCAGTGGTATTTACATTGTGTAGATGCGCATTTGAAGGCACTCATAAGGTCATGACAATTTCGGACTCAATAACTAGTTCCAGCTAGCAACTTTACAATCACCTTGTTCGGCATCCACTGCCCCTAGAAACAGGAATCCTTTATTTGTTCAGCTCCTTCATGCGCGCTTCGATCTCCTCTCGGGACGCTTTAGACGGCATGTCTATGGACCGTTAGCCATCTGGATGCGGACTATGTAAGCTATGAAAAAAACTCACTGTCAGGGATTTGAGGGCCCTTGGAGATGTGATCTTGAGCAGTTGCTTTCTTGCTTTGGTCTTGGGAACTTGATGAATCGCTGTTGCTACCCGAAACAAGGTTCTTAGGATCAGGAAGGACTGGCATTTTGATGATTTTTTGGTTTCTCGGTTTTTGGTCTGTTAGAGAAGGATTGCTTGGGAGGTATGACGGTTTGTGGATGAAGGCAGAAAGATGCCTAGAGTTTGTTCTATATAGAAGTAGTGGTCGTTGGTGACGTCATTTGAGTAGGTCAAAGTAAATAGCCAGTGTCTGAGGGGCTATGATAGGTCCTGATATAGTTCAGTAAAAGCCGCTGCCTATTGTCCCGGATCATTCTCCTGTGCGGGGAGATGTGGTTGTCCTACGGTACGCAATCAAAGGGTTTCTTGTAGATAACCTGGACGAACCTTGAGCAGAATATATAATTCCACCCCGTTGGTATGTGCTGAGTATTAACAACCAATTCCCACAACGATTTATATGAAGTTAAGGTCGTCAACTGGTTCTTGCAACGTTTATTTAGTTAACCTCCAGCTAACAATAGGAGGACTGTAATATGAACCGTTGAGGCGTGCATCGACGTCGTAAGGCTGCTGTTGCTCGTTCCCCACTAGGCGGTGCCTCTTGTTTAGTGCCTGCAACTCCGCTCCCTCTTGTCTCTTCAGTCAACTCCGCCGGTCGACTTCGCTCGTCCTCAATCCTACTCCCTACAACGAATTCTATTGTACCTCGCCGGGAAACCTCCTAACACTACACCTCAGCCTGATTCGAATCTGTCCTCCGACATCAGCCACGAAATACCGACTTCCTAGTAGCCTAGCTTCGATCCGTCTCTGCCGCTGACAGGAGCTTTATATCTGTCCCCAGGAGCAGCGCCCCTATTGTACTACAAACCGTTCTGCAATGTGCCCAGCCAATTTGACTTGAGGCCATATCTATCCCCTAGTGCTCGATTCGGTTCGGATTTCTGACTCCGCCTCGACCCCGCCTAATCCGATATGCCATCTATCTTAAGTGACGCCGACAAGGAAACGGTGAAGAGAAATGTCCCGAAACCGGCAAATAAGATACACGCAGTTGCAGTTGCGCGGCTCTTTGTGGCATATCCGGACCCGCACAAATGGACTTACACCGGCCTACAAGGTGCACTTGTCCTGGCAAATGACTTGGTCGGGCGCACCTTTTGGTTGAAGTTGGTGGATGTATCGGTAAGTGATAAGCCATGGCCCTGGAAGTCTGCATTCTAATAACGCGCCCCTCTGCTTCAGCCTGCTGGAAAGGGTGTCATTTGGGACCAGGAAATATATGAGAACTTCCAATATAACCAAGACCGAACGTTCTTCCACACTTTTGAGCTGGACGATTGCCCCGCCGGTTTGTCATTCGCCGATGAGAAAGAGGCGAAGACATTCATCAAGAAGATGATAGAGCGGGAGAAGAACGCAAGCAAAGAGACACGCCAGACTCCTTTTGCATCGGTACGAGGCCAGGGGCCTACACCAGTCGCTAATGGAAAGCACCATGGCATGGGTCGATCCATATTTGGCAGCCTGTTGGGACGCTCGAGTGCGCCCACGCAGATAACGCCCGCGGAACTGCCCCCCGCGCCGACAATCCAAGTCGCTCCACCACCTCCTGCACCGGCAGCTAGCCCGCCACGCAAGGAACTCCCCTTCGACACAAGTGATCCATCATGGAAGGGGCTGCTGAGCGAGCTCGAGGCTATGGGGTTCACGGAGGACCAGATCGCGGACAATGCAGACTTCATCAAGTCATATATCGAGCAAAAGAAAGCCAGCGAAGCTGAATCTGCGACGCCTCCTGCCGACGACAGGAAAGCAAAGGCACCGCCTCCGCCTCCTCCCGCTGTACCCCCTCCTAAGGCTACTGCCGTTAGCCCTCAACACACTGGCAGTAGTTCAGGCAGCCGACGTGGTGCTCCTCCGCCGCCTCCGCCCTCGCGCAAGACTCCAGCAAAAGCAGAAGAAGACGCAGCTCCTGCGCCTCCCCGAGATCCGTCGCCGCCGCGGCCAAGATTCCGCGCTCCGCCTCCTATAGCAGACGCCGGCAAATACGCCCATACGCCTGGTCCAGCACCGCCTGCGCGTCCACGAGCAGCGTCAGGAGCTACACCTGGGCCACCTCCGCCGCCTCGACCCCCGAAAGCTCCGATGGATGATGGGGCGCCTCGATTTGGAGTCCCACCTCCATTCCAAGGTGAGCGCAAGGTGTCCGCGCCTCCGGCACCACCAAGCCGTAGCCCGGGAGGTCCTCCGCCCCCTCCACCACGTACAGCAAGCCCTGCATCACCACCTCAACTTCCGCCCAAAATTCCCGCATTTTCCTCAGGACCTCCACCGCCGCCTCCAAGAAGCCCGGCCTCCCAACCGCCGCCCCCTCCGCCTGTTCCGAGTGTATCACGGCCTATTCCCCCACCTCCTGTTGCAAACATCCCTCCGCCACCACCTCCACCGGCACGCCCAGCACCAAGTGCAGCTGGACCCCCTCCACCGCCTCCCCCGCCGCCGCCAAGCTCCGGACCTCCCGTGCCACCACCTCCACCTCCTCCAGCGACAGGAAGCTTCGCACCCCCGCCGCCCCCTCCCCCACCTTCAGGGCCCGGCGCACCACCACCACCGCCACCGCTTCCTACAGGCGCTGGTGCTCCTCCTCCACCTCCTCCTAACGGAGCAGCACCGCCATTACCTCAACCTAGTGGAGGTAGGGACGACTTGTTGGCTGCCATTCGAGCTTCCGGTGGCCAGGGTGGTGGAGGTTTGCGCAAGGTAAAGGATTCCGAAAAGAAAGATCGAAGTGGAGCTATGGTACCCGGCGGGGCCAGTGAATCGGCAGCAGCTGCTCCTAGCACAGGCGGCGGCCCTCAAGGAGGATTGGCAGGAGCATTGCAAGACGCCTTGGCGAAGAGAAAGCAGAAAGTCAGCGGTAGTGGTAAGTCCTGATTCTTAGTAACGTCTGACGTATGGTTGCTGACTAGATATTAGATGACGAGAAAGATGACGACGATGATTGGTGAGCGAGATGCAGCTGAGCGCCTTTACCGTTTTCTGCTCTTAATTGTGAGGTCTTTCTTTTTCTTTTTCTTTTTAGTTTTGATACCTAGCTTCATCTCCAGTTTTCTGTGGCCATCATATGCTTTATGCGGTTCCTTGATTGCAAGCTCTGAGGGAGGCGTTTGTCGAATTCCCAAAACATTTGCAGCGTTACAGTTTAACTATCAGTGTCTTGTTCTTCAAACCAGTCATTCGCGAGGCCACAAAATCTGCAGGTTCACTCATGTTGTATAGAAGGTCTGGACACAGCTCTGCCATCACTAAACAAATTTACAAATTCTATATCTGCCATTGCTGTGTCGCTCTTTGAAGTCGAAACTTGATGAATATAGATGGTCGGAACATAGTTGACCCGATTAGTATTTGGAGGAAAATCCGAGCGGAAGACGTCGACGGAGTTGAACAACCGCGGGCGAGAAGTTTGGATTTGAAATTGCGAGAAGGAATAGTGCCGTCCTCTCGCCGGAGACTTCCAGCAAAGACAGAAATGATTTCACCGTCACCCCTGAAACCCTCTGTCCCTTCAACGTCACTCCTCCGATTCCTGCGCGCTCAATCCGAATCGGCCCTCTTCTCGACAAACCAGCCATCGGCATGCCGCCGCATCTCTACCAGGGTGCCTCGCTCATCTAACCCGTTGTCATCAGCAGAGCCTTCGAGTCGAACGAATATAGAACTCAACCCGTGTCAAATACGTCTCTTTACTGATGTCCAACTTCCGCGATGCCGCACTTCACGATGCGAGACAAATTTAACTCCTGCCGCCGCGTTCCAGCGCCTTTCGAGATCACCGCAATGCCGGAATTTCTCCTCAACAAGAAGCCGACCGATTCTACGCAAATTCTGGGACTTCAGACGCAAAAAGCAGGCTGTTGAGCCCCGCCGCGGACCTTCGTTACTTGATGACACAGAAAATTTGAGTCTTGCGCGAGCGCTAGCAGCCAAAGCCTCCAACGAACTGCGCCTTCGATGCACAGAGTTTGATCTCAACGGGAACGTGACACTGATGAATGGAGAGTTCAAGAAAAGCGAGCTGATAGCCAAGGTCGGTATTAGAGTGTGACTTGGAATGATCAAGAGACTAAGAGTATAATAGTATGGTCTACTCCCGCGTGATCTTCGAAAAATCGATTCATCAACGCTGCCCCATATCTTTGTGCGGCCTCGTACTATCCTGATCAACCTCCTCCATCTTCGTGTGCTCATCAAAGCGGACCGCGTCTTGGTTTTCGACGCATATGGCTCAACGGATTCATATATGCAATCGTTGTTTGTGTATGACTTGGAGGGCAAGCTGCGGCAAAAGCAGGCTCAAAGTACGGGTGCAGGCTCCCTTCCATATGAGTTCCGTGCCCTCGAAGCAGTCTTGATCAGCGTGACTACGGGGCTAGAGGAAGAATTCAACGGTGTCCGGGAGCCAGTCGTGCGCGTCTTGCGGGCCTTGGAGGAAGATATTGACCGGGACAAGCTCCGGCACTTGCTTATCTACTCCAAGAAGCTAGGTACCTTTGAACAAAAGGCGCGGCTCGTCCGAGATGCGATCGACGATTTACTGGAAGCCGACGATGACCTGGCTTCGATGTACCTCAGTGAGAGAGCAAATGGTTTCCAGCGAGAGGAGCACGACCACCAGGAGGTCGAGATGCTTCTGGAATCGTATCACAAAGTATGCGACGAAATCGTGCAAGCGAGCGGGAACTTGGTGACCAGCATCCGCAACACGGAAGAAGTGTAAGCTAGCCCTCTCTTAGTCGTCCATGCGAACCTTGCTAATTCCAGTCTCACCAGCGTGAAAGCAATTCTCGACGCAAACCGCAACTCCCTCATGCTGCTCGATCTCAAGTTTAGCATCGGCACGCTGGGCCTCGCAACAGGAACCCTCTTCTCCGCGCTCTACGGCATGAACCTTAAGAACTTCATTGAAGAATCCGACCTCGGGTTCGGCGCCGTCTCCGTCACCTGCTTCGCCATCTCCGCCCTCGTCTGCGTCTACGGCCTCGCAAAGCTACGTAAGCTCCAACGCGTCCGCATGTGGGGGGAGGCCGGCGTTGGCGGAACCCCCATCATCCCGCTCCACTCCTCCCGCACTAGCGCTTTCCCCAGCCACCGTGCCAATTGGCGCGCCGACTCCATCGAGCCCGTTTGGGGGAGTTTGCCCGGTGAAGGACGCGCTGAGCGTATCAAGCGCCTGAAGGACAGCTCAGCTGCCGCGGCGGCCGCGAGGAATGCGGCATCCTCTGCTGCGAGTAGTCGTGCTGCGAGCTTGAAGCGGGCGCTGAAGTTCCCGTCTGAATCGGGGGCGAAGGCTAAGGATGCGTCTGCGGGTGCCGCTGCTGCTTCAAGCACGGGCGCTGCTGAGGCTAGTGCTCAGCCTCAGAGCGGTGGTTCTAGCTCTACGTCTGCGTGATTACGCTATCTCCACTCATATCTCTTATTCCATCTGCGGTTATCGCCGCTTTGGCCCACGTATCATGTAATCTAATGTCTGACAGATACCATGCATAGAGCTTGTTTTATGTTTTGCATCTCGTTTGCATCTAAGATTGGCTGGAGTTTTGGTGGCTTTCTGGTTCAATGTAATTATAGGTCTATATAAATAAAACTCAACATTATGGGGTATCTATCTAGTACTATATACCTTTTCTGTATCTAACTCAAATGTAGTTAGTATACATTCATCCGTATACTTTCATCAATTCCTCATGTGGCAAAATAAGTCAAGCCAGACGCTCTATATACTTACCATCCCATCTATATCCCACTGTAGCCCATATAGAGAATGCGATCAGGGCCTGCTCTCCCCATACGCGCGCTCAAAGAACCTCTTAAACGCCATCGCCCCATCCTCCCCAAATAACATCTTGCCATTCGCCTCCGTCTCCTCGGTCTTCTCATGTACTCGGGAGAACATCTCCGTCTCGAAGGCTTGCAGTAGCGGATCAAGAGCAGAAAGGAAGGACGCAGGCTCGCCGGTGCTCTGCTCAAACGCACTGACGATGGCCTTCGAGAGCAGAAGCGCGTCCCACATCGCGAGATTCACGCCCTCCCCGGCCCAGGGTGGCATAAGGTGCGCTGCGTCACCGATGAGCGTAATGGCGGTATCTTGGTGGCTGTTGTGGGGGAAGGTCGTGTTTGTCGGGAGAGTGTAGAGGGGCTTGATCGGCAGCGTAGTGAGACCGGGGTTTCCTTGCGACTCCTCGGCGCAAGAAGCGGAGAATAATTCTTTCAGCGGCTCGCCAAATGAACCGAGGAGGTTGGCATCTGTAAGGATGCGCTCCTCGGCGGACTTTAGATCGAGCTTGTCGAGTCCTGATGACGAGGGGAAGTGCTCGTCGGTTATGGAGAGGAAGGTATAGATTCGGGCTGAGTCTGCGGGTCCGCGCTGTGCCATTACGCCGTGGCGGAGACCTAGGGCTGAGAAACTGCCACGTCCGATGAGGGATGATAGGTGCGGATACTTTGAGCTGATGGCTGGGATTGTCACTGTGATGCTTTGCGTGCCGGTGTAGTGTGGCATGACATCTGTTAGAGCAGTTCGCGCGCGAGACCAGGCGCCATCAGCGCCGATGAGGAGGTCGAATGGGCTCTTTCCATGAGGACCAAAGTCGAGCTCTTTGGTATCTGGTTTGACAGAGAGAAGCTTATGCCCATACTTGATTGAGCCCGGTGGTAGGTGTTCAGTCAGGAGATTCGTGAGCGCATGCCTTGAGATCTCGGGCCTCTCGCTCAGTTCGCCTTCATCAGCGTAGACGATGTTGCCGTGTATATTAGCCACTCGTTGCGCCTCGGAGCATTCGCCTGTCAGGGTGAGGAATGTATTATAGAGCCCGCATTCCCTGAGCGCCGCGAGACCGGACTCTTCGTGTAAATCGAGCATTCCGGATGGTTTGGCGAGGTCGGCCTTTGTGGGCTTTTGGCGCAGCTCGTAGATTGTGAAAGGGATGTTTGACTTGTGTAGAAGGAGGCCGAGGGTTAGGCCCGCTGGGCCACCGCCGCTGATGGCGATTTTAGGGACGAGCTTAGTGGCCATGGGTATAATTCCTAGAGATCCTGGAGAGGTCCTTCAACTTTGTTGATGATAGAAAAGGACCGATATATAGAAAAAGGCAGTCGGGATGGATATAGGGAGTCCGTATATACTTCCCTCGGGGATTTCTAATGGCCGAGTTGGTTGATCGGCTGGGAATGCGGCCGGAAAGCTTGGTTGCCTAAGAGCCTCAGGCACAGGAGTGCTTACCAGCTCTGCCATAGCGTGTGATTTTCAGCTGTTCTCACTTCTCAGTTGTACTCGTGCTTGATCTAGATCAGCGATTGATGCGGTCACGGACTCGGGGTAGGATGATGCAGAGATGAAACACCTTCAGACACGCGAGGAGTCAAACCCAAGGCCCAAGCGGGAAACATTCTGACAGATCACAAGCCGACAGCTTGTCACTGTCAGGCGTGCTTTACACTAGCCGTCCCAAGTTTCGAGGCATCGACAAGCTCCTTGGGAGGACTCGTAATGCGTATCGATGCCTTGTTTTCGTATAGAGGCCGGGCCAAGCTTTTGACGTAATCCGGAAGGTCAGACCCACGTGATTGGGTCCGGAGTTAAGCTCTAGCTCGCACTTTAATCACGTGGCAGCACAGCAAACATGTATCCAGAATCCAGGGGATTTTGAGAAAGTCAATCGCGAGATATCGATGCTGTGCTCACCAGGAAACTCGGACCATAAGAAGTAAGCTTCTTCAAGCCGGGGCGAGCCAGTGGCAGCTACGAACTCAATTGCTCGACGTGGACTCGTGGAGTGGTCCAAGTCGCAATGCATTGTACAACGCCAGACCCAGGATAAGGATAGCCGGGACAAGGATTCAGGAGTCAAGCCACAAGTCGATGAAGCATGGACCGCGCCCAACGGTTTGTGCATCGGAATTGCGGTGGGGACCATGGGCCGGAATTAAGTGCTTGCAATTCAATGGCTGATCGCTTTAATTTCATCCTGGGTGAGATCATCTTGACGTCAAGGGCGTTTTTAGTCGCGACTATAGGTATAGAGCTGGCGGCCGGCGCCCGAAAGGCTGATATTTGAGTTGGCTGAATGTACTGTTATGCTTTAAATCTGAGGATGCCGATATTATTGCCCCTCGTTATGCATAAACAGCAGCGAACCCTGAAGTGTGGTCACTAAGGCACACCCGAATGTTCCAAGATTCCAAACCTGAAAATAACCTGGTGGAGCTGCGTGAGTCTGGCCCGTGGCCCAGCCAATCAGTGCTTGAGAGCTGTTTCTATCTTTGTTGAGTGGAGCGGCTCTGGTTTCTATGGAATTTCTGATTTGATTCAGGGCCAGTCCGTGTTTGAAGCATCATGATAATTCTGCAGCTCTGAAGATAGAGATCTTGTGGACGGGACGGGGCTTGCACTGCTGTGTAACTGACTTGCGATCGCATTCGGCATATATTTCCTCGTTCCAACTGGCTGTACTTCTGCTTTTCTGCTGCCGGAGTACGCCGGACAGTATAACATCCGATGGCCGAAGCATCGATCACTTGAAGTCATGATTAAGTACCTTCTCGCAAGGGCCGCTGTATATCATTACGCCGTTACTGCTCGGTAGATCGGGATCGACAGGTGGCAAGTTTAACGTGCCACAGTGACTAAAAGACCCAAATCTATGGACTCTGGAGATACTTTGGGGATACGGAGTCCGGAGGGAGAGATTGAGTGAGACCATGAGGAACCTGGCCAGTGGCAGCCAACAGCTTTCTTGAAGACAAGGAGCCAAGGACAGCACCGGTTGCAATCAGCAGCTGCAAACAGCACACCCGCTCCAGTGTCCCTGTTCAAGGGCGCCGATCCCTACCCCGGAGAAGCTCTGGCATGCTGGGATAAGAACGCTACCTCCCCCTTCTTTTATCCTCGTTCATTGGTATCATGGGTACTGTAGCGTGCTTAGTTAACAATGCGCTTTGCAATGGGCATTGTGCGGATGCGGCGGTCTGACAGGAAAGGAGGAGAAGCTGTAGTGCTGCCAAAGCGGAAAGAGAAAGCTGCTGCGTACTAGCAACAGGATGCATCCCAGCTTGTACTACACATGGCCGCGTCCGATCAGCCCGTTCAATAATGCGGCCGCAAGGCAGCTGCAGAGCTTCATTGATAGGAGGCAGCTCCCTTGGCCGTGTTACTCAAGTACCGGTACATCTCACAAGAGCTCATATGATGATGGAGTTGTGATCTAGATCTGCCGGCTGAGTCCTGCGTTTTGTATTGATGAGTAGACAACAGCAGATACAAGGAAGGGAGATAAAACTATCGATATCGAAATCCTGCTGCGCATAATTCGGATGCTGACCGGGTCCGACCAGGGCAGCACTTGGACTTAAGAAGTGGATTTAGTGGCCAGCTTAGCGGGCTGCAGTCGTGTCTCAAACGCATAATCAGGATCGTTCATTTGCGCCTCGGCCTTATAAATAGGTGGACTAGGCAGGAGTACGTAAAACCGCTGCGTTAGAGGTGCCTGACCAGAAAAGGGGAGATGCATTCGGCTTTAGAAGATGCAATCGCATCCGGAGGCCTCGTAGTTCGTAGCAGACTGTACATTCTTGCTCTGTTTTTCTCGCTTGCAGACCCAAACTGTCGCCTCCTGGTTCCGTTTCCGGTCGAGCTCTGGCGGGGATCCACGATTGTTAGAGAGGCTTGGACACTACTGCTAGATCGAAAAAAAGAAACGAGAAAAAAACAAGTGACAGGCAAGGAAAAGGAAAGGAAAAACCGTCGAGACTCGCAGTCTAGTCGACTATCGGGCGGAAAGACAGACCTGACCTGGCCGTTTTCCTGCTTCCCACACCTTTATCCACCAGACTGTCCATCCCATCATTCTCCATCCATCTCCTCAATCAATCTTTCTTTTTGCTCCTCTCTGATATCTCATCCCTCTCCTCCCTCCTTTGTCCCCTTCTTGCTCCCTCTATCCCGGCTACCCCCTCTCTTACCCTCGTTTCTCGCTGCTTTCCTTTTCTCTGTCCTGCCGGTGCCTAGCTGTTTCTCCGACACTCTTATCGAAGCCAATCGCCCTGGCTAAGATCATTGAATCGCGTCCGCTCGTTCCGCGATAGAAAACGCCCATCGGTGCCTCTGTTGTCCTTTATATTTGTCGCCCTTAATCTTAATCGAATCTTGGCTGGCGGGAACAGCTTCCTTCCATTTTTGATCGCTTATCATGGCTCCTCCGCCGCGCCTGCGCATTTTGTCAGGTTAGTCACTCCGGGGCTTTGCTCGTCCGATTACACTGGTGCTTCCAGTGCCTATCCCTATTACACCTTGCAATCGTTCAGAGCAGTCCTTTACAACCCTTCCGGCGCCTCCGAAAATGGTCCGTCGTCTAACAAAAACCTGTTTAGTGGGCAGCAATGGCATCTCTGCGTTCCTCGCCTGGAGACTTCAGGCAACCACATCCTGCGACGTGACGCTAGTCTGGAAATCCAATTTTGAGGCCGTTTCGCAATATGGGGTGACTATGAAGTGTGTTCCCACGATATGCCCCGAGGCCTTCAGTATTCTAACGGCTATCTAGGTCGAAAGCATTCGGAACTGAACGATTCAAGCCTCGTCATGGTGAGATACTCGTGCATTTACACTTCTATTGAACTGCGTTACTGATTGACGTCTCATTAGTCGTCCGCTCTCCGGAAGAAGCCGCATCTCGTGAAAACGCATTCGACTATGTCATCCTGTGCGTCAAGGCACTCCCCGATGTGTACGATTTGGCCGCCGTCATCGAATCCGTCGTTACCCCTCAACATACGTGTATCCTGGTCAATACTTCAAATACCCTCGGTGTCGAGTCCCACTTGGAACAGCGGTTTCCGACCAATGTCGTCTTGTCCCTTGTGTCCGGCGTCGAGATAACGCAAACAGGACCGAGCGAATTCGAGCATCTCACCTCTTCAGACATCTGGGTTGGGGCTACGAGTAGCAACTCCGGCATTCCAGCTGAAATACAGAATGATATGGCCCAGGCGCTGGCAATGACGCTGGTGTCTGGACAGGTTGACTGCAAAGTATCGAACAATATTAGACAAGAGCAGTTTGAGCGTATGATCGGGTAAGCGCGGCTTTACCCTCTCCTTTCTCAGTCACTGACAGTCTAGTCCTATTGCATTCCACCCGGCAAGCGTCTTGTTTGAAACCCCGAACCTTAAACAACTATTAGACAAAGTAGGAGCCCGACAACTGGTCTCCGATCTCATCCAAGAACTTGTCGACCTGGCTGCAGCGCATGGTTGCTCTTTTCCGAGCGATTTCAGTCAAAGAACGATTGAAAAAATGACATCGGTTGATACACCCAGCACAATGTACCAGGATTTCCAACACCGCCGCCCCATGGAACTCGAAACATATCTTGGATCACCCATAAAACTGGCTACGCAATCAGGTGTTAAGGTTCCACGGATCGAAACTCTATATGCATTACTACATCATGTCAATACTACGAACCTCAACAAACCCCGAGAGGCAACACCTCCTGCCGTGGCTCTACCCCCTCCTCGAGTCTCCTCGGTTCCCCCTCCAAGAAGCGGCCCGATGCGTCCGCCAAATGCTAGAGCTTCATCAGCGATGATGCCACCGCCGCGACGAGGACCTCCCTCGAGACCTCCAAGTGCTCAACCGCATCCCTCTGCTGGCCGTATCCCTCGTGAACCTTCATTAGAAGGTCTCGAAGAGTTTAGTCACTTGATGCTCTATGAGGATGCTCCGGAGGGCGCGATCCCTCCACCTGCAACCAACGGCTACCACGACGCGTCCCCTGGCGGACCCCCTGGTCCTCCCAATTCCGCTGCAGAGATAGCCCTCAGGGAACGGGAGCTTGCCTTGCGGCAGCGGGAATTGGCCCTCAGAGAGCAAGAAATGAGCATGAGACGAGGGCCACGCAGGCCGCCTCCGCCCCGGTCGGTGCTCGATGAGGAAGACGAAGATGACTACTTTGACCCCATGGATAATATCCCCATTCCAAACATCGACCCGGATAACGTTGACATGATGAGTATAACGTCTCGACGGACGAAGAAGGCTCCAAGCGCTAGAGACTTCCGCAAGAACCCCGAGATCAACGTCAACGGCGGCAGATCTTCGTTTGGCCGATACTTTGGAGGAAGGAAAAACCGTACCAGCGATCGCATCATGCAAGAGATCCCTGGTCTTCACGACTCCCTCAGGGACAACCCCATGATGGCATATTCGTCGAACCGCTACGGGTCTGTTGACAGGAACCAGATGCATCAAGGATCTCGAGCGAACTCTCTAACCGCCAGCCGAATGGGTGATCTTCCGCACCCTGGATATCCTGGAAGCAGGCGGAATAGCCAGTCTCCAGGGACGCCGTTTGGTGGTCCCGGCCCTCGAATGGGCCGACCGGGCACCGCCCAAGATGGCTTCATCCCGCCCAATGGTCCGATGAACGGGCCAATGAACGGGCCAATGAACGGTCATATGAATGGTCCTATGAATGGCCATATGCACCCTCACGGTCCTCCAAATGGCCCGCCTAATGGCATGAATGGTCATATGAACGGAGGCCATCCGTCGCCACCGGGGGCCATGCGGGCGCCCGTACCCAGGCATCCTCCTGGGCAAGGAAATGCTGTAGGACCGCAGCAAGTTGAACAACATTATGGGGTGAGCAACTCGTACTCCGCCAAGGGTACTCCCAAACAAAGAAGTCTGACCGGAAGTGCGAGCGCTAGCGCTGAGAGTGGTGATAGCGGAGCTAGTGCCACACTCGAATCCGAGAACTCGGCCCACAGCAGCCAGATCAGCTTGAACGCGCAGCAAGCCGCGGCAGCGGCGCTCGTTCGCTAGACGACGACGATACCCACCGGCATACCTCCCCCTTCGCCGCGCCGGTCGAGCGAAGCAACCATCCTTTCTCATTTCCTTCCGCATCCGCGTCTTGTCCAGCATTCATTCCCGCTATTTCCTACGTTTTCAGGATTTCATTTCGCAGCGCTGTTTACTTGTTATAAAGAATACCTTCTAATGAGATGCCTGGCAAGGGGATAAGAGCTGACACCCTGCCGTACTGTTTCTGTTGATTACATATACATAAGGGACATAAGGGACGTGGTTGTTTCTGTTTTCTTTCCCTCTTGTTTCATATTCGGGTGGGCGCATCTGCGGGTGGGTGCTTTATATCGCATTGGTCATTTGTCCTTGACTCCTGCGACATTGTCTTATTTAATGAACACGGAGCCGGAAGTCCTCGCGAGGAGAACGGTTCTGACTCGCTGCAATTATACCACGATGCTTTCGAACACAGCCGCGAATCATACTAATGCATGACATTGCTGTACATTACCTGTCTGCGCATCATCTGATGTTGTGTTCCATATCCGACCGTCACTTGCTGATGTTCCCATTCCTTCCCCATGACTATATCTCAATTTCCTTGTGTTTGTCATCGTCATTTTATATGGGCTTGCTATAGCCATCCACCATCACCATCACTTTTCCTTGACGGTTTGTATTTGCGGCGCATAAAAGAGCATGGGTTGATTTTTTGTTGACTTGGCTGGTTCTTGTTTTTCCTAATGAGGTTCTGGTCCGTTGTGCCTATCTGATTGACAATAAATGAGAATTGAATCACTCGAGCAGCTAGATTCATTGTAATGAGCCACACAGCATTTACCTTGTAAGTCGTAATCTGATATTCGATGAATCGGTTGCCCCACGTGATCGGGACCATAACAAACAACAACTCCGCTTGACACTTCTCTCCCGACCAAAACCCAACATATCAGCCTAGGGAAGATAGACGACCGACAAGATGCCTCCATCTCACCAATACACACACTCGTACTCCAACTCGCAATCGCAGTCTTACCCCGCCCGCTACTCGATGGCACCCTCCGGCGGCGCTTCCACAATGTCCCCCGCCAAAAGCCGGCAATACGCTCAGTTGGAATCGAAACTCGCCGAACTGAATGCGAATCTCGCAGCCACTAAGAGTCTTCTCGAGATCACGGCCGTGCAAGCGAATGATATGCGTTTCCTCGGAGGGTATGTCGGTGCGCTGTTCATGGGCGCTGCCAATGTGCTCGGTGAGGAGGGGGTTAAGAAGGCCGGTCAGCAGCAGGCGGAGCAGGAGCAGCAAATGGAAGAAGAGAGATAGGCCTGGGTCAGTCCATTGCGGTTCTGTAGGAAGCGAGAGAGGGAGGGAATTTGACGGGTTATGAACGGGAGGGACCGGACGGTAAAGTGAGTATTTGCTTTCTTTCTATGTGGTCTATGATGCTGGATTATGCATTTCTAACTATCGTTTAGAATAATCGACGAGTGAGTTCAGCCCCGCCAAGCTCAGTTCTCCACGACGAAACCACCGCCGAGAATGATCGCGGGCTCTTCGATGTTATGGTGCTCGTAACTGTACGCTTGTCAGCATGTGCTTCGCGCTGCAATTTCCACGCGACACCGGACCGCTGTGCGTGCGGAGAGCTTCATTGATGTTGTACATACCTTAATGTGCCCACACCACCGGCCTCCAGAATCAGCGCCGTCTCCGTCAACGGCTTGCCTGTCCAGCGCATCGCAAACGCACGGAGGATATGCCCGTGCGCGACGATAAGCACATCTCCACCATCTTCTTCGCCGTCAAAGCATCGCTTGTGATGCTTCTCTCGGATCTCGGCAATCAGCGCATCGAGCCGCTTCATGACGTCTTCGGGGGATCTTTTATGCACTTATAGTCAGCTGCTGCATAGTACTTTTCATACACTTCTCGCAAAGTGCACACCAATGCAAATGGCTCAGGGTCAATGGCGACTTACTCTCCCCCAGGACACCCATCCCGCCAAATATCCCAACTCCCGTCTCCCTTCTCGGCCCTCTGCTCACGAATCTGCTTACTCGTCAACCCCTCGTAGTCGCCGTAATCCCACTCCCGCACGGCCTCCGTAACCGTAACCTTCGCCTCCGTGCGGATCGGCTCGTCCGAGACGGCCTTGCGCTTCTCCGTCCAGGGCAGACGCTCCCGGCATCCGATCTCGAGGAGTTCAAGCGTGCGTTGCGCGCGGGCGCGCGGGGAGACGTAGACGTGCACGAGCTTCTTGGGCGAGATCAGACGGTCGTTTCCGACCAGGGCTTTGCCCGTCGCTTTGATTCGCTTCTCGCCGTTCTCGGTCAGTGCGAGGTCGGTGATTCCGGTGTGTCGGCCGTTCAGCGACCATTCGGTCTCGCCGTGGCGGATGATGAAGCAGCGGGGGGCCATTTCGGGGGTTGAATTAGAATGGATGGAGGTAAGAGGGCGCAGGTATGGGTATTGAGGAGGGGGATTGAATGTACTCTGTAGGAAAAGAGGGGAGGGGGAATTTGTACCTAGCAAGGATGTACAGGGTTGCGTCATATATGGGGACGCTTATCAAGTTGTGCCTGTCTTAGTCCAGCTGTGTCATGGCTGTATAAGGGTGTGTCATGTGGGTATGCATGCCAATGAACTCAAATCTAGTACAGCATGGGAGAGTCTCCTATGATGATTAGTACCTTCCTTCTATTAACGCAATAATAATGGCCAAATGAATTGAATTTCTTTGTTGCGAGCCATCTATACCTATACCTACTGTATACCGACCATAACTGCTTCATCAATGACTAAGCACATTTCCCCATCTGCCCAACTCTCTCCATCAACATGTCTCACTGCCATACACTCATCCAAAACCTAAACGCCAACCGCGATGGGCAAGTCCAAAAAGTCCCTGCGTGATGCTACCCGCCTCTCAGGCCTCCCGCTATCCGAGACGCTGATCCCGTCTCCGGTGTTAGCATTCCCAGAAGAACACTGGGTTACCTCGCCAGACTTGACGGAATACAACCTGCCCTACGCAGAGAAGGAGATCGTAGACACGACAGCATACCTACTCGAGAACCCGGGACTGAGCTCGAGCGTGCTCTTCCGCGCGGATGTCCTAGGGCGTAGTGGGGACTGTATCACGGTCGCTGAGTTTGAGGCGAAGGAGAAGGAGAGGAAGAGGGCGTTAGCAGAATCTGCGTCTACTTCTACGTCTACGGTTCAGAATGCAGACGTGAAAGAGGAAAAGGAGCCCGTGGCCGAAAAACCGGGCCGGCAATTCCCAGGGTTCGAGTTGCGGAGGACGCTCGTGCGGCGACTTATTCCCAGGAACCAGGAGCTCGATGCGCCGGTCGTGCAGACGTGTCATCTCTATCGGCACGAGGGCCAGCTGCAGGAGAGGCGGAAGCGCGACCAAGCGCAAGCGGAGGGGAGGCCGGATTGGAACGTAAGGTCTGGCACGGGTCGGTTCATGGTTGTCTACACGCCGCATGTGGACTCGAAGGAGGAGATGCCGTACTACCACCCGCTTGTTCGGGCTTTGGCGGTTCTGTATGAGTGTGACTATGATCTAGAGGCTGAGTTGCAGGCTAAGCCTCAACCCCAGGCGCCAGAAGGCGAGAAGAGTTCGAAAGGAGCAGGCACAATGTCCATCCATTTTGTCCCCTGGGATCAAGAGTCGATCACGAACCGCCTGGAGCGGTCCCTTGGAAGGCTCATTGAGGTTCAGATCCGTACTACGATGGGCCGGATCGTACGCAATAGTACAGCATCCCTCCACTCATCCATCAAGGACAGTGTGATTCCGCGGGATCGTATGCAAAACACGTACTGCCGACTAAAGGCCAAGTATGCGGCCGACCTGAAGGAGCGGTGGGTGGAGAGCACGGAGCCGAGCAAGCATGTCTTTGAGGATTTAGGCATTGCGGCGTTCCTGGTGGAGTTGTGGAGGGATCTATATGGTGTTTTGCCGGAAGATGAGCGGAAACAAGGCTCAAGCTCAACGCTGGGAGTGGGCACAGGGTGCTTTCCGGGGTTTGTGGACCTTGCCTGCGGCAACGGCGTGCTTGTATACATCCTGATCAGCGAGGGATATTCCGGCTGGGGCTTCGATGCGCGCCGCAGGAAGACGTGGAGTATATTTCCAAGTGGCGTGCAGGAGCGACTCAAGGAGGAAATATACATCCCGAAGCCCTTTTCCGATGTCCTTCCCATTGAAGATCAAAGCCAGGACCAGGATGAGAACATGGACATGGACCAGAAGCAGATCCAAGCTGAATTAAACAAGTCATTACCAACGCACCCCGAACCAGGCCAGGCATCAAATGATGCTGCTACAGCTCGCCCTGGCACATCCCTCTCTACCCTCCCACCGAACACCTTCATCATCTCAAACCACGCAGACGAACTCACCCTCTGGACACCCATTATCGCAGCACTTCTCAACCCGACAAGCCCACCGCCATTCCTAGCTATACCCTGCTGCTCGCATTTCCTCTCCGGGGCGCGGGGTCGCTTTCGGTCTCGAAATCAGCCACAGCCCTCATCCTCGTCTACGCAAGAACAAAATCATCAAAGAGCCGAAGGCGAAACCGAGATTCAACCTCATGACGGAGACCGGCCCGAATATAAGGACGAGGAAGAGGGTGGGAGTAAGGAAAAGAGCAAGGATAGAAGCAAGAGCAAAGATAGAAGCAAGAGCAAAGACCGAAGCAAGAGCAAAGACAGAACCAAGCCCAAAACGAAGAAAAACTCCCCAGAAACCGGCGACCTCAAAGCCATGCGCAAAGCCAAGCTCGCCGCGTCCGACCCCCACAACACCAAGGCCTTCTCGGCCTCGACCTACGGCGGACTCACAGATAAACTTATCGCGATAGCGAATGAGCTCGCTACGGGCACTGCATACGTCGGTGAGGTCGGCGCCGGAACTGGCGCCGACTCTGACACCGTAGTAAAGACACTACTACGCATCCCGAGCACGAGGAACATCGGCATCGTCGGCGGAATATCCATGGTAAAGGCAGAGTCACAGGGTGAGGCAGAGGGAAAGCCACCACGGGCTCGATTATCGTCGAGGTTGAGCAGGAGTGCGAGCGGGAGTGGACTGCAAGGCGGCAATGGGGTTACAGAAGAGGAGGTTCTGGCGAGAGTTACGGCGATCGTGGAGAGGGAGTGTGCGCGTGATGGAGGCGTTGAGGCTGCAGCGAAGATCTGGATTGAGAGGGCTAGGAAGTTGCAGTCCAAGACTGCGAGGGCGAGTAAGCACTGAGTAGATGCTCTTGCGAATGATAGTTAGGGAGGCTGGAGCTATATAACGGGATAAGAAATCGATATATATGATAACAAAGCTCAAAGACGTTGCTGTATATTGCGTTGATACTAGTGGTCAAGGCAGTCAAGAACCATCTCTACGGGAGGACTCACGCCGAGAGACTGAAGACTACGAGGAAGACTCGAACAATCATGGGAAGAATTCAGTAATTTATTGCAAGTACAGTTTTCGATCCAGATGTCCCCGATGCCCTTCCCAGCGCATCAACAAATCACAACCGAACCATCGCGCCAAAAGCAAAACAAACTGACAACATAGATAGGAAAATAAAAGTCAGCACGGAGACTGTGCTCGATAAAGAATCAATTAGTAGGCGTCTAAGCCATGTAGGTGCTGGAGTCAACGCCCTCCTCAGGGTACTCAGGAAGAGCAACTTCGAAACGCTTCTCGATGTCCTTCAGGACCTTCTCATCATCCTCGGTGCTGACGAACGAGATAGAGAGACCCTTGGTACCGAAACGACCGGCACGACCAACGCGGTGCAGGTAGGAGTCGGCATCAGCGGGCAGGTCGTAGTTGATGGCAAGGTTGATACGCTCAATATCGATACCACGTCCGAAAACGTCAGTGGCGACACAGATACGCTTGTTGAACTCCTTGAACTCCTTGTAGCGTTTGATACTGCAGCCTTGTTAGTAAGCGTAATTTCAATTGCTTTGTGAGAGTTCCTACCGCTCCTCTTGGCTGACACCTGAGTGCACAGCGATACTGGGGAAGTTACACTCGCGCAGTAACTTGTCGAGCTCGTTGGCACGGATTGTGCTCTTCACGAAGATAATGACTTGGTTGAACTCAAGGCTGTCAAGAAGCTCGTTCAGCTTCCTGTTCTTCTCAGCCTCGCTGAGTTTGATGTAGTATTGCTGGAGACCGTGAAGGGTAAGCTTGGTGTCATCGTCGACGTAAACTTCGAGCGGGTTCCTCATGAACTTCTTGCAGATAGGTCGGACCTCCTGCGAGAGAGTGGCACTGAACATCATGACTTGCTTGTCGGTGGGGGTGGCACGGAAGATCTCCTGGACATCGCGGCGCATGTCTAACCGAGTGAGCGAAGATCAAAATCCAAGATAAGCGGCGAACTTACCAATCTGGTCAAGCATCTTGTCACACTCGTCGAGAACGAAAGCTTTGACGTTGCGGAGAGAAAGCTTCTTGTCGCGGACGAGCGCGTTGAGACGACCGGGAGTACCGACGATGATATTCGGCATGGTGTCCTTGTTCGATAGGACCTCAATGTCCTTCTGGATGGGAGTACCACCGTAGAAGACAGCAGTCTTCACATCAGGAAGGTACTTGCTGAATCGAGCGTACTCGTTCTTGATCTGGTAGGCCAGCTCGCGAGTGTGGCACATAACCAAGACGGAGGCCTCTCCAGGAACAGGCTCCAGCTGGTGAAGGGTGGTGAGGACGAAAACAGCGGTTTTACCGAGACCAGACTTGGCCTGGCAGAGAACATCAACGTTGAGGATAGCAGTCGGAATGCAGACTTGCTGGACTATGGTGAGGCGGAACGGTATGTTAGACTTTGGTTCGAATCCATGAAACTTGAAAGAGAAAAGGCAATCCGCGTTCCAAGGTCCGTCCATCCCCCGAGTGATCGACTACGCAAGGTCAAGGTCCCAAGCCCATCTTCGCCAAAACAGCCGGAAAGTGCAAGCCATAAGCATGCCAAAGTATCAGATCAACCGCCGGGGACAGAGTCAACGTCTAGACCCCCGTTGCGCGAAGACGATTTCGTCCCGATCTGTGGCAAGGCGCACCGTATTTCAGGCTGCGCATTGTTTCACCCACTATCGCAAATAACGATATATTGGGCAAGTGTCGGCGAAAGCAATTTTTCGCCATGAATCAATGAAGAAACAGTATAAGCTGTTGAGCACTTTTTTTCGCGCGGCGCGCAACATTTCTCGTGATGTTCTTTTCAGAAACATCCTTTCATGTCGCCGAAGACCGAGACACAGATGACAAGAAGCGACTTGGATGGATTCCCTTTTCCGAGGAGATGGACGGACGTTGCAACTTGGAGCTATGGAGGAGAGCTATTGGGAAAGAATATGTGATGGACTAACCCTCCGAAGGATGTTCGAAACCGCAGTCGGTGATGGCACGTAAAAGTTCGCCCTTGAGCAAAAAGTCGCGGAAACCGGTCGAATGAATACCAACATAACTTCCCTTCTTGTCGGCACGGCCACCGGTGACCGTCAGTTCGCCGTCCTTCTTAGCCTGGCCCCCGTTAGCGGAGGGGGCGGCAGTGGTGGCTGCGGCATCAGTGGTCTGAAGCTCCTCATCGGAGTAGTCAATGAGATCCTCCTCGTGAGACATGTTGAAAGGTTGTGGCGAGTTAATTTAGGATGAACGCGAAGGGTAGGTGCTGATTAATGCGACGCGTCTGAAGCTGGGAGCCTTTCTGGATAGCGGAGTCGAAGAAGTCGAAAATAGAGGTTCGAAGGTGAGATTGACAGTGGGGACACAAACAGCAGCTTTTATGGACGCTGCGGGATGAATTGAACAAAGGGCGATGATGAAAGAGAAGGGTGTGGTGAAGCCTTGAGGGAAGGGGAGAAGAAAGCAAGCTGCAGCACGTGATTAGCATTAGTCAGTCACTTAGAGCCGCCTGTTACTGCTTTGAGCTTAGCTCCTTTGCCACATCACAGCTTGGGTTAAGCACAAACAATTCTTCACTCAACTACAACCCCTCTCATGGCAAAGACAAAGGGTAAGAAAGGCCCCAGTGGCGGAGCCAACAGCCATGTACGAGCGCGAATCAACTACTTATACAAAGCCGCGGCATACCTTCAGTCCGCGAAAACAGCTCCAGCAGCCAAAGACGTTGCAAACCAAGAAGACGCGGTGATGTCAGACGCGCATACTGTACCAGCTTCAGCGAGTGAACCTCGTAGCGACAGTCACAGAGAACACGCCCCTAAAGTTGCCCGACTTTGCATCGCCCAGATGCGCGGAGTGTCTCAGAAGTCACAAACTCGTCTACCAATTGAACAGAAACGGTCGTTTTGCAAGCGCTGCGATACATTATTGATTCCGGGGACGAACTGTACACACGAGACCAGAAATCCAAGCCGAGGAGCCAAGAAGCCATGGGCGGAGGTACGGGTCGTGCGCTGCAGCATCTGCAGCACAGAGAAGCGATTCCCTCAGACAGATAGACGGAGCCGGAAGCTCATCGACCGGAGGAAGGAGGGACAACTAGAAAATGTGGTAGACTCGGACAAACCGACTTGAAATGCCGGCGCATGCTCGAATATTCTCGCAGCCTACCCAGCCGACGTGTACGCGTGACGGCCATTCGGAGTCTCATCTGCCGCCAGGATTAAGAATCCTGTTCAATAGAATGGAAATGCCAGGCCGAGCCCACCGCTCAGCAGTCGCTAGGTCGTACTTGCGCATCGAATCGAAGGATGGCTTTTTGAAATAAATGCTTGATATAGAGGGCATCCATCTACGACCATCTACGACCAGCCTAGGATTCGGACTCCGTGATTCGACTGGGATTCCCCGCGCTACGGCAATTGGGATCAAGAACCAACTGCTCGTTAACCACGGCCGCCGGAGGACCCGTGGTAGCAGCGAGATCTTATGCTTTCATTTGCCGTTGAAGGCAGATAGCTTGGTTTCGCGACCTCGGCGTATTCAGAAGCCCTGCCGAGGTCTCGGCAAAAAGAGAAACAACGGACTAGTCAGAAGAAGATGAGCTATATTAGACAGGGAAAGCGATGACAGACGCAATAGCAAGCAGCAGTAAACTCCAAGCACCCACCAACGCGAGTCAACTCCGACGCTAGAAACATAATTAGACTGTTATCGCGTGAGTACTCGTATTGAATCAGCACATTTGTACCGCATCACGATAGCCACGGTTGCCGTGAGGCACGTATCCAATCTTCGCGAATTGAGCCAGAAAGCCTCCCTCGGTTCGCCCGAGAAGCGGCAGCAGTAACCAAAATAAAAGCCAAGCAACTCAACATAACACGCAAGCCAGCAAAGCCACAAATGTCATGTCATAGCAAGGGCATAACTCAAATCATAGAGTCCGCGAGGACAAGATACAGTATATAAGGGTTTTGGAGCGTTCGAGCTTATTCTCCTTCATGTCGCTGTCATAGCCGTCGTTGAGAGCAGTCGTGCAAGTCGTACTTCGTGAGAGTATGCAGAAGATGAGGGCTTCGTGTCATGTGTATTAAGATAAAGGAAAAGGCCAAATGATTAGGCAAATGCGGTGGCAGACGGTGCAAGATCGAAGCAAGCGCCCCCGGCGCCAGTGTCAAGCTTCTGTTCCTGAGAGTTGGTGTAAAGAAAATAGGGAGTGGTCGAATGTAGGTATCATCGCAGAGGGGTATCCGGAGGAAGGGCAATGCATCATCGTCTGCGGCGGGCAGCTTGGTCAAGACGTTGGTCTAGGCCTTCTATTCGGCCACGATAGGCCCTCACAATCTCTCTAATGTGTCCAATTTTTGCAAGTTCATTCTCCAAATCGTCAATTGAGGACAGTATCGAACGGGCACGGGCGATCTCTGCGTCAGCGTTGCGGATAACGTTTCCGGCGCGGTCATAAGTATTTTGAATAGACAGTTGCATTTGCTCCTCCAGCTAATGCGGGTTAAATTAGCTGCAAGATCGGCTACTGGGCATTTTTGCTTTGCGCAGGTGGAAGAGCGAAGAGTGGCTCAACGGTCCGTCGGGAGTTCGCTCGCGCTGCGCGGAAACGAAAGCGGATAAATTCCTAAAGAACAGAAAATAAAGAAAAGAAGACGTACGTGTTCGAGGCGATTCTGAATCTGTTGTTGCAACCCGTCCAGCTGGTGCGAAAGTGCCCGGAGGCTCATCGGGTCCAGCAGCAATCGGCCGTGACTGCTGGCGGCGCTGGCAGCGCGCGAGCTGGAGTTGCTTGTACGCCCAGTACCTCTGCCCCTGGAAACCCCATTGCCAGTATGACCACCCTGTAGAGCAATCTGTTGTTGTTGACGGAGAATCTGGATCTCGGAGGAGGTGAGGCCAAGCGAGGTGTCGGGAATCGAGGCTACGGACATTTGGTCCGCGCAAAGACATGCTCCGACCGCGACAAGTCTAGGAAGCGCCAGCCGATCTCAATGTAGATGGACACGGTAGACCCAGGTTCATGATGCTGATACCCAAGACCAGAAGGGGAGGCGAGGCGGTGCGGACTGCGGAGACGTGGGTGGGCGTTATGGACGGTACGGGGAAAGTGGAGGAGGCAGACCGGGAGGATGTAATGGGGAGAAGGGGTAGTGTCGGAGAAGTGGCACGAGGACAGGCTGAGCACCCCCGGCACGACGCGGGTTATCTTTTCAGAAAATGGAAGACGAATCCTCTGCGGACATTAACCTGGCGTTCTCGGGATCAGGTAGGGGGAAAAGGACGAAGGGTGGAGGGATGGGTTGATGAGGGAGCAAACGGATTGGACCGTCGGCGGTAAGAAAAGAACAAAACATACAAGAAATTGGATAAAAAGAGCCCGCGGCGACTCTCGAGGCAGTCGGAAGTTACACTGACGGGGACTGAGGGATTCAGTCACGATCAGGCCCCTTGGATGCGGACGTGGGAGGGTGGGATATAAATGGCACAACTAAGTGAGGCGGTTCAGGGATGGGCAGACCATAAGCAGGGACGGGTCAGGATGCGGAGGGAAAGGGAGGAGGACAGAAAAAGAAAAGAGAGAGCGTGGAGAACGGTCAGATGGGGAGGGTTCGGGGAAGTAATCGAGGTACACGGGGGGAGCGTGAAGATGAAGGTATCAACGGCTGAAGCTGCACCTCGACATATACTCGCTATGAGCCTCACATTCCAACCAACAGCATCTCAGAGCTCAATTCCTGGCCAGATTTGATGAGACGGCTGAACCTATCAGCTTTACTATGCAGGAATATCAAAAATTAGGTCAATAATGTATGAATCATGATGTATCGCTGGCCCACCGCCTTCACACCCGGGTCCTTCTCAACTCCAGCTTCAATTCCGATAATCTTCCTGTCCTCAATCCAATCTCGACATCTGCCATTAGCACTTCCACGACCAATCAACTTCCTCTCCTCCGATTATATGTGATCCGAGCGTCCGGGCTTGCCGCGTTTGACGTCTCTCCTGACGCCTCTCCAACCGTTTTTGCTCCTAGCTTCCTCGCGCATACGGGCGACCTGAGCTGCCGCTGCCCAACCTGTGAGGCTAGAGCCCTATATCGTGTCTGGACTGTTCCATTGGGTTTGGGGAAGCCCCGCGTCGGACCCGACTTGCTCAGTTCTTTTTTACCACTGCTGCAGCTTACTCCTGCTCCCAGCCTGTGAGCGTTCCCCGATCCTTTCAAGCCCGTCTAGTTTGCTGCAGGTCTTTTTATGCTTCCCCGCTACCCCTCCATGGCAGACGGTCCTCCCTTCTTGCCTAAAGTAGTTTCAGAGCACGGACTGACGCCATCTTGCCGTCAACAGGACTTCATCGAATAAGCATTCATCGCTCAACTTGAATAACCGAGCTTCTCTTTGTTATCTAGCTGAACCTTGTTAGCTCACCCTCGCCTGCACCGCCCTTGAGGTCAATTGGTTTTATCGTTTCTGGAGGAAAGGGAAAAGTCAGGAAGAAAGAAAAGGACGTGGATTCTGGACTACAATGCCTAAAGACAAGGAGCGCTCGGTCAATCCGGCCGCCGCGCAGCGGAAGCTGGAGAAGCAAAAGAGTCTCAAAAAAGGCAAGGCCGAGGCGCTAGCCCGCCGGAATGAAAAACTCGGCCGTCGAAATCCAGAGCGCATCCAACGGCAAATCAATGAGCTCAAGGAAATGGAGCAGTCAGGGCAGGCCCTGCGACCACGTGAGAAACAGATCTTGGAAGCTCTCGAACGGGATTTGCGGGCCGTCCAAAAGGCCCGGGAAGCATTGGGAGATAAGGCACCCAAGTTTGCGAACTCGCAGCGCCAGCGGGGCGACGATCACCCGCACGAAGGTAGGGACGGCGGGGTATTGGGGAAGCGGAGGCGAGATGGCCATGGGCGCTTTGGGGAGCAGGATAGCGACAGCAGCGAGACTGACGAAGATGTCCGGAGGATACCGATGCCCCGAGATACGCCCCCGCCTATTCCACGCGAGTACCAGAAAAGAAACCAGGCAAATGCAGGCGGCCAGGCTCGCGGCCCGCATTCCCTTCCGGCCAGGCCCCCGGTGACAGAATCAAGGACGGTCTACGAGGCCAAGCCAGAAATCCGTGACCTACGACAAGAAGCCGTCAGCAAGTTCATTCCGGCCGCGGTCAGAACCAAGCAGGAATCAATACGAGGCCAGGGCAAACTATTAGAGCCGGAAGAGCTCGACCGGTTAGAAAAGGCCGGGTACAACGCCGGCCCTGCAGGGACGGTCACTGCCGCCGAAGAACAGGAAAAACTCCTCGATGAAGAAAGACGGTTCAACCAAGAACTCAAGTCCGTCCAAATCGAGGAAGTTGAAGACGAAGAAGCATGAATTTCGATATCGATACCCACTTGTATATTAGTAATGACAATCCAAGCCCAGGATTCACCAGCGTGGCTCGCATATGAACGTGACGATACCTACCTGCAGACCTGTCATACCACAGCCAGATATAGCGCCGAGTCCCGTCCATCCCGGACTGTAGTGTTCCCCGTACCGTACACAACTGACCTCACTGGTGATACTCCACTCACCTCGCCGGCCTCCGGCCTGTCGACATGGATCCAGATGGATCTCCCTACATCTATCGCATTGCGTCGTATCATGTGGCGTCCTTTTCTTTCTTTGCGTCGAATAGGAGATTATCAACGATGCACGACCGGCATCCGAGTTTTGATCCTTGGCTGCCGACGGGAGGGAGTATTCGCGCCTTTGCGTCGTCCCGTGGCGGGCCGTCCGTTCAATGCTTCGATCTCGGACATCTCATATATGTTACTGGAGATACGGAGTAAGTTATGTGGGATGCATAATGCATGCGAAACTGTACGACGCTGATCCTTATGCTGATGCGGCTGTTTCATGGGTCTGTAAGTGGAATGGGTCATTTATCCTCCTTCTGTAGGGGCATCCTGATATCATTTTCACATGCTTGCTTGACGCAGAAGAAAGTACTAATTCTTTGTTGCAACAATAGTTCCAGGATCATTTTCCTGGTAAAGAAAAAGTACGGCAAGCTATCGGGTGATCAGGTTTCTCTTCCGGTTGACTAAGACATAGCTGGATTATGCGTCATGAAGAGATCCCAGTGTGCTCGAGCTTTTGGAACATGGTCTAGCGAGCCGACTGGTTCTTCCTTGCCTGATTTCGACGGGCTGCAGGTCAAGGCACCGTGTCCCAACCATGCGCACTTGGTGAGTCGCAGGCATAATCCCTCCAAAGTCTCAACGCTCGTCTCTGGCAACAAAGATAATACAGTGTTTCTGTACCGAAAACAAACATCGACCGCGACCTGGTCCCCGAAAAGATGCCAAATGATATCATCTCAATTTACATTGCAGCACAAGCGCCTGATACAGCAATATAGCCCGCTTTCGACAAGAGACCCTACGCAGCTTGGCGTGTATCTGAGGCCCAAACGCCTTTCAGGGTCGTCCTAATAAGCTGATTATCTTTTCTCCGCTTTGGCCTTTCAAAATATTAGTTCTTCACCCTTTACGCTTGAGCACCCTCAGCTTGGAGACTTGAGCTTGTCATCGGGTACGGTTGTTGTTCGGAAATATACTATGAGCCCTAGCCACAACAAGACAATCCCTGATAGGACGATAACTATGCCGAGGCTGAACTCAAAGAGTTATGCCGACTGTTGGACCAAGGGCATAGGTAATGGTGGACAATTTTCGACTTGTGCTTCATGAGCCAAAGGCTGGAGTGAGCAAGTCATAGCACTTGCCCGGTCATACCTCGGTAGCCCGATGCCCATCTCCAGAATATGATCTTGAGCAGGCGAACAGTTCGCTGAATTCGCCTGCTATCTATAGACCACGTCAGCGTCCCTTATCATTTGAATTGACACCGCGACAAATATATGCATAGGTGGGCACTGGATTCACCATCAGAAGCCCTGTCCTCTGCGACCCGGTTGATCTCACGTCGGCCAGGAGCTTTCTTTTTCAAAAGCTATCCTACCAGAAATGAACGACTCCGTGGGTGTTTCGCAAGCGGTATGCACAACCATCAACCCTACTCAGCTGTCTCAACGGAGAGTATCTACTCAAAAATTTGAGCAACTCATGTTACGGAATCCTTGATGAAGTCCTGGTCCCTAGAAGGAGATGCCTCATACTAATTTGCACACCTGCTCGTGTCATCCTTCTTTCTGCTTTCTTGCCCACAGTCAGCCCTAGGATGGAAGCAGGGCTCGGCATCAAGAGGCATTGGTGCTTGACATGACAATGGAACCTCCATTTAGTCCGTCCATCTACTACCGTATGGCCCACGCAATACCAATACCAACAGCGCCAATCTTGCCCAAAAGTCATCGGTCGAGTATCGCCAAAGCCATGAGCTATCTACATGCCGGCAACATCAAACTCCATCTCCCAATCCCATCGAAATGCGTGCTTGAGCAGAGCAGTACCCAAAAGTTGTATCTACTAAAGCTTACGCATAGTACCTGTCTTACAGCCTGCCTCTTAACTTGCGGTTGTTTATGACGAGACATCATAGGAAAGACTGCACTGGTCCTTTGACTCGTTTCCGGTGAACGACCGTTACCGCTGTCGGAGGCTGCGGCCTAGCGAGATGCTCCCAATTAGGCAGATCGGCACGTGTCAGGAGCATTTGAGCAGTTGAACAGGGCCAGGCCGGCTTTATTTTTATGGACTTGGATGTGGCAGGGGTATTGCAATGGTGACTCAATTGAGGAGCTCCGATTCTAGTTTCAGTGGTCGCATGGGAAGGTTGCTAGCCCTACCTACGTGCATAGGAGCAGTTTCAGGTTGATGAGCATTGTCCCGCCATCTACAATATCGGTAGGTTCTCATGGGTATGGGCTGATTGGGCACAGATATACTGACTATCACTTCAGAATTGATTTCGGAACAAGAAAAATCAAAACATTTTGATGTATACCGCATCTCAGGCAGTTACATACAGATCGCGAAAGTACGAAGTATCCAACAAGACAGCGAACCACCCCAATATATACACCTAAAGTACAGCAACACCGCCAACACAGACACTGGCCCAACTTGTGTTCTTTTACTCCCTACCATACGCCCTCAAACTCACCGTCGGACCCTCCCACCTATGCCGGCCTCGGACAATCCAATCGCCAATCGCAAAGAGCATAACGAATCCGAGCACCGGGCCCGCATACTGCATATTCTCCCCTGTAACCGGCACTTGCGGCGGAAACGGCAAGAAGATGACGAAGTACGTCGCAAAGAGGATAGCCAACAGATTAACAGGAAGGCCCCATTTGCCGAGGCTGAACGTGCCCCGCGGGATGTCCGAGGGCGCTGTGACGCGCTTGTAGACGAGAAGCCACAGCGGAATGAGATAGGAGATGTAGAGCCCCAGTGTGCTGAGAGACAGGATAGCGTTGAAAGCCGTGCTGGATCCGATCTGGATGAATGACAGGGCAACTATGCACGACGCAACAAGGAACAAAGCACGGATGGGGATTTTGAAACGCGGGTCTACGCGCGCAAAGAAGTCGGAGAAGGGGAGGCCGTTGTCTCGTGCAAACGCCCAGGCGAGACGCGTTACGGATGCGAGGCCGTTGAAGAGTGCAATCCAGCCAGGTAGCATACCCATCGCCATCAGGACAAATGTGGCGGGCAAAGAGCCCGTCGCTTGGTAAGCGATTGTGATGATCGGAAAGCCGGTCGGGCTGAGAAGGGCTTCTTCGTAGTTGCCCATGCAGTAGAGGACTGCGACAAGGTAGGAAAAGGCGAGGACGCCATTGATGAGGGTGCCGTAGATCATGGAGCGCGGGACGACCGTTTTGGCGTTTTTGACCTCTTCCGCCATGTGGATGACACCGTCGACGCCTGGACACTCATCAGCTTCATGTATGAGTAGGGGAAGGGAAGGGGTAATACCGGATAGCGGAGTGATGACTCCGAGAAGACCAACTGAGTACGCCACCCCAGAGTTACTCCAGCCACCCAAACTGACGAAGGTATTCCAGACGAATTCGTTCGGGTTGCGAGGGGCCAGAATGACGAAGACGGCGATGGTGACAGGCAGAAAGACGACGTGCATGATGCCCGCAGCGACCTCAATTGGCCCTAGAATACGCCGCGCAAAGATATTGATCACAATGGGGATCAGAGCAACCGCCCACATGAGCAGCGTGCTGCGCCATGGTACGACTTCGTAGTCGGGATGAGCGAGGGCGATCATGCCCTGGATCTGGGCCCCAATGAAGTACGGCGAGATGCAGACGAGCGCCGACCAGGAGAACACGGTGACCCAGCCTGCCAGGTTAGCGGGAACATAACTGTATGGAGGAGCGAGGCTACCTTGGAAGAAACTGATGAAGCGACGGAAGCGTGGCGCAAGGAAGTAGCTCCAGTGGTACTGCGCGCCAGCAGTCGGGTGTCTATTCACACGGTCAGCAAGCGCACATCATACCCAATGCTGCTGAGGACATACACAGAGGCAAGCTCGGCCAGCGAGCATGCAATGGTCAGGTTACCGATTGTGCTTATGATGATGCCGTAGACGATGGCTGCCGGGCCACCGTTGAGCAAGCCAGATTGGATACTGCCACCAGCTGACTCCCATGAGGCGAGCAGGGTCGCCGAGAAGGCGAGGGATGAGAAGAAGCTGAGGTATCTCTGCAGTCGTTAGAGTCGTTGATGCCATTTGGAAAAGGAAGGGAGGACTGTACCTCCAACTGCTGCTTCTGCCGATACGCCACGCTCCCACCACCCTGTGCATGATCTGCTGGCCCCGATCGCACAGCACTCCCGCTCTTCATTTCCAACTCTTCCTGCATACTGGCAACGATTGTGTCGATTCACATACAAAGGTGGAGAGAAGACAAAGGAAGAATGTGGAGAAGAGGAGGACCAGAGGAGAGGAGACGAGACGGCAAGAAGTACTCGGACTGCTTCCCCCGTATTTCTAGCGAAGGCAACATGACGGGACAGGGACAGGGATATAGATTAACGGCGCACTCGATACAGCTCTCCCACATGCTGGAACGGTCCGTCTCAAGACCCTGGTCACTCAGCCCGACGGTGCCTCCTAGCTGCATCCTTTAAATCCTTAGCCCGGCCATTGTCTGATTCTAACCGGTCGAGCGCAGTCCAGACTGGCCAATATCCAGCCCGATGTAACTGCCTCGGGGATCTGAATCCTTGCCACGAATGCGCAATTCGGTTGTCTTTCCAATGGCAGTCGTACGTACCCTTGCACGGGAGGGCCTCGGCTGCAGGATTAGACGACAGGAGTGAGTGGCTGATTCGGAATTTCCCAACAATGAGGGCGTCGAATTAATGGTAGGGATGCAATAGCACAATAGCTTTCTCTCTTTATTATGTGTTCCGCCCTCTCGACTCCAACTCGACCGCGTCATGGTCTTCCATGGTATGGTGACTTTCCGATCGAACCATGTCCACCGCAGAGGGCCTGTCTCCATTCCAACAACTGTCGAGCGATAATCGCGGGCCTATAGTCACTCTAGTGTCGGTCTGTCTGTTGATCGTCGCTGTCATATTTGTCCTGGCCAAGTTTGGGTCTGCGATTTACTTTAAGCAGCGGCGGACGGCAGTGAATACCCCGATCTGGGTTGCTTTGGTACGTTATACAAGTCTGATCAGAAAGGTAAAAAGCTGACTCTGTTGCCTTTTACAAAGATTCTCTCCATAATCCAGGTTGTAGTCCTGCAAAAGGCTGTTGATAATGGACTCGGAAGACACGAGGACCGACTCAGCGAGAGTCAGATCCAGACGTTGAGCAAGGCAAGCAGAGCGCAGCTTTGTCATTTTCGATCGCGTACTGACCAGTCTCAGTTTTCGTTCGCCGCTCAGCTCCTCCTCTTGATCGTTCTCTCGCTTACCAAACTGTCGACAATACTTCTGATCTGGAAATTAACGCCGAGCAAAAGCCTGCGCCTGCACTGCACCATCACAGCAGGGGTTGTCGTCGGATGGACGATATTTGCGTTGTTTGGTATCTCGTTTCAATGTCAATTGCCAGAGGCGTGGCTTTATAGACCGGAGCGATGTGCTGGAGAGGTATGTATGGGAAAGTGTTGGACCTGAATGAGCTAATCGGGAGAACTCCAGGGAGCGTTATTCTACCCTATTGCAGTTGTCAATATCCTTACGGAGATTGTCCTCGTCGTCCTACCATTCATCATGATGCAGAATGTGCAGATGGCTGCGCAGAAGAGAGTTAAGATCCTGTGCTCGTTTTCTTCGCGGTTATGGTACGTCCTCATTACCTTCCCAAACAATTCATTCATGGGCTAATCGCAGAAATCCTGGACAGTGTTGTTGGCCTTGCAATCGCACACTTAGCCGTCCTCCCCTCGTTCGTGCGCTCCAACGACATCACATGTGAGCTCTACCTCTCAACTTTACGTCCTCAAACTAATCGAACAGGGAACTCAACTTTATGGCACGTAATCGGTCAAGCTATGATGCTCACATCGGTGACAATCGCCTGCGTCCCAACGCTCTACCACATTTTCGCAGGACTGCACTCAGGCCTAATAACAACGCAAATCCAGCTTCCCGACAGCCACGAACTCTCCCGCACAGGAACAGGCAAATACGCTAAGACAAAAACGAGCGCGTATATCAATCAGACATCTTCAAGTGGAGACTGGGCCGGAGGTAGTGGAAACAGAACGCGCGGACGGTCAAGGGAAAGAGAACAAGACAGGGGCAGGGGAAACGGGAGAGCTCGACGAGACTCTTCGCTCTTTGACCCGAGGAATGTGGACACCGCAGTTGTTACAGAGATCACGACGACGAATCACAATCATAATGAGACGCAGGGAGCAATGATGCGGAGCTCAAGTTCGAGTGAGGGAACGGAGAGTACGAGACGTCTTACACAGGAGGCTATGGGCAAGCAGGGGGTTATGAGAACGGTCGATATCACAGTCGAGATTGAGGACCAGCATCCTCGGATGCAGGAAGACCGTGGACGGTTCTAAGAAGAGGCTACAATTACACTGTTTGCTGAGACGTCTTTGACTACCCGAGTGCCACCTGGAATACCTTCTAAAGGCAATTCCATGGAATTGGCAAGTTCTACAATGGGCTTCCCACAGTCGATCGCAGTTCGGATCACGCTCCTCCGTCCTCGACTTCGATCCTCCCGCCTCCATACCCACCGTCCTAATCGCTTCGGAAATGAAAATCAACCGAGGATCAGAACCAGAGAATCCACCTTTTCCCGCAGGATCTGAGTAATTTCTCCGATCAAATCTCCGATGGCGTGACAAGTGACAGCGCCACACGACATTAGCGCATCCGCGTGCATGCCTAGTCTGCAGTAGCACCAGCCCTGGATCGCTTGGCTGTCCCAGATACATTAGATATTGGTAATGCCATTGTCCATTTTCTGGACTATTATCTGGGTATATGAGATGAAGCAGAGAGCAATCTAGCCACCGGCCAGACCATGGCGCCGGAAGCACTGGGCTTAGGCTAGGCTAGGGTAACCTATGGCACGACTGCAACCAGATGTCAGGACGCGGCTAGATTTGAACCTTTCTCGGCTAAATCCTGCAGTCTGTATCTCGTAAGCGGAATTATCTTCCAGATGCTGTTTGTTGAGTCTGGAGGGACTTGCATTGGCTGATCAAGGGGGTGCAAGTACATGAAACTGGTACTTGCACGTGTTGGATGAGCCCTAAGTCTAATAAAGCACCCCGTGTAGGCTTACGTGGAGGAGCGTAGTTGCCACTATCAGCTCTCTGGAGTTAAACCTTGGTCTACAATATAGTAGGCGGTACATCTTCTACATACCATCTCTGATAACACGCACTTTGTCGATAGTTAGAAGGCCTTACAGGTGCAAGGAGCCTCCGTTTGGCGACCCCGCCATGGGCGAGACTTAACATACTAGTAAATTCTATGGCCGTTTGATAGCCTAGTAGTAATACTCAATCCATGACAGGAATCTTCCTAGTTCTTCCAAGAGTTCATCGATCTCCTATGACCTTTTCATGCAACCAGGAGTTATATCTGCTACTCACCATCAGGCCTGCTGGCCTGGCCGCGCTCCCATCTCTCCTCTCTCCTCTATTTCTCTCTCACATACCCTTCAGCCAGACTAGTCAAGGCAGTGCCCTGCGGAGTTCCACCACCAAAAGCGCGCTTGCAGTGAATCTGCCAGTCAAGGCATTATCCAGAGGCTGTCTTCGCAACCTGCACTTGAGCCTGACGGAAATGATGGCCGGACCCCAGCTCCGCCATGAGGAAGGAACGTGGAACGTGTCCGCCACACGAACCTTACCGGGTCTCAGTTGCGCCGGAGACGAAGATGTGCTGCGTGGACTGGCCCTGGGACCTCCAGGACGGGAGACCTGCCTGGGGCATTGGGCCACCCAGCAGAGCATTTGATTCACCGCGGCCCTGCCGTATCGAGATGGGTTTTCAGACTTTTGTGACTCAGGTTGTGCACCAGCATGGAGTATGAATTTACCAGTTCAGTCACCAGAAGCTTCAAGTCAACCATGGTTCGTCTGTCTATTCGCCGGCCTTGTTCCATCTTGCTAATGGTACTGCCGCGCAAGAACTTCATGGTCCGGAAGCCTGGCCCTTGATCCCTTCATAATGGTCTTTAACCTTTGACTCAATAGTATTGAGTCACCAGCATCAAAAACCCCGGATCTTTGGGTGAGTATAAATATGTCTTTCTATCTTGTCGAGGACGGTCTTCTCCATCCATCCTCCATCCATCTTTCTTGAGCATTCAGGTTTATCCATATCGTGTATCACTACTGTATTGAGTACCTGTACCATGTCGAAGTCTAACATGTCCAAAGCGAAACGAATCCAGGCGGCCGAGGCTGCTTCGGATGGAAGCTATTGCGAGAAATGTCAAAGGCCGTTTGTTAACGCGAGGGCGCTGCAAATGCACTATGAGAACTCGAGCGTGCATGTTGTGAGTTCATTTCCATTCCTGATTTCTTGGACCAAGGTAGAGCAGATTCAACTAATCCGTTCTCGATATATCTAGCCTGCAAAGTCGAACTCGATCTCGAACTTGACCCTGGCTATCCGCGAGAAAACTACTACCGGCACCAAGTCTGAGACCGAGACGACTACACCCCGTAGCTCAGAGAAAATCCAGGATATCTCGGAGGATCATACTCTTGAGCCTTCGGAGCCCACTGTGTATGGAAACTGGTCATGCATTCCACTGGCGGAGCGAGACTCTATCTTCGCTGCACTCAGGGCGCAATGCCACTCGGTGGGAGTTCTGAAGTTGGAGGGCTACTTTACCGAGTGCGCCACACCGGCGGAGATTGAGGCGACCAGAAAGTGTGTTGATTGTGGTAGTAAGTCTTCCTTTATTCCATCCTAAAGACTTCCCAATGAAGCAAACTAACCATCTATCGCATCAGTGTCAAAGCGCAAGGTGTCGAAATACTTCTCCTCCGCATGCCGCTTCCATCCAGACAGGGAAGATCTGAAAGTAAGTCAACCGCAAGATCTTAGCCGCCTCTGATTCAAGATAGAATGCTTGACTAACGACTTGTTTTCTCACAGAAAGGCATCATCCGTGGCCGAGGCACAGGCGCCAAAGAGAACTGCGTCAAATGCGGCGAGCGCGGAAGCAAGAACGGCTGCTGCTCATCACGCGAGCACACCTTCGGCCCAGCGGACGCCAAAGTCGCAGATACAAAGCCGTGCCCCTGGTCCTGCGAAAACCCCAATCCCAATGTGCGGAAAGCAATTGCACTAGACTGCGAAATGGTCGGCGTGGAAGGCCCAAACAAACACGAAGTCAGCGACGTCGTTCGCCTCAATGCAGTCGACTTCCTGACCGGCGAGATCCTGGTTGATATCTTCGTCCAGCCGGAGGATAACGTCATTGCCTGGCGGACTCGGTACAGCGGCGTCTCTTACCCTCTTCTCAGAAAGATGGTGAAAGAGGGCCGCTCTGTTCGAGGCTGGCAGGCTGCGCGCCAACTCCTCTGGGACCACATGGACCAGCAAACAATTCTGATCGGCCACAACCTCAAGTGTGACCTGGATGTCCTTGGGATGGCGCACGCTCGCATTGTCGACTCAGTCCTCCTTTCACGCCATGCCGTTGGCCGTTCCTGCCGCCGCTCCTTTGCCCTTAGGAATCTTGCCCATGATTTCCTGGGCAGGACGATCCAGGCAGGTGACTCAGGGCATGATTGTCTTGAGGATACGTTTGCCACGCGCGAGGTGGTCCTCTGGTGTCTCCGCAACCCGGAGGAGCTGAATGCGTGGGCGAATGCTCAAGGGGGCGGTTATGATGCGGACAAATGGGGCGATAACTATCCGGTGTGGGAGGTGAATGAGTGGGTTCCTAACGGGGTTGCTGAGTGGCTGTGATATGTCCAAAGCCTCTGTCAAAGTCATATTTCTTGTTATTCCCATTCTGTATCTACGGCGTTTGGAGTTGGGTAAGTGTCTCGTCCCGGCCTTGGCTGGGGTCTTCAAGTTAGGGCTTGGGTGGGGCACCTGCAACATTCTTCATGTTGGACGGTATCGAGTTTGGCTCTCTTTCCCATTTATTGTTTGAGAGGTATCCTTGCCAAATAAATTTATCTTTATTATCCTACCATTTATCTTGCAGTCAGAATCAAACAATCAATTACTCGTGCACTCGGGCTCTGTCTTAAGGTAGTACTCCGTAGAACATGGTTAAGCCAACCCTTGTCCAGATTGTAAACTGTAAGAAGCCCCAATCGTCGAATCTCATCTAAACTCATCTAGCAAGCTCGAGAGGTTACCTAGATAGGCCGAGGACAGCCCAGAATGGATATCCTTCAGGGTTGCGCGTTCCGGAATGGACCTTAATATCGAACTATAGGTGCTCTCCGGCCTGGGATAGCCGGTCCGCTTAAAATATTCTAACTGCAGCATAACTGAACCCTCTATCCTCTCCGCTGATGCCATCGACTATCATTAGAAGGGACAATCAGAGTTCATCCCCGGCCAACACCTCCGCTCGAACCCGTACCCGTACCCTTACCCTTGGTCTCCCCAACCATGTGCAACAAAACCCAAACACGACCCATTGTTCAACGTCGCGTCGGCATTGGTTTAGAGTCACGAAGTGGATTTTGGCGATTTGTTGCCATCTCAGCCCTTCTACGTGCCTTTATTGGCTCGGGGCTCCGACGCCGGTGATAAGGTTGATGGTTCCGGGAGCGAGCGTGGTGAACCGTGGATTGAAGCGCGTTCCGCTGGTTGGGAAGCGGCGTGGTTGTACCGAGATGTCAGATGATCACGAGAAATTGCACATTGGGGACGGATGATTTTTTCGGGCTGGGGTGATGGTGTTGCGATCCAAGGCATGCGTATACTCGCTGCGGGATTAGCCGCCTGGCTCAGGATGGCTGCCTCGGCTGCTTCCAAGCAAAGATGGAAACAATCAGCTGGGCGACACCAATAACACAAGCCAGGAATCCGAAAAGCGCGCTTAGGAATAAGCCGAGGATCGCGACCGTCAAAGCATTTCTTTCCGAGGTGTGACGTTCCACCCACGAGATGAGTCTGTTTCTTGGGGGAGGATTTTTCACGATGTTGTAGAGTTGTTCTAGGCGAGCGTTCCAGTATCGATAGCTGAAGTTTGGAGGAACATCATCTCTTATATATCCTTCATCCCATTGTGCATCGGGATCAAAGTTCTGCTTGCGGATTAGGCTGGCAAGGAATCGGCTTGATCGTCCGCGCGGATCGTTCGATAGAGGGAAGAGGAGGAAGTGGATTGTGTGGAGAGTCTCGAGGAGTAATTGGGGAGGGAGCGTGCCTCTGAAGAATAGGGTTAGAGGCGACCACCCGGGGTTTTGCTGGCAGGGACTTACAGCTTCAGGCTCTCTGACGCTTGTTGATCGATAGGTTGGTCTTTTGACCGTCTGAGATGAGCTTTGAGATATCCTGTGTGATGGAAGACGTGCACAGTTCTTGTCAAGGGATCATACAATAGGTGCTCCATAATGTTGTCTGTCGGTCGAAACTGGAGTTGATATCTCTTCTTCAGCTTCCACGCCCTGAGGACCTTTTTGTGCCGGTTTGCATCGAACTGCCCTGGTCTAATTGGAATAGAGCGTTCGACGTAGGAGACGAATGGCTCGTTTGCCTCCCACCGGGCAGGCGAATAGTTTCCAACCTCAAAGTTCTTCGAGTATTTGTCCTTTAACGAGCAGTCCAGCATAAACATGACGCGAACGACTGACTAAATAGCATCTTCCCTTTCTCTTTGTGAAACCGACCTACTGGGAGACAGAATACTCGCAAAAGCCTCGCGGGTCAAGGTTGGATTCTGACGAAGTCTCTTTGCGCACTGGAGGACGTCGTCATGGGTTGTGAAGACTGAATTGTCGACCTGGATGATAGTGCTTTGACGGTCTGAAGGGCAGAATATTGACTCATAGAGCGCAAAGTAAGCTGGAAATGATGCAGGAGTTGTATCCGAAAGTAATTCGCGCCTGATCTCCTCTTTTTCGGTCTCTTCTAGTGGACGCATTGTATACGACGGTAGATAGTGCAGCGGTACAGAGGAGTCATTGACGATGATTGTCAATAAAAGCTGAGCGTGATTCCGGCCAAGGTCCAGCTTAAGAGCAATACGAGGATGTGTAACATTGAGCCCCGAACTGCAAAGCCCCCTCTTGGGGCTGTGCTGACTCGACTTCCCATTGGCAACTCGTCGCGAGGCTATAATATCATGCGATAAGTAAGAATCCCAGGGCGGCGTAAGATGCGAGATTTTCCTGCTGCTGATTTCATCTTCATTATTCTCATCCCGCGTCGCAGAACTCTTCTGAAAGGCAGCTTTCCCCCATATGGATTGATCATCGATGGAAGCAGAAGACAGATCACTGCAGGTTGTGCGTCGGTAGGCGAACGCTCATGTGACTTGGCCTCGCTCCTTCCTCTGACGGCCGCAGTTCTCCCATTCAGACTCCCCATCTCTTCTCCAACACCCCTCCGCCATTCCGCTCGAATTCTAGCACATGGCCTACGACACCACGCCAAAATGCTTCCACGACAACTACCGAAGTGTCTTCAAACCAGAGCTCGATCCCCGCTCCCACAACCGCTCCCACAACCGCGGCTGCCTCGAGGACTTCGCTGCCCGAACCCTCACCCCAGCCTGACGCCTTCCGAGACGCTTTAGTGCTACCGAAGACCAAGAGAAACACAGTCTATGTATACCCATACAGTGCGTCCGATATCGGGGAAAATCACCATGAACGATTCCGCACCGTGGTCGAGATGTTCAAGCAAAACGTGGAAAGCGACAAGAAACTTAAGATGCACGTCTCGGAGATAGACTATATGCTAAAGAAATGTGGACCGTCGCCCAAGGAAGCTCATCCATCTATACTTGTATGCTGCACAGAGAGGGTCTTTCGTGACCTCGAGCGACTGCTGACCAGTCGACACCTGACGAAGCAATATTATCTTCCGGATCCACGGCGTCTGGGACGTTGGCGAGCAAACATAATAGACAACGGAGCTGGCGCACATATCCCGAGATTCAAGATATACTTTTGGCGTGGAACGCCAAATAGGACCCTGCTCTGGGCGAGCCGTCTCGCCGACGGGCTCCAGATCCGACAGCCAGAGGGCACTGGTAACCTTCCATGGTCGGATTTGACAATGTGCGGATCGAAAATTACTGGCTATGACGGATCCAGTGCGACAATAGCCTGTCTTTTGGAGGTTGATTCGAACACGTATGGGCTTACAGTCGCCCATGCTTTTGCGCACTTGGTTAGCAGTTTTCCGGAGAAAGGTGAGCCTCCGAACGGTGGCCACAACCGTCATGTCTCAGGTCGATCATTTAGCGAGTTCGGCTTCCATGACGATTGTTTTGCCGTCAACGATATCGAGTACGAGTCAACCGAAGAAGGCGACACTTTAAGCGACTCCACTGGGGTCACTGTTGTAGCTGTACCAGATTCGGAAAAAAGGTTTGGGGTCGGTCAAGAAGAAGAACGGTCCGTGGTCTTGCATCTGAAGGATGATGGAGATCCGAGCAGTCCTGATCTTGATTGGGCCTTAGCGGAGGTTTCCAATGGGCAGAGTAGAAAGCCCAATTTCTGTCTATCTACCGAAGATCCTGCAAATCCTAGATTGTTACATGAAGTTGCGGAGCAGCACCCTGGGGCGGAGAGAGAAGTTCTTATCATCCGTTCAATCCATTGTCCGCGTCGAGGCACGTTGCTCCCTGGGAGCTCCTTCATTGGCGGTATAAATCGCCCAAGTCCATGTGAGGCATGGAATGTCGCGTTCGCAGGCGAACATGGTAAGTGTAACTACCCCTGGATTATTCAAAGCCATGCTCACACAAGTTGCAGGGTTGGAAAAAGGGGACTCTGGGTCTTTAGTCGTGGACTTAATCACCAATCAGATCTATGGTTATGTGGTAGGTCTGAATCCCCTCGGAGAAGCCTACATCATGCCCATGATGGCTACAATACGCCAAGTGAAAGAGGCATTTGGAACAGAAAATGTGTCTATGCCTGATCCGAGTTCCCGTTTCACGGAGATGGTCGAGGGGTCACCTATTGCCTCACTGAGCACGCGCTTTTCCTCACTCCAGCAGTCCTCGTGTGATCAGGAACCCCCAAGTCCAGTTACATCACTATCATTTGAGTCTCATAGTACGCAACCGGAATGGGACTCGTGGCAGCCAGCTGCTGCTCATATTACCAATGCGGTCGCGGTCTCCTCTTTTTCTTTACACCGAAGAGGCCCCCTCTCGACTATCTCTTACCCAGAGAAACCCGCGGTTCCTCAAGAGGGCATCTTGGTATTTGAAGAGACACGTACGTGCAAAGATTGCATCTGAACGTTTGGTAAAGATATCTGAACTTTAGTCCAGATCCCAACGACTGGCAGCCCTGTGGGTGGAATTTGGACACAGTCGAGGTATGCATGAATCGATTTACCTGAATCATGAAGCCATTTAGCTAATTCAGATTGCGCGATGCAGCAACAGCAGGACAGAAACTTTGTCGTGTACGGATCTGACTGAGCCTGACTTGAGAGACCAAAGCTGATATACCCTGCAGCTTCGCGCTAGACAACTTCAATATCGCTAAATATAGACGCCGTTTCGACAGAACATTCAGGCCGGTAATAGACAAGGACATTAACGGTGCCTGCCACTGTGAATACGATGTCAGCAGTCGCGGGATTAGTCCTAAAGGTTAGCTATGTCTTTTCTAATTTTCCACGTTTTGACTGACAAATACAGTTTCCTGGGCCTGTTTCAAGATCAAGGAAGTGAGGGGAGCAAGTGATTACGTTTGGAGACAGCCTTGCATCCATGTAGAGTGGGACTGCCAGACTGGCCGTCAACTCATATTCGTCTTCGATATTTTCCATCCTACGACTCCCGATACCGCAAAGCGTTTCTTGGACCGTAGCCCGGACTACGAAGAGCGAATGATTAACCCGTTCGTATGGCACAGGATCTTCTCACACGAGGTTCTCGAAAGATACGACACCGCGCTATGGTCATTGCGGGACCTCGTCCGCAAGCAAGAAAAGGCATGGCCTGTCTTTGCGCCCTTCAACGCTTTGTACTACATGGCGGAACAGGATAGAAGCATCCAGAGTGAAGCTGCATTCACACCCCTCCATGACATTGCCCGGCATCTCTTTCACTACCAAGAGACAATCGAAGTAGCAGAACAAACACTGCAGGCACTGGTCAATGAACAAGAGCGCTGGCGACAAGAATGTGCTGAGATATTCCGCAACAATGACATTCTTAGACCATGGCTTAAGACGCAGCAGGGACTTTGCTTTGAAATGAGGAGGGCTCACACTTTGAAGATGAGGTTACATTCACTGAGTGAAAGGCATATGAATGAAATCAGCCTGGTACGCCCAAACCCTAAATCTATATGTGACAGCCACTGATACGTGCATCACAGGCTCTCAATCTTGAATCTCAGTCTCTACATCGGAGTGCAAAAACAGATAGTAGCAGCATTATGGCGATTACTGCTGTGACAATGTTCTTTTTGCCAGGAACCTTTGTCGCCGTAAGTTACCGTTCATTACCCTTTTTATATATGACCATGGCCTAATGATACACCTTCAAGACCATATTTAGCACGAACTTCTTCGGCCCTGCATCAAGCACGTGGTCCGCGTCTTCGGAGTTCTGGCTCTACTGGGTCACAACAATTCCCTTGACCGTGGTCACGATCCTTATTTGGACGTTTTGGCAGTACCGAGGGAATGTCTCATTGATGGGAGCTTCTGGAAAGAACCTGAGGGCGAGACGTGATGCTGATGCTCTAGATGGAGACATGGAGAGGGCGGTTCCGATGCGCTGGGTGAGAGCGAAAGATTTAGAGATTGGGGCATAGAATCTGCATGTTTGTCGTTCGTACAGCGTAGGATGTCTCTTCGCAATTGATGATGATCTATTAATGCGCCGACGGTACAGAGATGCCTTGTCCTGAGCTGGAAGAAAGTCCGTATTTGGACAGGGTGCGCTAATCGAGGTCCTAGTCAGGCCTAGCTCTCTCTGTACAATCTGTATTTTCCTACTTGTGTCTAGTTTATCTTGGCGGTGGTCGACCCGTCTCTTTTATTTCAGCTCTTGGCTTCTTTCCTTTCCACCCAATTTGATCATCATGGACGACCCCTTCAGCAAACTACCGGTTGAGATTATTTACGAGATCCTTAGTCTAAGTACCGACTTTGTTGGGACTGACAGCCTTCTCTCAGTCTCGCCATGGGTTCGAGCTATCTTCGACACCAAACCACGCCCTATAACGCTCGGCCTCTTTTCGGCCAATTCAGGAATCCAAACAGCATCGCTTAAGCAGCTCTACCAGAACATAGCGGTAATCCGTCACCCACACGCCTATTACTCGAGCCATGAAGAGTATAAAAATGCACGTCCGTTAGAGGGCCTTCCGGAGCACATGAGCGCCGCAGAACTATCGGATCTAATCCACATCGCTGCGCAAAATCAACGTCTGACTGGCATTGTTTTGGCCACGATGCATCACAACTTCACCACCGCTATTGAAAACACGTCGTTTGGCCCACCATCGTCGGGCCATTCCCGCGCGCAGAAAATCAAAAGCGAGCCTTTTTCTTGGATCGAGCACCACCGCGTTTCCTGGGCCATCTGGCGGCTTCAGCACTTCTCCGCTCTTCAGACAGCGGCCAAAGGCCACTGGAACTGGTCCGCCGAGTCTCGGTGCACTGGACTAGATGGGTATATGAAGCGGCATTGGCTCTCCCATTGGCTATCTGAGCAAGTCTGGACCGTAGCCGCCATCCTAGCTGATCTAGGTCTCAACCCGTCGTACCGAAACCAGAATATGCACAGGCTAAAGAGCTACACCAATTTCCCTCCAGCATGGATCACCAGTGAGCTTTTGGACGCGCATACGCAAGAACCTCCCCTGCCCATCTTTTTCTATCCTCGGAAAAACACCCCGCTCCCGTTCTTCCCTTCGTTCGAAGTACCGCCCCGATACTCTGACAACGTCTACTGCCCTCCCCCAGCACCACTGCCCACGCCCGTAAACAGGGACTGGGGCCGCATGCGCCATCCGCGCACCTACAATAAGCCAACACTACCAGCGATGAAGTTCCAAGACCGCTGCGAAAGAATGACGTGGCTTCAACCACCCAACTACGACATTTGGGACATGCGTCCCTTCCGTCGGCTCGGCGTCGTGATTTGGGATCCGTGGCGGATGTACCTGGCCGGTTTGTCGGACTGGGACGTCTTGGAGGGAATCCCGACGCCTGATGGGGGCGTTGTTGAGGAGGAGGGGTTGGAGTCCCTTGAGGGATATCGGCAGTCACTAATGGGCGAGGAGGAGATTCAGAGGAGGTGGCTGGCGCTGATCGGGAGATAACCCATTTCGACACCAGGCGTGTGCTCGTCGACGTTTGGGATATGCTTTGCGCGGAGGTCTCCCATCATAGGCGCTGCATACGCCTGTTCAGGTCCGTCCGATCTTCAAGTGTGCTAAGCTGGACTACACTGTATTCGGAATTTCACTCTGGACGCCGAAGCCTATATATTCTTCAATCGCTTTTTCTTCGCTGAGGTCAATTGGGCCGGTTAGTAACCCAGCGCTACGCATGGCCATGTCCGGTTATTCGAGTGGGGTGGTTCAAGCCTTTTGTCCGGCACCTTTAGCAGTCATGGCCAGATATTGTGAAGAACAGGGCTTCCTCCAAAGCTCGCACAATCTTACTTCAGCTCCTATCATGTTAACGTGATTGCGAGGGAAAAAAGCCCGCATTTCTTTAGTTACAGTGTTGCTCTACCGATGAGCATATCAGCAGGGGAATACGTTGATCGCTGGTTTAGTATGAAGGAGATACAGAACTACGCGAGAGTACAGCACTGAGGAAACCCTGCCTCCTGATATGACAAACTAGTCCTAATAAAGTCAAGTTGGAGAGGACAATAAGAAGCACCATTATTGACTCGTGGCAAGGGCCGAGTTGGAGTGGAAGGATTCAATAGACCTCGAGGCCCTTTCTCCTTATCAACTCCATCGCAATATGTTCATTGATAGATGAGTACTCATCCAACACACACAATGTTCCTTTCCAACGTGGGGACACGGTCTCTCCGCAAACCAGTGCGCCACCGCAACCGACTGATCAAATCATATCTCGCTGCGCTCGGTTATGGTGCTAGTGGTGATGAAGGAACACAGCCTATCCAGCGCATGGCGGGCCTGGTGCTGAAACTGATGGTGAACGCTATCTCGGTAGATACGCTCCCCCGAGTCATCATTGAATCAGAAGAACTCGATTGCGAAATCCACAGTTGGCAGCCTTAAACACTCCTTAAATCAATCACAGTGATATGACATGAATCCCCCAATCGAAATAGACAGCAACCGAACCATCCAGGCCGAGAAGCCAGGCGCGTTCTCCATATCCATCACATCCCGAACAACTTCTTATGCGTGCCATACTTTACTTCCCCCTCAGCTCTCGAGCCGCGCCCGACTTCGCCATCCGCTGAACCTGTAGATGCCAGGTGTTCAGGTGCGGCTTGCCCTGCACGGTACGGCCAAGGTCAACGCGGTAGTTATCGTCCTTCCAGATGGCGCGGGTCTTGCCGGGGGCGATCTTGCTCTTCAGCCCCAGGGCCTCGTACATTTCTCGGCTTTTGGACTTGAGCAGATCTCCGAGCTCGCTTTCGGGAACGAGAACAGGCGTGTTGAAGCCTCCAGCTATACAGCTGGTCGATAAGCCTGAGTAGAACGGATATTGAGATGGCCAGAAACGCCTTCTCGAGTATCACCGCCCCCATTTCCGGGCCAAGTAATTGGAAGGGTACGGCTGTGAAGTCCAGACCGGCCATGGTGGGCCCCGCTCTGGTGAAGCAACAGCAAGAGAAGTTTGATGCAATAGGGACACGGCAGGTCCAATGCTGACGGGCACGGTCACGAGAGGCTGGGATGATCGAGGCGAGATATGTAAGAGCGCATGTTCTGCTGGGACCTGTGTGAGGTTATATAGACTGGAACAGGGAAATGACCGGGGTTTATCTCCGAGGTTTGTCGATGTGGGCTGAGACCAGAACCCTTGGTTCATGGATGAGGCCATATTGAGCGCTTGCCCTGTGCAATGGTAGGAACAGCTCTCCGGGAGGATCGACGAGGCTGTAAGCCGTGGAAGTGGCCAGGACGTGGTCGGAACTTCCAGACGTTGTTGAGGAGAGTTAGGCCTTTACCTCGGAAACGGGATTGTCTAGCGTTGGGCGTGTCTTCCGGGCGAAAGTCCTGCGTAATCAACAGTACTTCCTCCATTAGTGCTGCTCCTCCCATAGGCAGACAATCTTCGCTAATACAAACCAACCCGGAATTAGAATCCGACGGTGTATCTCCGCGGGATAACACATAGCAACGCAAAAAAGGGATGCTAGCCGTGTTGGATGTGCTCTGCCTGCAACTAGCCACATCAATCACTTCTAGTCTCGTGCGGCTGAGAGGACTCCGCGGAGGATTGGGATAATGCCCGTTCGGGTCGTACAAGTCCTTAGCGGGGGTAGAGGGCATGACTGCACAGCCTGGGTCATGACCCACAGGGCTGAGACCTGCAGCGCAGGGGCAGGAGATGGTGGGTTGAGGCTATTAGTTATGGCCGCGGCCATGAAAGTGCCTTGAGGGTTGATGTGTCTTCATTTCTGTCTTCCTGGTAGGTAGGTATGCAGTATACATGGAACGGGATAATCCATTCATCAATCGTTGCAACTGTTTTTTGAATAAGAGGGTGGTTAATTTAGTGACCGCTGTGACGAGCAGTCCAGGCTCTAGCCCTAAATGAAGCTATTCGGAGAGGCCCGCCACTAAGCCCAAGCAGGGAATTGGTGGCGCTCGCCCAGCCTTTGCCCTGCATGCTTAGCTACATGCAAGCTCACCTCAGCATGACACCCAAATTGTGGTATAGTATATACATCATTAGCCTATTATGCGGGGAGTGGTAGGGTTACTGGCCAATTAGACCTACAAGCACCGGTTCGATCGGTGAGACCGAGACGCCAGATTCGACGGCGGCTCGCGTGTGTCTGTTCTACTCAGGCTAGACCGCGTATGAATGGGCCGTCGCGGACTAGTGTTCCTTGATAGGGTAAGCCTATACGCGAAGTGAAGTGCGGAAAAATGTCCCTGGCGGACCCTGCACTAGTCGTCTAGCCCTAATGGGGCCAGTTCGTGCAGTTTGCGATACTTGGTTTGGATATGGTTGCATCAACCTTGCAGGACTGAAGCAGGAAAGGCAAGGACTTCACCACGTGCCCCGTTCAGCCGCTGTGGACTCTGATCAATTGTCAAACAGGTCAGCTGGATGGTACCATTCGTTGGTGGAGAATCCAACGGGGCAGAGTACGGCGTAGACGCTCGCCGCACAGGCAGGAGCTGAGAGAGCTAAGGCAGTATTGTCAAGCAGTGGAGGGTCGTATCTAGACTCAATCTAGCCAGGTCACAAGGCCATCCTTCAAAAGAGTGACCAGAGAAAGGTATAAAAGCCCCCTCATCCCCGGCCCTCAATCCATCCCTCACCACAGCATCTCAATCCCATCTCCAACCCAGCCAACAATCATACCACAACCACAAGTACCAACCCAGCCGCAACAATGCACTTCACCAAGCTCGCAACCCTCGCCCTCTCGGCCGTGGCCTCCGTCTCCGCCACCAACTTCCACAACTCCTTCGGCCACAACGGCTGGGTGCAGGACTCCACCGGCACCGAGGTCTACCTGGCCAACGGCGCCTCCGTGAACATCGGCGGCGGCTGGGCGTTTTTCTGGGTTGACGCGGCTGTTTGCCCTGGAAAGGCGAACTCGGTGACTTATGGCTGGCCTGCGAACTATGGGGGTGAGTGCGCTTAATCCTACAAGTGAGATGATCGAGCTGATATTTGTCTAGACGTTTATATCCGCACTGATGGGCGTCTTTATGAAGCTGGTGGTGAGTAGAAGCCCTGGTAACGTGTCTGATGGCGGTTTGCTGACTAGGATCAACAGGGAGCCAGATTTCGAACGGTGCCAAGGTCTGCTAGACGGTTTGCCGGCGCCTAATTCTTGCGGGGGGCAATGGATATGGGGGTTCATGACCGGAGGGGGTGTTGGAGGGCTAGGGTTGGGTGGGCTAGGGTTGGGTGGGCTAGGGTGAAGGAGGTAGAAACGGTGTATTTGATTGCTGAGGCGAGCGCTCCGAGCGTTGAGCTAAGCCCTATCTACCTAATAGACTTCAATCACAATGCACCGCTTTAACCAATACATTTATGCAAGACAGAAGCTAACATAAACCAAATGAAGGCATTGGCATTAGCCCCAAGCCCTGCCTCATTCTAAGCTTTTCCTAATCATTTATTCCGCCTTCCTTCATTATCCGCAATGTTATGATTTCTTTTATATTGTAGTTACTGCTCAGGAACATGGTCATACCGTCGACGACCATGTCCTGGCCAGCAATTGACCGAATGACAAACTCGAGAGACTGGCAGAAGGTCTCGTCCAGTAGGTGTGGTTCGTCGTTCATTTGCGCCTTCTATCTGGCTTGCTCCTCAAAGTACATGCGTTGATCGAAGGGCTGAAGAACATGTGCTAGCCCCTTGACATTGATAATGGAAGCAAAGAGGGAATGCTGCTGAGCCCTAATCAAGTACTTGACTCAAATGATTCAAGGGTTCACGCTGTTCAACAAACAAATAAGCGGCGGAGTTGTTCTGCGGGCCAACTTAACTTGTCGACCCTGGCTGTCTCGAGCAATAGGTATATGCTTACATCTGCTGCGATCTTGTATAGCTTCGTATTGGGACTGGATATTAACATTAAATATATGTTGGGCAGCCTTGCCAAGTGATACCCCGCTCCTGAGCCTTGTGGATGGTGGCTAGGTGCATACTCACTAACCTTCAGCCTTGCGCCTTTGCCATATAAATATCAGGCTGTTGTCACCTCGCACATGCAATCCTCTGACTATCCCTCATCACTTCACGTCTCACTCACTCTCGAGCCGCATACATTGACCGTAAGTTAAAACCTACGAAAGTGTCAGAATCCCAGTTCACCCAGTCCATGATCCCGATCTGATCCAGCCTATCATATATTATAGCATCTACGAAAGCATACTCTACCTAGGTACCAAGCAATGGCCGTGACCACGACCCACCACCCGACCCTGCACCGAAACGACGAGCACAAGAAGCGCTGCGCCGCTCGATACGAGAATGGCTCGCAGTGCGCATGTACCTCGTACAAGTACTCCTGGACTGACGCAAAGGGTTGGGCTGTCTGTGCATGTGGGCATAGGGAGGTTGGACACGGTGCTGAGAGTTGAGTTTGCCGCACTCACGGCTTTGCATGGGTTTGTGGTATGATGGGATGGATGCTGGAAGCGGAGATCGAGCGGATCTGAGTGGCTATATTTGAGATATCACGCGGATTTAGGAACAGAAGGTGCTGGGCTGAGTCGTTATTTAATGTTGTCTCGTTGCAATGATTTATCCATTGGCTCTTTACTGGTCTACTCAATGCCATATCCAAACCGACTACTTATTGATACCATGCACTTCGCCTATAGGAAATCATGTTCCTAAATCTCTTCAACCGTCGTCACATACCAGGCCACGTCCGCAACGACATGGTTCCTGGGGCTTCTGTGCCCCCGATCCCCTCCGCGACCCAGAAGCCGAAGCCGAAGAGTCAGGGTGCACCTCCGACCCCCGATCGCTGCAGCTGACCAGGGTCCCACCACTCCCCTCATCACCGACCCCATCACTCTCCTTAATCTTCCCATTCTCCAAAGCAGGCAACTGCTCAATGAGCAGCTCACAAAGATCAAGCACAAACTCCACCGGAAACCCCCGCCTCTGCAACGCAAACGCCTCCGGGCAAGAATGCACAAACCACACATCAACGACCAGCTCGCGCGCCAGATCCCCTGCCTCCGTATGCGCGTAGACAAAGTCCACGGTTTCCGCGCTGAGAATGCCGCCGTTTTTGTATTTCCTGGGGAATTTCCTAGCAGCCGCATTGGAATCAGAATGCGGATGCGGATGCGTACGCAGACGCTCGACGGCCTCAAGCGCAGCGACCTGCAACTCGTGCATCTCGAACCCATACGCCGTTCTCCACAACTTCAACAGGAAAAGAACCTTCGGCAGCCCGAACTCGAGCGTGAAATCTGGTGAGAGATCCGGGCATAGAGAGCCCTTGTATAGCCAGGCCACGAGCTCGGCGAAGACGTCTGGGTCGGTCGCGAGGACTTTCATGTATGTGTTTGGGGTCTTCTTCAGGAGCGCGGTGAAGTAGGGCGAGGCCGAGCAGAGGAGGATCAGATGGACGTTGAAGAGGATTTCGTTGGGCCCGATGAAGAGGTGTGCGATTCCGCCCGTGAAGGTTCTGGGGGGGAAGGTTAGGGCTTGCATATTCTGGAGTTTAGACGGGGAGTGGTTGACTTACGATGCTTGGAGCTGTCCGGCCATGGTTCCGATAGATTTGGCTCTTGCCATATGTGATTCGAGTGCAGGCACCACGGTGGCTTTATGGCCGGTGCTTCTTTGTTGGTCTTGAACAGGGGTTTTCGCTTGATACTGCGGCGGAGTCGGGACCTGAGACAGCACCCCGACTGACTGTATACAAAGAGAAAACGATTTTGAGAATTGACAGAACAATCATGCACCAGCTGTCTTTCAACTATCGTCTCGGCCTTAGCATGATGCAGTTGAGCTTTTATCTTCTAAACACCCGCAGCACCAGAATTTACGTCACGAGTTCATTTGTAGTGTTACTTCTCGTCAATGACTTCAATGGACTGCTGCGGCATGGATGGGGTTCTAAGGGTGGATTCTGATAAACTTATCCTGAACCTGGTCTGTCCGGGCATGGTCAAAACGAATTAGGGGCAATGATATCGTGGAGTAAGTCTACTTTTGGGTTTAGGGCAGGAATTACAGAAGAGGCGTTGGGAGGAGACGGTCGAGGAGATGAACACGCTTGCAACGCTGTCAAAGGCTTTGCTTGTATAGTTCTGAGAATGCACGTGGTATGATTATTGTCTTACCTTGATCTTTATTCTTGTACTGTTCCAGGAGTTTAGTTGACAGTCCTTTGATTATATGACATTCCATCACCTGAATGGCATGCCTCTGCGAAAGGAATTCCCAGCGCGCAAGAGAATATGCCACTCATGTTCTGTTCACCCCCGAATATAATAGACAAAGAGCAAACAGTTCATGGTTACGTCCTGGAGTAGGAAGTTGGGGCTACACGAGGCCGCCGCATACGTCTGTTGGGAATGTTCTTAGGGTTATGTAGATGCTATCATCCTAGGGTCTGAAAATCAAGGTAAATACTCCACACACCACTGTCATGGTGAATCTCGGAAGTTTATCGTATTCTGATTATTCTCCGGGGTTAGTCTCAACCAGTGATTAGTGCGCCAGAATAGATAAGCCTCTACCTTAGGCTTTTGGTCGTCAAATAGATGCGGCAGCTCGCTCCTAGGTCTCTTGATACTCCTTACCGAATAAAATCCATCTCCATCCAATCACTTCCGCAATTAAATACACATCATATCATTCAAAAGATACAAAACAAGCTCAGATGTCCTCCTCCAAGCCCGATCTCGCCTCCCTCATCACCCTTGACCCAGGCCTCCCCCGCCCATCTCCAACAGCCTCACACTGGCAAACCCCGCCTCACAGCCTCTCCAACATCCGCAGCCCCTCGCTGCCCCAAACCACCTCCATCGCCATCATCGGCTCTGGAATCACTGGCGCCAGCGTCGCAAAAGCCATCCTGGAACATGACCCCGCTGTCCACGTTACCGTCTTCGAAGCCCGTACGCTCTGCTCTGGTGCGACCGGTCGCAATGGCGGGCAGCTGGCGATTAGTGCCCCAGAGCGGTATCTAGGGCTTAAAGAGAAGTTCGGCAAGGAGATGGCGGGGAAGATTGTGCGGTTTTATATCAAGACGTTGGATGCTGTGAGGGAGGTTGCGGTGCGGTTCCGGGGGGTTGGAATGGACCCCGAGGTTAATGAGGTTGTTAAGATCAGGGCGTTTCTGTCGGACAATGAAGGCGATGCGTTTTTGAAGGCCTGTGTTGGGATTGATGAGCTAGAGACGGATCATCCGGATCTCAAGGGGTTGTTTAAGGTGCTACTTGAAGGGGAGTGTAGGGTATGATGCACGGACATGGCTCATCTCATCCAGATGAACATGCTAATCCAGATTCCAGGACTACGGTATCCACGGCGCCACAGGGGCCATCCTACATCCCGCTGGCACGATCTGGCCGTACCGCGTCGTCACGAACCTCTTTGATGCACTCCTAACCAACTACCCTGACCGTCTGGCAATCGAAACCAACACCCCCGTGACGAAGGTGGCGTACAATCCAGATACTGACCCCGACCATCCGTACATCATACACACCCCTCGAGGGACTGTTCGAGCCGCTCAAGTAGCCCATTGCACAAACGGGTACACTGGTCACCTTCTCCCGCGGCTTCGAGGCAGCCTGTATCCAGTGAAGGGGACAATGACCGTCCAAGAACGTCAACCATCGGCCTCAGCCAAACCCTCAACCTCCTGGGCTATCCACTACCAGGCGACCCTGGACGAAGCAACCGGCGCCTACGCGGACGGTCTGATCTATGGGATGCAGAGCCCCAGCTCGGGGATGTACTTCTTCGGCGGCGAGAAGTCGCCTCTGGACTTACAGCTCTCGGCCGACGACACGGAGGCCGCGCACTCGCAGACCACGGTGCACTTTTTGCAGGAGTCGCTCGCTACGCTTTTTGGTCATTCGCCAACAGAGTATAACCTCGTGACGTCTTGGTCAGGCATCATGGGGTTCTCTGCCGATTCTCTGCCGCTTGTTGGTCGGCTCCCAACAGACCTTACGGGCCGCCCTGGTAATGGTGAGTGGATAGCGGCGGCGTATAACGGGTATGGGATGCCCGCTGCCTGGCTTGTAGGTGAGAGTCTGGGGTTGATGATGGTTGGGAAGGAGAGAAGAGAAAATCTGCCCGAGGCTTTCTTGCTTACGGAGGAGAGAGTCCGGGATTCAATGCTTATGTACCTGCGTTGATTGATCCCAGATGGATGGGCGTGAGCTTGACCCGTTTGGGTTCCCGACATGGGGTGGAGTAAGCATCGCAGGTGTAGTGGACTGTTCGCTTTTCGTACGTAAATGCTGAGTCTGACTCCATGCCCTGGTTTTTTTTTTTTAGATAACTCTTTTCATAATCAAGGTGGACGCGAGCACCTGATGAGAAGGGTCCATGACTGAACACCAAAAACAGTTTGAACCAGGGCCAGAAGCCCTAAAAGGACAATTTGTATTCTTGATGAGTTCTATGCCAATCCAGCGGCCGTAACAAAACTGCCTGCACAAAAGCTATACCCCGATGACTCTAACCTAACATTGTATCTATGTCCATCGGCTGGCCGTCGGCATTGTCAGTCCCCTCGGGGGACACCACGGCTGCATGTAACATGCACCGCCCAAGCAAGCCCAGGATCATGTCCTGCTCATTTTCGCCCCCTTTCCAACTGAGGAGATACCTCCGGTACTATTATAGGTTAGCAATGGCTCAGATGACTAAACTGCTAAGGCCTTAATCAGGCCTAGGGCTCCAGCAAAATCTTACCTTGCCCTCCTTATTCATCCAATAAAAACAAAAGGACCAAGAGTCGGTCAAAAGACCGAAAAGAACAGTATTGGCCTTGTGCTGTTTCTGACGAGCAGCAAGAACCATGCCTTGATAGCAGTTAGTTTATAATCGTTATAGTTGTTTGGGATTGATTCTGCTCATACCCATATAGGCAAGAAGTTGGGTTTCTCCACCGGTGCAGGTCTCCGGCTTGGCTTCGATGATGAAAAGGTTGTTGGCAAGGGTTTGGGCCTCCTGATACCAGAATGAGTAGTCGAAACGCCCACGCAGCATTTTCTTCTTCATCTTGTGGGTGATTGGCCATTCGGCCTGTGTCTCGGCTTGGAGATAGAGCTTCTTCCCCAATGTAGGGCACAACCCGTTTTGTTCGAGGTAGGCTCCTACCAGCAGCATGATTATGTCGAGTCGGGTCCGCGAAACAGGTTCGACTCGGGGCGATTCGCCCATTTTCTTCCAATGAATGTCTAGCATCTTGTCTAATGACTATGGTATTAGTATTAATCAGATCAACGCTTGAGTATGGAAGCTCCTACTAAGCCAAGCGTGCCGGGGTCGAGGCTAGTCGGCCTCAAGGTCCCAGGAGTAGAAACCCCACTGGGCCATTTTTATTCCGAAGATCTTTTCGACTTCGGTCATCGTGAGGGAGGAGGCGGGGACAGAGGGAAGGGCTTGGTTGGCTTTGTCGGCCTCTTGCTTGGTTTTGGCGCGGATTTCTTCAGCGGCCTGGCGTGATATTCTTCCACGCCTTTCGGCTAATGTGATTATTCTTCGAACAATCGCAAGGGTCAGACTCATCTTGGATGATATGGGGAGGTTATCAGAAACTGTGAAGATGTTAGACGTGCTTATGAAAACGGGTAGGTTGTGCAGGAGATTGACAAAACTGGCGCGGGCGAATCTTGAGACATAACAGCTCTTCATTGTTTACACTACCTATATAGAAGGTGCGATCCTGCACCACCACGGCAGCTGTCAGCTGGCAGTGGCGGGATTAGTTGCTCGTCGACTTCTCATTCTACCCTAGGCCTCGTTCTAGATGACTGGTGATTGGGAAATGCAGGGTAGGTAACTGGCCGTGAGACAGGAGAAGCTATGTCCTAGTAGGGAGTCTTGTAGCAATCCGTGACTGGATCGACCGCTTATATATAGAATGGCAGAAAAGCACCGCTTCGCTACGCCAGGCTCGATTCGGGCATTATGCACTGCCCATACGTTACTGCCTAGTTTCACTGCACCACTGGGACAAACTTGGGATCTCATGACATGGCGGATCAAAGACTAGGCTTCCTAAACTTGCAGTCGTCGGTGTAGCCCTAACTGGATATCCCCAAGGTCCACTATGCCGAAACAGGCATACTGCCCTTCCGCACCGCCTCCATACCTACCGTATCCGGCCTAGCGCATCCCCTGCCACAGCCTCCTACCTAATGCATGCATGTCCTGATAACCTCTGCGTCCCCAGTCGCTCCTCATTACGGAGTACTCTGATATCCTGCCTACTGAGGTAAGACATATAATTCAGCCTTGACTATTGTATTTATATTGGACGCTGCGTCTCCGCATCTTTGGTCCATTAAGGTGGCCACCTACGACTTTGCCGGATACACCTACCGGGGGTACCTCCAATCCCAGAACCTCTCACCACCGGTTTGTTGTTCTCCTCCTCTTATCCTCTTCTGTTGTTCGGGCTGCAGCGGCAGTACCGTCGAATCTTGTCATGGGACCAGAGTCCCGAGCTCAGCAACGATTCTTGAGGCGGGAGCCGGAATGGATCTTGCCTCCGGCCTCATACCGTACTTTGTTCTACCGGTTGGGAATTGTTTGTTTGGTCCAGTAAGGGGCTGAAGTGGTTTAATGACGTAGGACTTTCGATTTATTTCAAAGTTTAAAAGTTCTACGCTTATGAGTCACCGGAAATCATCATCTTCCTCAAAAGCCCGCCCAGGTGCCAACGTCTCATTCATTTCGCCAAAAGCCACGATAACTAACCATGTCCAACTCAACCCCCCACCACAAGATCTTCTCCATCCCCGAGCTGGTCGAAGCGATCCTCCTCGAAACCGATCCCCGCACACTCCTAACCTCCGCCCAGCGCGTCTGCCGGCTCTGGAACGATCTCATCAAGAACAAAGACGAACTTCAACAAGCTCTCTTCTTCAAGCCCTCGCGCAAAGCATCCAGCCGCCATGGACACCGACAAATGAACCCGCTCATCCCTCGCCTCTGGCACGAACTCTTCCGACGGAAAGGGTTCGCCACCCCCAAGTACTTCCTGCCTCTTGATCCCATCAAAGCTGAGGCCTACCAGCGGCCCAACGCAAGCTGGCGGCGGATGCTTCTCTACCAACCACCGGAGTACCGCCTAGGGATCATCGAGTACGGGATATGCAATAATGATGCCGAGTCCGCTGAGTTCTCGGAGTTGAAAATGCAGATGGACGAGACGGGGTTAAGACTACGCCATATAAACGAACTCCTTGAAGACGGACGACTCGTCGCTGGCTGCGACCCGCTGATACTATGGACGAGATTCGGTCCGCTTGGGTTGAAGCACGCCGAACGCAAATATCGGGATGAACGGCAACTGATGAAATCGAAATACGCGCTTGAATGCGACGTCTTCGTCTTCTGCTATAGCTGCGATATGCTAGCCAAAAATTACCGCAACCAGAGCTGCATGGAGGGAGTTGAAAATGGGGTTGAAAATTGGGTGCGAATGGCTGTGAAGGCAAATGGACCTTGTCCGAGGTATCGCAATAGGGAGCCTTTATGGGAGGATGAGGAGGTGTGCGAAGCGTGACGGGGTGGCCTAGGACCTCGAGAGCAGTGGTCTGGTGTGGACGGTATCTGTTGCCCCGGGGAGCATATGTCTATGTCCGCTATCCAGACCTCTACACTGGTGTTGAACTCTGCTGTTACTCTGCGGTTGGGGAGTCAGACTGTACGCCTCGGCCTGTGCCACGGCCCAATCCTTTATTTGGTTGGTTGATCTTTGCTTATTTCTTCTCTTCTCTTCCAATGCAACGGATCTACTGCTCACTGCATACCTCCTGCACCTAGATGGACCTTCAGTAGATGTGTCTGTAGAACACGTACCGTAGGTCCCATAGTTTTCCGGAGGTCCTTACCTGTGCCTACCGAAGTTGACGTTTATTTACCAACAAAATGGCCCACATATGTAGTTTCGATGATGTAGAAGTGGCAACCGACGTAAGGATATTCACCATTAGCTTAATGACCCAGCAAATCAGTGCCTCATGTAGCTGCCCATGACGCAGGTTTTGGCTTCATGCTTCTCGAGAGAAACTATGTAGGAGTCATGGGATAGGTCACTGGTGCTCTGGATCACTTCCGCCAGCTTGCGTGTCAGTATGAACACTGGGGGGCTACATTTCCAGGATGATATATGATACCGCGGCTCTTGCAAGGCCATTGCTTCCCAACGTAACTTTCAGCTAGAATAGCAGAGGAAAAAATGCAATGTTCCTTTATCCAAAGAAGGGACAAATCTGCCACTGATTATTTCAACAGACGCGTGATGCTGGATAGACTCCGCGGTGCAGGGACGTAGTTCTTGTACCCAAGGAGTACAGATATTCATGGTATATCCGCGAATAAGGCTATGTGGTATCTTCGAGGATATAACTAACTGTTTGGCTTCCACTCATCCAGGCCCCGTCCGTCATCGGATGAAATAACCGGTTGGATAGGTACCTAGGGCTGCGTCCCCAGCCAACCGGACATGAAACCTCCCCCTCAAGCTGCGGAACGCAGTTCCATCTTGAAAAAATCCGCAAGCCACATTCGCTTCTGCTGAAAAGTCCATTAAGATCACCATAACCATACCGTCTCGACGAACGGCAAGCATGCGCGCGTTGCTGTGGCAGTGGCCGTGGCCCCAGGAGCAATCCGTCCCCAGACCGGCGCCCTCGAACCGCCATACCCTCGATAATACAACACCAGAAAGAGGAAGAGTGAGGCCGGCCAGAGCGTCCGGAGATAAAGATATCTGGGCCCAACTCGAAGCGAGCAGAAGCTCAGCCGCACGCAACCTGTCTTCATATTTGGAAACTGTCAGAGACATTCTGGGACATGACACGGGCAGCTCCTTGGGATCAAGCAATAGTAAGAACAACCCTAGCATTCAGACGACACAAGACGTCTTGCCTACTGCATCTATCTATTCCAAGTGTACTAGGAGGCTAATGAACTACACCCCAGCGGGTACACCAAAGCGCAACCCCAGTCCCAGCCCCATCTCGCCGCGGCAATGGAACGCTATCCTCCACAAGGAACATCTAAAATTGGAAGCTGGGATCCGCAAGGATCATCTAAAAAGGGACCTTATGGCTCTGAGGTCCAAACTAGAGGTCCTGGCAGTCGCAGAACAGACTGCAAGCACTGGGTCTGAGCCTAGGTCAGCCCGTCAACTCCCCATAATCCACCACCCATCATGCTGTGCAGTCCAACTTTAGCTCGTATACTAATCTCCTCCCAGCGTTCTCAGCCTCAAAGCATGCACATTATGGTACGCAATAAGCAGCGCCGTGCTGATCTGGATCCCGCCTGAGACTCTTGCTCTTGCGACGCTCAAGGGTCTAGGCCTCTACCTCACAGCGACGGGGTTCTGGTTTTGCGGACTGGAATTTGGCGAGAGGGTTTTGGCCAAATGGTGTCGGCGCACGGTGCAGGGGTTGCTGGATGCTGCGGAGCATGGCACGCTTCATAGGCAGAAGGGGGATGCGCTGGATGGGGTGGAGTTTTGGTGTCTCGGGGTGGTTAGGAGGCAGTTACGGCGTCCTTGTTTGGTGGTTGGAACTACGATGCGGGCTTGCGATTGGGTTCGACAGACCTGCTGTGCTGTTACCGGGCCTGTTTCGTGGCTGGGGCTGTACCCTGACGGTCTCTAGAGGGAATGATTTGATTGTTTGTCTTGAGTCGTCTTGAGAAGTTCTGCTACTGACTAGAGCTATCCACAAAGCCTCTTTAGACTCTGCTCCACCGTCAACCCATCCCCAGCCCCTTCTACTTCCCTCATCCCTTCCCACCATTCCCCCGCAAAGAAATGCCCCTACAACCCGCACCCTTGGCCCCAACGACCCCCAAATCCCCAGCATGGGCCTCGGCCTCGGCAGCCTAAGCGGCTTCTACTGCTCCCCCAGCCCCCTCGAAGCCAGACTGTCTTTGCTAGACCACGCGTATGCCATTGGCCTGCGCTTCTGGGACATGGCGAACATCTACCTCGACGCCGAAGATCCAGTCGGCGAATGGGCGAGGCGCAACCCCGGCAAACGAGACGACGTCTTCGTCGCGACGAGGTTCGGGCTCCGAGGCAGGAGGATGGGTCGCATACGTTCCGCTCAGATCGATAAGGAGTCTAGCGGAGAACGCGAGGAAGGGGGTTCGAGGGGAGAGGTATCCTGCTGCGTGGGTGTTTCTTTTTCAACGGTAGGGCTTTGGGCTAATTACTGAGAACTTAGGGTTATGGCAACATTGCACTCGGATACACCAGAGTTGGAATAATCTCGAGAATAACATCCATGTATCTAGCTTGATATTAGATGGAACTGAAACCACATAACTGCAAAGCTTTAAACCCCAAACCACAACATGACAATCCTCAGCGCCCTCTCGTACTCGCTGATATCCAGGAAATACCGCCACGGACTGACTCCCACATTCAGCGCCGTACACTGATAGTCAATGGCGACCGGTGCATCACGATGCGCCTGGCTGAACTTGGTCCCGACCGAGGCGGCGCCCGTATAGCTCGCAAAGCCGACCATGACCACGGCCCACAACGCGAGACAGGACAGGGGCGAGAAGAAGTGCTTGAAGCGCTTGATTGATTTGTCACTCATCGACCCGGGCCAACACACATTCAATGATTTCGCGATCAGGAGCTCCCCGGGGTAGAGGAGGACCATGATGGTTGACGTTGCGAAGAGAGCTACAGGCAGGGTGTTCGCAGGGTAGCCGGGGGTGCGGAAGTCGTTGCTACCGAAGAGCCACGACTTGGAGCACAGCTGCTCGGTCGTGCAGGTAGACGTTCCGGGCCAGACAGAGGTGTCGTCGGCTTTGCAGGTGTAGCGGTCGTTGACAAAGGTGGTGTCTCGGATGATGTAGACGACGTAGAAGGTTGCGCCCCATTGCAGGGCCGCCAGCAAGCGCAAGATCCAGGGCAGTGCTTTCCTGGCTCCAGGAGAACGAGCGAGGAGGCAGCGGTAAGGATGGTACTCGACGAGGTAGGAATACTTCCAACTGACCGTCCAGGCGATCGTCGATAGCGACGGTCTGGGGTCGTGCCGCGCAACGGTGAGGGCAAAGGAGATCCACCACCACAGGGTAGGCCCGCAGATATCCCAGATGGTGAAGATCCAGTCGAGGAAGCCAAGCTCTCGGATGCCCTTGCAGCGCTTCTCCGACTCGTCGTCATCGAAGAACGGACACACACCTTTGAACGCCCACAAGGCGCTCAGCGCGCTGAAGCTGGTGAACCACCATCCGCCAAAGGTCGTACCCCCCATGGCGCGACGGTTGACCGAGGAGGGGATGACCTTGAAGTCGCTGAAGCAGCTCATCGCATCGCACCATTCGAATGGGGTGCCTTCGGTCGTCCAGTTGGGATAGATGGTCCATTTCGAGCCAATGATGTGGTATCGACCGGGGCCATCAACGCCACCGGCGAAGTCTGCCATCATGCTGCAGTTGACTGCGTTCGTGGGGGCGCTGGCGGCGCATTCAGCGAATCGCGAGTTCTTGTACAGGTCAAAGTCCGGATACGTGGTGTTGTAGAACTTGACCATCATCAGGATGAAGAGACCCGCGACGGCGAGGACATTGATCGCCCCGAGCACGATGAAGAGCCAGGTGCACCAGACGACGAGTCGTCGATACCACCGATTCGATCGATACCAGATGTTTTCTCCCCAGTCGACGCGCTTGCAGGAGTATGCGTCTGGAGATGTCAGCCACTGGGTTTATTTCCAAGCTGGAGGGTCAAACATACCCTTGCGTCCCTCCTGAACCTCCAGCGCATCATATCCATATGCAGTCGATCGCATTTCGCCGTGTTGTTGCACAGCGATAATGCACTGGATACTCAGTGCTGGCAACGATCGAGAAGTTGGAGGATCATGAAATTTTTCCTGCCCACCGCGCCGTGATAAATAGCAGCGTTTGCCCGCGCCAAAGGCTGAAGACTGCAGGAAACATCCCCAAGTGGGCGTGGCGCCGGACTTGGAGACGCTCAGCCTGGCCGTGCGCCTATCAAGGCCCGCGGATGCAGCGCCAGCCCTGTGGACTGCCATATTTAGCAGAGATGCCGCACGCTAGGGCCTCAACGTGGCTTGGAGTTGTTTGCCAAGCGGACTAAGCGCAAGTTCCGGGACAGGAGAGACAGCCACTGACCCTCGGTCTCGGTCCCGCGTTCGCTCTCGTCGGTCTTGCCTTTGGGCTTCGTGGCTGAGGGCGCCTGCTAAACACGCCGCATGTCTTTGGCAATGACATCACGCTGTTTGTTCTTGAGTCAAGCCTTCTCGACATTGACTCCTGGCACCTGCAAGTCCGCGGACTTGTGCCATTTGTGGCCTGTCTTCCATTCCACGTTCAACCATGCCTTTGCCGCTTTGACACAAACGGCCGGGGCACTTGCCCACCACTCAGTTGGACCTCGACAGAAGTCGAGGGAATACTCAGGTACGCTACCTAGATAGAGCGTCCCATTCTCCTGGTTGGTTGGAGAGACCCTCTTTGGACAACCGGACAGACAATACTGGTGATGGTGACGATGGTATGGCGATGGATAGTTCCTGAGTTGTTTTTAAGGACCATGTTCTTTTCTGCATTCTACTCCTAGGGCTACTAAGACAAATGATACAATGATTCCCATACAGATACTGTCCACAGAGATACCTAGGATGTGGTCGGTAGGTACGAAGTTCCCAGCCACGAATGCCTGCAGCAAACCATCCGGAGTTGGTGAGAATTGCTGGTCTTTACCACGGGACCGTATGTATTTGGGGCCTGAATTTGGAAAGAGATGCTTCGCCGGCCATGTCCAGAGATGAGATCCCGTCTAGCCCTGAGTCTCTTTCAGTCCCGATGGCGAATCCGCCCGTAGCCCTAAAGCCGGAGAGTAACGTAAGTCAGACCTGTCCCAGCAACCACGGTACATAACCATGGCAGGGCAAGACCACTTTCTGGACAGGCCTCGGGATCCCACCGGCCTCCCACCACCCTTCGCCACGGGATTTGCAAGCAGTCGCCCCTTGCAGTACCTATATAAACCCTGCATCTCCCTGACGAACCCATCTGACCATCCTCACCCTCTCACCACCTCACCCAACCCGCACCTATCCCTCAACCAAACCAACCAGCAAAATGTCCACCCAATCCTTCCGCCAAATCATCGGCATCCCCCCCTCAACCGCCACAACCACAACCTCAACCCTCATCATCATCGACGCCCAGAACGAGTACGCGCATGGCCAGCTTAAAGTCCAAGATGTCGACAAGTCCCGCCGCGTCATCGCCTCCCTCCTAGCCAGGTACCGCTCTTCCGGCGACGGCAGCAATATCATCCACGTCCTGCACGAGACACCACCCGGCGCCCCGGTCTTCACGGCCGGCACAGACCTCGCAGATGAATTCAGCGAGTTAACTCCCATGGCAGGGGAGAAGGTCATCACCAAGAACTACCCATCCTCGTTCGCAAAGACAGAGTTGCATGAGTACCTGCAGAGTCTAGGCGATGTAGGGAGCAAGATCGTGCTTGCGGGGTACATGGCGCACGTGTGTGTTTCGACGACGGCCAGGGCGGGCGCGGAGCTGGGGTACGATGTCCTTGTTGTTCGGGATGCGGTGGGGGACCGGAGTATCCCTGGTGTTGGGGCGGGTGTGCTGGTTGATGTTGCGTTGGGCGAGGTGGCGGATGCGTTTGGGAGTGTGGTTGTCTCCGAGGAGATCCATTAGGGCGTAGCCTGCCTGTTTACCTAGGTACCTAGTATGGTGGTTTGGCGAAGACGGGGGGGATCCGTGCTTGACGTTTGTGTGTGCTGTTTTCTGGGCTTGGGGGTTCTTAACTTGATGCTCTTGGTGCTGTTGAGTGAACTTATGGGATGCTGTTGGGTCTTACCTGGTCACTTCGGGTATAGTAAACATACACTCGTAAATGCAGTTACTTAAACTGGTGTATTTCCTTGTTCATATATCCATCTGTTGGTAGTGCATCCATGGATTGATTGGTATTTCCTGCGGCCGATACCATACCCTATGGTATCCTTTGCATACGCCGATGTAGCCGATGGATTCAACTAGCATAGGGGAGGGAGAAAGGGGTTAGTTCTGCGTCTAGGGCTTCCATGGCGGGCATAGTAGGTAGTTAGGGAGGAAGGAAGAACTGCCCAGGGGGCTTACAGCTTACAGTATCCGCCGAGAACGAACGGGATGAGGAACCACGTTCGAGTGCGCAGAGTGAGGCTAGTATTTATAGACGACATCTAGCTTGCTCCACTCGGGCAGCAGTTGAAAGACCATGTTCGAGATTGACTGGAGGTAGGAATACAGCATGAAGCGTACTCGTATCCGAGCTCGTGCTCGTACCCTTTTAGGATATTGCAAGTATTAGATCCACTACGAGTAAATGGGAAGAAACTGCTGCGCCATCCCTGGATGCACGTTGACTGTTGAATACAAGTATAAGTACCGCAGTGCTCTAAAGATTCACTTATTCCTTCCATACTTCCATACTCCATCTACACCAGACAAAATGGCCGAAGGGTTCATCGACTTCCAGCTCTACAGATACACCCCCAACCAAGCCGCAGCAGGGCTATTCGTAGCTCTCTTCTTCCTGACAACGCTGTACCATGTTTACCAGATCTGGCGCCGACGAGCGTGGTACTTCATCGCCTTCGTCGTAGGCGGAGTCTGTATGCACCTCCACCAATTTGTCCATGTCCCGGCCAGACAAGCAAAAGCGACTGACCATCATTATTTCCATCCAGTCCAAATCATCGGCTACGTCTGCCGCATCATCGCACACAACGACAAAGAGTCCATCCCCATCTACAGCATCCAGACGATCCTGATCCTCCTCGCGCCCCCGCTCTACGCGGCGTCCATCTACATGGTCCTCGGCCGGCTGATTACATTCCTGCACGCGCACCAGCTCAGTCTTGTTCCCGTGCGCTGGATGACCAAGATCTTTGTCGCGGGGGATGTGATTGCGTTTGTGATGCAGGCTGCGGGTGAGTCTCCCCAGCCTTCTTCCAAGTGTCATGGTGCTACTGCTTGGGATGGTACTGACGAGTTCTGGCAATGACAGGCGGCGGCATCATGGCCTCGGGCACGATATCCAGCTACGAACTCGGCGAGAATATCACGATCGGCGGTCTCTCCGTGCAGCTGCTCTTCTTCAGCGTCTTCATGGTGACGTGTGGGTTATTCCACCGGCGGATCCGGCGACATCCAACGCAGGAAGTAGCAGCCCTCTCACTGCATCTGCGGCGGCAGAAGAGGCGAGGCTGGGAGACTGTCCTGGTGGGATTGTATGCGGCCAGCGTGCTGATCCTCGTGCGTTCGGTGTTCAGGTTGATTGAGTACGCGCAGGGCAATGACGGGTACCTGATTAGCCATGAGGTGTTTATGTATGTGTTTGACTCGGCACTGATGTTTCTGGCCATGGTGGTGATGAATGTCTGCCATCCGAGTGTGGTGTTGGAGAAGGGGAAGGATCGGGGGGAGGCGGAGATGGGCATGCTGGGGGAGGAGCTGGAGGCCTCTGATTGAGTGGATGTCTTGATCCAAATGGAAAGTCTGATTGGCTGGATGAAGCCTTTACTGTTCTCTTCTTCTCCACCGCAATCTCTCGTGCTCGTTCTCTCCTCGTGTTCGCTCCGTATTCGTACCTCTTCAGTCTTCACTGCCATTGCCTCTACGTATCGCTGTTTTGCTGAGTTTATGTTGGGATTTCGGGCCCGTTCCTCTCGCACTCTCCAATACATCCGTTTCTGTCGACGTCAGACCCACGCCTCCCTGGTGGTACTTGTGGCCAATCCGACCATGGCCACTCGGAGATCGCACAAGAAATCCCGCAATGGGTGTGACCAGTGCAAGCGCCGGCGCATCAAGGTCCTTATATCCAAATGTTCTGTTATATGACGCTCAAGGAGTATAGTGCGACGAAGCCCGCCCCTGCCGCAACTGCACCCGGCGCAGCATGGCCTGCTCCTTCGACAACCGCAGCGCCACCCCCGACATCCCCCCATCGAACGACATGGGCGTCCTCCTCCCTGACATACGAGGCCCAGCGTCAGCATCCAGCAACTCGACCGACCCCTTCCACCTCCTCGCCGCCAGATTATCCACGGGGACATGGTTCCCCCACGAATGGACAGGACAAGACGCCGAGCTCATGCACCACTACACGCTGCACACATCGAAAGCATTCGCGCACCGGCCATCAATGCAGGAAACGTGGCAGGTGTCCGTCCCCGAAATCGCGTACGGCCACGAGTTCCTCATGCACGGGCTGCTGGGTCTCGCCGCGTCGCATCTCGCCTTCCTCAGGCCGGAGCGGTACAGCCACTACCTCGCGCTCGCGGGGTTCCATATGTCGCTGGGGCTACGGACATACCGCCGGCTGATCCTCGCGCCGTCGAGGGACAACTGCCACGCGCTGTTTTGCTTCTCGGGGCTGGTCATGGTGTACATCTACGCGTCGCCGAGGGAGCACACGGCCGTGGACACCGGGCTATCGTCGATCCTGGAGCTGTTGGTGCTGTGCCGCGGGACCCTGGTGCTGCACCCGTACTTCGACCGCATCCGGCAGAGCTCGCTGGCGCATCTGTTTCAGCCGGAGTTCATGGGTGATGAGGCTGCTGCGTCGTGAGTCCCCTTGCCTTGCCATATCTTCCCCTGCCTGGCTGCAGCTGCATCCCATGGATCTAACATCTAGACTCGTCCAGAGACACCCCCTCCACCCCCGCGCTCTTCAAAAACCTCAGCCCCCACCTAGACGCCCTGCATAAACTCATCGCAACAACCCCCTCCATCCCGCCAACATCGCAGCCAACCTTCCTCCAAGCCCTAAGCCGCCTAAAGGCCACGTCCGCGTGCATCGAGGCCTGCAACGCCCGACAACCCCTCGAAGTCGGCATGCTCTACATGTGGCCGCTCTCACTGGAAGAGGAGTTCTTTGCGTTCCTGCAGCAGCGCCACCCCGTCGCTCTGGTATTCCTGGCGTTCTACTGCGCGCAGCTGCATGCGTTTCGGCAGTACTGGTTTGTCGGCGGGCAGGGGGGTGCTTGGTTGGAGTGTGTGGAGGAGGCGTTGGATGGCGGGTATGGGGAGTTCCTTGCTTGGCCGAGGGGGATTCTGAGTGGGGATGTGTGATTAGGGAAGAAATTGGACATATTCTGTCTGCTGTTGCATGGATTGGGGATATAGTAGGCCGCCCAGGCCCCTCCCGCTGAACTCGATGGATCTCGAGATTAGCCCTCATCCGGATTATCCGATCAGACCACGACTGAACTGGATTGCACTAGATGAAAGACAGGGATGCGGCCGAACGCTCTACTGGTCACAACCTTGGCCTTATACCACTGGTGCAACGTCGAACAGGTCTCTGCCACGCAAGACCACACGCGCAAAGTGGACACGGTCAGACAGGTGACTTGGGTATGGGCCCAGGTGACTGTTCAACGCCTTGGGGATAGCGGAGCATAGGCCACTGTATAGAGCTAGGTATCATGCTACCTTGGTAGGTGGGTATAGTATGCTTATGCCTATATAGTACGTATGCTGCGCCTGTACCTTCCCATCTACATCTACTTCATTTCATGGACACGAGAATCGCACACTATCTAGCTCAAGGTACTGTGGTACCCAACATAGACATCAAGACACGATCCATGGCCGGCATACAGCTACCTCTTCCTCACGAGTAGTGTACGCTCACGATCCTCTCAAGCAACAGCATAAAAGCTCCTCCCCCGAACCCTCCCCCCAAAGGCATAAAACACCCACGGCAGAGGCGCAAACGCCGCGGCCACGAAACCCAGTAGGCTCGACGCCCACGCGAAGCCAAGGTTATTGTACACTGCGGCCAAGAAAGGGACGCCCTTGTTAGTTCGCGGATTTGGCCAATGGACGGGGACGTGGTCCATGTCTAGGGAGGCGAGGTACATACACGCGATCGTAAACAGCGGGAACGAGCCGCCGACGAGATACCGGAGGAGGCCGTTTGCGGCGAGCGCCGAGGCGCCATGGGAGGCGCCGTAGACGCTTGCTAGGTAGAGGGCTGTTGAGACCTGCGCGTTGCATACGTCCCCGTTTGTTAGACACATAGGCAGCAAGAGCCCAGGCGGGGAGGGAAAGGGGTGCGGAGCGTACGAAGACCATGATATTCGCGCACCCGAAGAGTCCCAGTGCGATGGCCCCACCGATCCAATGGATGCGCGGTTCTGTCGTCGTCCATGCAAACGTGAATAGCGATGCCGCCATGAGCGGGCCGCCGAGCATCGCGGGGTAGAGGGTAGTCTCTGGTGGTCGGGGTTCTGCGTCTGTATTCGCGGCTGTGGGCCTGCGTGATGAATAAATGACGTTGAGGAGTAGGATGCCCGCGCCGGCGAGGCAGCCTATCGCCAGGGCGATGAAGACGAGCCCGCACTGCCCGGGCGAGAAGTCGTAGACTGTGCTGTAGACCAGGGGCACACAGGCTAGAAAGCAGAAGAGGACGGAGAAGTTCAGGCTTGAGTATAGCGAGCAGAGGAGGACGGTGGGTTCGGTGAGGAGCATGTACAGCGGACGAGTTAGGGTTGAGGTCAGCATTACCTTGATCCCGGGTATTCCAGATGGTATAGGGTTAGGCGGGACAGGGAGACCTATGTTAGCTGCGCGCCTGCGGACAATGGGCTTTTCGTATGTCTCCTTCGCTCCGAAACTAAACGCCCACAGGCCAGCACCGAGGAAGAGCGTCGTCCACTGCGACCATCGCCAGTCTTTATACTCGGCGATCCAGCCGCCAACGAGAGACCCAATGGCCGGGCCCAGAAAGGCGGTCGTCATGAGGATGACAACAGCGCAGTGCGCAGCGGGCCCAGTCCAGATATCCATAATTGTTCCGGCGCCCACGGCGAGAGGCGCAGAGATGAAGAGGCCCGCGAACAGGCGGCATATTAACAAGGCGGCTATGTTCGTGCTGAAGCCAGCGCCGAGAATAAACAAAAGCGAGAGCGGCGTCATCAGGAGGTAGATTAGGCGTCGCCCGTATGTCTCGCTCAGTGGGGCGGCGATCATGGGGCCGAACGCAAGGCCGTAGACGTAGGTTGTGAAGGGGAGGAGGGAGGTTGTGGTGCTCGTGTGGAAGGTTTCCTGGGTGTGGGTGTGGGAAGGGGAGTAGATTGCGAGGGCAAAGGAGCTGTTGTATCGGTTAGTGAGATACCGCCCTGTCTGGGCTGAGTACTTGCATGAGAAGGCAGAGAGAAGACGGGACGGCGGTGTTGTAGAGCTTCTTGGGCAGGGTCCAGTTCCTGGCGTTTGCTGGGTCGGTGTCCCAGCTGGGGAGGGCGGGCTCCTTGTTGGTTTCCATTGAGCTATACAACTATTGCATGCCCTCACTGAGGCGGGCAACATCGATTTATGTGATTTCAGCCCGGAGACTTCGGCGACATTGCTGGGCGTCTAGAGCTCGGTCTCCACTCTTTCGGCGACCACCTGTACCTAAGCCATTTAGTGGAGGTCCAAGCGAGGTACGGTTATCATTCTAACTTACTCCGTCAAGTCCAGACACCATTCATCCAACTACATTCCTGAAGCGGCAGGTAGGGCCTACGCTGGCCCTTCCAAGGCCGCCGGGCTGTTCAAGTAATCGAATGAGACGCTAGAGGCTTGGTCAGGGAGGCGCTCCATGACCTGGAGACGGGTGTAGCGAGTCGGGATTCCGGTGGGATACCGATATGGGATCCCACACCCAATCTACATTCCGAAGGACGGCGCAGTAGACAGTTAGAAAGTCTATACACGAATCTTCAACGACCCGTAACAGCCGAAATCCAATTCCTCTCGTCTCTCCCATCAACCGTCCTTCCAAGCTCACTAGCAGGCCGAGTCTCCAGGTTCAAATTCCGAACCCTCAGCAGCCTCGACAATTCCTCGTTCGACGCAGCTTCCCACAGGTACCCGCTATCCGGTGGGGGAAATCTCAAGTCAGATAGGTGTAATAGCCGGACATGGTCACCATCCTCCAGGTGTTGCGGGAGTATCCCGTTCGAGACCGTGCTACACAAGCAAGAAACCCGATACAGCGCCAGCCCTAGTCTCTTGATCTCCTCAACCCCAACCCAGATGCAGGTGATGTTCTCGACGCCCCAGTATCGCTCCAGCATACGCGGGTAGTAGAATATGTTGTTTTCAAGACATGCGGAGATGAGGACGGAGAGGATATCGCGGTCTCTGGGCCGGATGTGGAACGTTAAACTCAATTCGAAGGAGGGATTGTTTGTCCCGGGAGAAAGCAGCGAGAATATGAGGTAGATGAGAATGCCCTGGTATGTCGCTATTGGCCACTGGGATGTTGGGTTGTCGTTCTCCTGCTCGCGTTCTTCTTGGCCGGGCTGGTCTTGCAATGCGCATGTCCTGGCCCAGGTGCTCTGAATTGAGTTGGTTAGTTTCAGTCGGCTGACGGTGTAGTACCACATACCCTGTGCTCCCAGATGGATTCTCCCAGTTTACTATGGAGCTCAATTGCGGCTTCTTTTGCCTTCGGTGTCCCGCTAACCCATAGCCCGATCATCATCACAGCTTGGACCAGAAGCGGTGGTTCGTGCGCAATATCAAATGTGCCTCGGTGCAGAATGGGCCAGTGGCGATGGAAACGTGTGAAGTAGAGGTGCACCCAGCGCTGAAACTTGTTCTGTTCTGTAGAGTCTGAGGTCACTGGGGCATGGTCGAAATTATGACTATCGTCTTCCAATTGTCTCGCTTCCCAAACTGCTTTAGCCTGCGGTCCTTGTGGCTCATCATTCTGCACCTCCGATGTCTCAGCATCTACCTCAGCATCAGTGTCGATATCAGCGTCGGCATCAGGCTCATGCTCAAGGACATGATCCGGATGATCAAAGACACATTGACTCCCTCTCAGTTGACATCGAGTGCACGGATGTCCGCCCCGACAACGTACTTTTGCGCCTCGACACGCTTCGCAAGCTTGCAATGCACGAGCTGACTCTAGCTGAGACTGGGAATCCGCATGATCGCGCCGGACATGGCGTCTAAGAGTGTCCCTGCGTTTGAGCGTTAGAAAGTTCCATTGTGGTGGTTAAGGGCGCATTACCTTCGTGCGAATGTCCGGCTGCAGAACGGGCATGTGGAGGCGAGACGGCCATCATGTTGGGCTTCGTGACGGCGGAGGTGCTCTTTGCGCTGGTAGCTTGAGTTGCAGCCGGGGTAATGACATTCGAAGCGGTTGGAAGCTTTCAGCATTGTGAGAACTCCTGATTTCTTGTTATATTCGCCAATTTGCCTAGACTAAGTTGAGTCTGAAATTCATCCCACCGGATCCGAAGTCGGGATCCCACCGCGGTATCCCACCAACCACCGCCGAACATTACAAAGCCGGCACTCGCCACTCGGCGTTTAAGCAAGGGTGAGCGGACCAAATAGAGGAAATCATGTATTTGATGAACGAGCGTCGCAACTAGCAGAGTCACGCAGTAAGTGTAAAATCAACAAGCTGCTGGTTGGTTGTCGGACGCCCGGAGGGCCGGCGCCCGGGACGCGCCTATCCCGATTAGGACTAGCGCAGCACGTGACGGTTAAGGTTTTCTTATGACTTACCGCTTGCTATATATAAATAATTTAAAGGTTTACTATAAGTAATGCTATTAACTAGTTATTAGGTTATAAGCCCTTAAACTTTTTTAACTACTTTAAAATATTATTTAAAACTTTTTTAAGCGCCTTTATAAGCTTTAAAGCTTGTAATAAGTACTATTATATACTTTTTTTACCTTTTTAAAACGCGATTTTTAACACCTACCATTTATAAATTAATAAAACTATAATTTTTTAATTAATTAAAACTTAATATTTAATATAGCTAAGTTTTAATAAGCTATTCCCACTGTAAGAATACCTAATTTTACTATAAAAATATTTTAGCAAGTAACTTAGTTAATAAATCCCCCTAATTTCTTACTTAAATAGGCATACTATAAGCACTGCCTGCTTAGGGCCATAGTTCCTATTATTATATACTTACTTAGGATTAAACTTTTAGGCTAAACTAACTATAATAAGTAATTTAATTAAGTAAAAAAGTATTTACAAGCCCTACGCCTTTCTTAATTAATTAATTTCTTGCTTACCAGGCCTCCTAAAAATAAACTATACTAAAAATAATAAAAAAATTACTTAATACTTATTATTAATTAGCTCCTGGGCTAAGTTAGCTATAAGATTTATATTAAAATTATAAAATCCCTATATTTAATAAAGTATACTAATAAAATATTTAATATAATTTACTAGATTATTATTAAATAAGGTGTACCCTAAATTACTAAGGTAGTATTTAGTATTATTAACATACACAAGAACTAGTTTTTTACTATTTTTAAGTTTATTATAGTGTTTATAACCACGTGAGATATTACTAAAAACCTATATATTATTATTAAATTTAATATTACTATATTATTAGTTTTTTAAGAAATCCATAGTAACCTTAAAACATGGGCTATATTTTAATAATTATTTTTAATTAATAAAATTTTAAAAAACTATAGCAAGAATAACCTAAAATAATTATATAAGAATATTATAACTAAAGCTAAAATAATTATCCTACTTGCCACCGCGGCCCTGCTCTTAGGAAAGTAAAAAAAATAGGTTTATTATAAAAAACCCTATACTAAAGCACTTACTAACCCTTTAAATAATATAAATAAAAAAAATGGGCTAATTAAATAAAGCAAGGGGATAATAAGGTTTATTTTTATAAATACTATAAATATAGCGGCCACTTTTAAAAAAATTATTACTATTTAAACCCTTAACTCCAACCTAATAGCTAGATTAATGTAAGGGCGCCCTAGCACCCAGATGTTCTTTACTAATAATGATAAAGCTTGGCAAAGTATCTTCAACCAATAAGAATAAAGTATTCAAAACCTTAATAAATTTAACTAAAAGGATTACTTAAAGAATTAAATATACCATGGCCTTTAGCCTTTTTATATAGGCCTTGCCTAAAGGCCTAAGGCCTTTAAATAATTTTTTAAGCTATTTTTATTTAAAAAATAGGTAGTATTTAAATATTTTTATATTTACGCCCCTTATAACTATTTTTTAGTTATTAAAATAATTTAGTGCAAGGCATGCCTTTATTTTATTACTTAAATAGTGCCTAAAACCTAAAATCCCCAAGCTAAGGTCCCTAGTTAAAGCTAACACTATATTAAACTTAATATTATATTAAATTTAACGCTATATTAAGTCTTATATAGTAATTTATAATAATAAGGTTTACTAAGCTAAATAAGTGCCTAAAACATCCTGCATAAGTAATATTAATACTTTATAATAATATAACCTAGGTGCTTTAGGTATTACTTAATAACATAACCTAAATTAATATTAGCCCTAATAATTTCTTTTTTTTTAAAAAAATAAATTATTTATAATTTAGCGCTAGCTATTTTAAAAAAATAATAGGTAAGTAATTTATAATACTAACTTATTATTATATTATAATATAATAGCGTTTTTTATTATTACTATTTTTATTATTTATTATTTTTAGTTTAAAATATTAAATAATATTTAATACTTTATTTAAAATATCTTACTACTTGTTTACTTTTAAAAAGGCGCCTAATTATAAAAATAGCTTTTTTATTAGTTTAACCTAAGTCTAGTTTTTTTAAAACTTTAAACCTTAAATTACTTTTATATAACTAAATTATATAACTTTATTTTAGCTTTTATTTTACCCCTTTATCTTATTTTTTATTTTAATTATACTTAAATAAAATTATTTTTTTTTTAGTGCAGCGCTGCGCTTTATTAATATTAAAAAAGTATAATTAATAACTTTTTTTATTAAAAACTAAAAAAATAAGGTTTAAATAAAATCTTAAAAGCCCCTTATTTTTAAAAATTATTTTTTTTTAATTACTTGCCTAATTACTCCCCTAGTAGTAAGTCCCCTAAATAATTTTAAATAAAGCTTTTAAGGCTTTTTTTTAAGTAATAATAAATAGCTAACTATAAATAATACCCTTTTATTTTATTAATTTTAAAAATAATTTTTTTTTTAGCTTGTATTTATATGCAGGGCTTTACTTTAATAATAAGTATTTTTTTATTTATAATAGCTTATTTAAAGGTATTTTAGTAATAATATATTAATATTAAAGTATATTAACTTAAAACTTATTAAAACTAATAACTTATTTTATTATTATTTTTTATTTTTTATTAGGCTATTATTAATTAACTTATAAATAATATATATAATTATTATAGGCTTTTTAAGCCTAATAATATATTTTTTAATTTTTTTTTTACTTATTAAGCATTTTAAATAAAAACATCTTAAATAATAATAATAATAATACTAATAATAATACTAGTATTATTATACCCTTTATAATTACCCCCTTTAATTTTATTTTTTTTACTTTAACTTTTTTTACTTTTATTACAGCCGGCCCTGCCCTTTTAAAAAAAGTAAGTTTTTTTTATTTTTTTTTAAATAGCTTTTAGTATAAATAGCTAATAGCTTTTAAATATGCCTTAAATATACTAAAATAATTTTTTATAATAATAAAAAAATAAAAAATATAAATAATTAGTAAATTTTTACTACTAGTAATAAACTAGTAGTATTTTTTAAGGGGAACCTTTATAAGCCTTATTATAATTATATTTTTTAGGATTTAGGGTTAGCATGTGTTTAATATTATAATAATAATAATAAATATAAGCTTATTTTAGTTTATATATATAATAATATTAATATTTTATAATACTTACCCGCTAATAAAAGCTTAAAAAAATATATAAGTATATAAAAAATATTTAATAAGCGCGTGAAAAATATTATTAAGGCTTTTAATAAGGTGCTAGTTAAAATTAGGTTTATAAATAACCTATATTATATTATTTTTATACTTATTAATAAACTTTACTTATCCGCCGGCAAGACTTTGGCCGCTTTTAATAAAAGGTATTAAAAAATATATAATAAAAATATATTTAATATAACTAATTTTAGTATTATAGTAATTTTAAATTTTACTTTTTAAAAGCCTTATATTTTTATTTATGCCCCTTTTTAAGGTTTTATATTTATTTATATTTTTAGCACGTAGCTAGCTATTTAAGTTAGTAGCCTAGTATTACTTTAATATTTTATTTATTTTTTATTTTTTAAAAAAAAATTCTTTTTTCTTTTTAATATACTTTTATAAATATAACTTATAAATTTTAGCAGTCCGGAGCTATTTAGGTTATAGTTTATTAAACCTTAAAACTATATAAAATAAAAAAAAAAGGTAATTATTTTTATTTAGGTTTTTAATATATAAGTTTAATATTATTTTTAGGGCTATAAGTAGTCTAAATTTTATTAAAAGGCATTTTATTTATAATAGTAGTTTATTAAACCTTTAAACCTTTTAAAATATAAAAAAAAAATAACCACTTTGCTAGTCCTTTAGCTTTAGTAATATAAAAACCTAGTAGGTAAAAAATTATTATTACTTTTTTTTAAATTAGGGGTGTTCCAGCGCTATTTTAGCTAGTTTATAATAATTTTTTAAAGCTTTTTATATATGCTTAAAATTTTTAAGTAGCTTTTATAAGTTTTTATAGCTAGGCTAGCCTTTTTATTTAATTAAAAACTAGTTTAATTTATAAGCATGTTATTTAGTAAAAATAGCTTTAACTTTTTATTTTTACTTTTTATTAATAAGTTTTATATTAGGTATTTTTTTATCCCCCTTAAATTTAGGTTGCTTGTTATAAGGCCTTAGTAAAAATATATAAAATACTAAATAAATTTTTAATTAAGTATAATAACTAGTAAGCCGGAGCTAATACACCTACTTTTTAATAAGTTTAATAATTTTAAAAAGGCTATTAAACTTTTAATTAAGTTTTTTACTTAGCTAGATTATTTTAATATTATATAATAATAATAAAATATTATTCCTAACCTTAAATTTAATAGGGGTATACTTTTTATTATAATAAAGGGCTTGCTTTTTTTAGGCCTTATTTATATAGTTTTATAATTTATTTTATAACTTTTATAATTAATAAAGTTTATTTTTTAATAAAAAATATAATATTTTTTTTTTATAATTTTTTAGTAAAAAAATAATAGGTTTTTAGTTATGCAAGGCTATTTAAAATGCATACCTAGTTATATTATACTTTAAATTATTATAAGTAAATAATATAGCTAGTAAAAATAT